ACTTGAGACACTGCTTCAGTTCTGATCAATCGAATATGGAATTCGATATGACATCTTTCGTGTTCTGGACTCGCGCTTCTACTAGTATCAGCCCTTCATGTTCTCAAAGAAAGCTGACGTGTTTCTTTGCTCCTACTTTGGAGCATCCTGCCAGTACAATCAAGGAAAATGCATTTCCCTCCAAGTGTCACTTGTGGGCCATTAGCTGTCAGCCTTTCTCCTACAGATAATGAAAACAAACCAGAAAAAGGAACAAACTATTATTTGTGGAGAGGTTATATCTGACTGCCACCGCTTCTTGGCACATGATATAAACTGCCCGAACATTGTGTCCAAGTGCACAGGCCTCTGTCACGCCATAGAGCGGTGGGAGAGCTTCATCGTGAGCAAGACTATAAGTCGCTTGTACTCTACTGAGTTTGATGTGAACTTGGAGCGCGTTGGAAAATATAATTTTCGGCTTTTGGACAAAGCCTGCTTTCTAGAGAACTGCCAAAGAACTTCCCGCTTAGGTAGAGCATCCTGTAGTTCCCCTCCGCCCTACATGACGGTCACTAAGTGAGTACATCCCACAATCGCCCCATAGTTCAGAGGTGAAGAATCAATAAAAAATGAAATAAAAACATTTTTGAGTGGATTACTTCGCACGATATTCATGGTCGCCTGGAATAGATGAGTGAACCATTGTAGTTGGAAAGCAGGTACGACAGTGCTAATATGACCAAAATCCCCAATCCCAGTTTCCATGAACTGTTCTGCATATACTTACCAATGATCAGATAACTTAGGTATACGCACTATTATAACATACGTCCTGAACCATTATACCGCATAGTCCTAGGTTAACATAGTCAACATAGTCACGTGCATCTTAAAGCCGTGCATCTTAAAGCTTTCTGGGCGCATAGCGTTGGCTCCATTTACTTCCTCCCTGTACTGCGGCAGTGGTTTGGCACATTCCTAATTATGATTGCTTCTATTCCCCCCATTGAATGGATGCCAAGCTCGACGGCGCACACACACCAGGACCAAATGCCATCATATAATACAACCTAGATTCATATTCGAGGCGCCGTTGAACCCTTTTACGAGCACATGCGTGGATGCTTTGTGATGCGTTCCTTAGTACAAAAGTCGCTGTGGAGGTGCGATTCAAGAGGGTATCGACTTCACTGGTGTGTTAACCCGCGCTCTTGTACAATTATAATATGGCAGCTGACGGGTATACTACCTAGATTGAGGCAACAAAAGAGAAAATCAACTAAGGTTGACACTAGAGATTGCAGCCCTAAAAGGGCAACAAGCCTGTTCTACCTCAGCTGCCCATAGGCGTTCCCGAGACTTGGATGATGTAATGTACGAACAAGTATGCATCCGTGGCTTTTGCAATGGCTTCACTCATTTCGGCACACCGACTTGAGCTGAGCACGAAGGCGCAAATATTTGGACCTGCAGACAGAGCCTGCAGGAGAACCGTGGGTCCGGACCTTCCCTGTCCAGGACCACTACCACTAGCAGCGGTACAATACGGATTTATTGCTCGACCGTACACACTCAGATTAACTCAGCGATATTAGTAGATTCTATATTTCTCGAGGTATCATAATAGTACCAACAACCTTCATTCATGTGTATGAGAAGGGTTTCCACCCCAAATTGCATTGGTAACCAGCAGCAGAAACTTGGTCGGGAGATCTTGCTCCACATGGTTCCTAAGTGATTGCTTTTTTTGGCACAAGTTCGTCCTTGTGGCAACTTGATTAGGCTTATCTCGAGATTGACCTTCTTCTATCTAGACTCTAGGCCCTACACGGCCCGAAGAGAAGGAATTATTATTGACAACTTGCCGAGGGCCACTGCGGCTGGAATCGAGGCTAATGCACCCATGTCTTTCCCTGTGCTGGTTATGCGGGCTGAGTGCTGGCAGCTGCTCTGCGTGTGGCTTAGCCTCGTGTCTCACCTGTCAATGAAGTGTGCAGTTCGAGGGCCGCCGCAATTGTGCGTTTGCCTGCAAGCGAGATTATCATATGTAAGGGACATGGTCAATGTAAGTAGCATTCCCTTACAATATGATGGTGGCTTCTTGTGGAGAGCTGAGCCATCATAACCTGTACTGAATAGACTAATTGAAAGTTGTATAAGTATTGACTTCTGCAAGTCGGAACTTCTTACTCCATCTGGTGAACCACCTCACTCTCTACTTCCCAGAAACCTCACGATCAAGATGGCGAGAACTTCGTGGTTGTCACTCCTTTTCCTGTGCCTAATCCAATGGGTCGATGCTCGTAAGCATCACAAAGGTAAGCTATTCCATAATCACCGGTCTATTATAGCGCCGTACATGAATTGGCGACTTGATCTCCGGTCAAGCTGACAGGAATCCATTACTGATTACTATTGCTTAGTGAAGCCTATCACCACCCGTTCAAGTGTTTCCTCTACCACGACCACTGTGCCTTCGGCGGGACCCACGTCCAGTTCAATCAACGATTTTTGCCCGGACTATTTCAAAACCTGTGACTCGGGTCTAATTCTTACTTATGGGCCAGGGTCAGTGACCTCGAGACTGGCTTTTAGACACGGAGAACTAATTCAGTACAGATGCTACCCCAGTGGCTCTCCTGAACCGCCTTACACCGAGCCCCCATGCCCCGAAGCAACATCCACTCTAGATACTGCGGTGTCGAGCACTATGGAAGTTTCACCGACCATTACTCCGGTTCCTTCGACTTTTACCTCTTCGGAGATACCATCGATTCCCGTACCATCTCAAGGCGGCAGTGGCACGGTGACTATCACAGTCACGACCACCCCATCTGTCGCAGTGGTCACATCTCTAGTCACAGAAATGGTCACCGTCTCCGTGTCACAGACGGTTACAGCTTCCGCACCAGTAGCCACGCGAGTACCACGCTTTGGACAGTAAGTGATATGAAAATTGCCACGTTGGGTGTTCATACTAACAAACTACAGATGTGCAGGTGCTAATTACCGCGGACTTACTGTGTGTGAGGCGCCATACCAGTGCAAGTACGTGACAAACTGGTTCTCCTACTGCCAGTAGATCTCTGTATTTGATCTACTACCACGCTTCATTCCAATCACAGGACATCGAACGCATCTTCGAGTTTGAAGTTGCTCATAGAATTACCTACGTTTACTTCGTCGAGTTATCATTTAGAATCAAGAACAATTTTTCAAACTCACGTCGCAATGATTGGAGTTGTATAAGGCCTGTCCTGTTCTTAGCCGTGACTGGAGCTGGTAACGTATTGTCAGAGCATAGTTGCCCCATTACCCCAGCTGGGAAACTTAGCCTTAGCGAATCTTTCCCCCAGCATCTTCACGCAGAAATGATTGGTACAAGGAACATGAGTTTTGTAATTCTACGTTGCGCAGATTGGAGGGAGATGGTATGACTTCAGTGGTTGAGGGGCCACAGACGCATGGCAGAAACAGGGGAAATTGAAGCTCGAGCAGAACCTTGGCAGCTCGCCCTATACAGGACTATATTTAGCACATGCTCAGCTGAGATACCTTTATGTAAAATGGTAAAGGAAGGTGTCATGAGGCCAGGAAGTATATCACACGTACCTTATCAACGCATTTGGCCTACACACGGGGGTGAGGGTGAGCTGCCAGCTGCCTTGGCCGAAGCTGAGGCACATGTTATCGTGAAGCACCGGAGATTGAACAAAAGAGTAGTCCTTGCGTGATACACCCGTGTTCACCATGTCGTTAGTGTCCAATAGTCATGGGAATGGTCGAATTTATCCTGTAGTTTCATTGGAACGATAATGACCCTCTCGACCCTTGATCTCCTCTAATAATCCCTTTATAGCTCATGGGTGCCCGCCATCTCTACCCCCTGAAGTCCTCCAACTTCTTCTTCTGCTGTCCCCGCTCATCGAAGTTACCGGGGTCCAACCACTTCTCGAACGCCTCCCGGCGGGCCTCCCACTCCTCACCGTCAACCATGGAGAACCAGGCCGTGTCGCGGTTTCGGCCGCGGACGATCATGTGGCGGCGGAAGACGCCCTCGGGCACGAAGCCGTAGCGCGCGGCCGCCCGCCGGCTCCGCGCGTTGAGCGCGTCGCACTTCCACTCGACCCGGCGGAAGCCCAGGCCCGCGAGGCAGTGGCGCAGCACCAGGAACAGCGCCTCGGTCGCCGGCCGCGTGCGCTGCAGCGCCGCCCCCAGCGTGATGTGCCCGACCTCGACCGCCCGGCTGCGCGCGTCGATGCGCATCAGGCTCACGTACCCGGCCGGCGTGCCCGCCCGGACCAGCACCGCGCCGCCGCCCTTGGCCGACACGATGTCCTGCCGGGGCAGTACCGTGAAGAAGAGCGGGTCCCGCGACGTGCTGAAGTTGGAGATGTGCGTGGTGAAGGACCCCAGGTCCGTGAACGGCCCCGCCGACATGTATGCCCACGTCGCCTCGGGGGAGTTCACGCAGAGCTGCTCGTAGAGAGCGGGCGCGTGTGACGGGACCAAGGGCACGAGGGTCACGTAGGATCCCTCGAGCGTTACTGGCTCGGGCTGCCTGGCCGGGCTGGCATCGACATACTCGCCTAGGGGCACGCCGTCGAACATCTTGGTTTCAGAAGAAGGCACGGATGGCTGGATTTGGTCCTCTGGTCTTCCCCAAGCTTTCGAGGTATAGAACTTCCTGGTTTCTGTTGTGGTTCCTTGAAAGAGCGAGATTATGTATCGGTTACTGAGGTGCGTGGGTTGGCTGTGTCTGACTCAGGCGGCGGCGACCCGGTTTCGGACAGCGATGATGCTGCGTGTACTACCAACCAAATTCACGGACATGGAACAAACACGAACTGGATGTGGAAGTTGGATTTGTTACTTATTGGAATGGTAGGAAATGTTTACGATCTGGCAAGGGAGATACGTGTCCGTCTGAGGTGCATGTAGTCAACACCGCTTGGACTTTCCGGTTCGGGCCCGAATGCGGCTCGCACTACAATCCTCCCGAGGGAGGCCGACCTTCGGGGCACGCCGCCGCTTGTACAAATGTGAGGTGAGTTTGGTGAACGATTGATTGGTAAACTGCCTTGCAATGAATGGTAAACATTTATAAGCCCGACGGGAAATTTCTCTGGTAACGAAGTAGAAAGGGTTGGATCAAACCCCATGAATAACACGCCATTGCAGCTTCCCTTAGAGAGAAATACATGGAGGTTAAGAGATGAAAAACACTTTACGAGAGTATGAAACTCCCTCAGTGCTATATTGCTATGCATTCATCACCTCGCCGGGCGCTGCAAGTCTCTCTGTGCTTGTCTCATAACCAGTCGGCACACCGGTCTCGGCAAACGCACACCCTGTCTGCATCATTTGTACCACGGCCTTGGAGCAGAGCAGGACGTTTGGCATGCCGTGACCGTTGAAACCGGCACAGATGAACATTCCCGGCCGCCCGGGTACGCGGCCAATGTGCGGCAGTCTGTCCGAGGTGCTCTGTAACGTACACCACTCAGTTAGATGGTTCTATAAACAGGGGGCGGGACACTTGGAAGATAACGGGAAAGAGCGCTCACCCCAAAGATGCCTGTCCAAGTCTCTTGGACTTTGGTCTTCACATTCTCCCAGCCCTTGAAGCTTTGCTGCAGCCATCCCTCGAATACCCCCTCCACAAGTTCCGGGTCGTATAACGAAGCGTCATCCACGACGCCATATCGCGTGGCGTGCTTCCGAAGCGGGGCAAAGGTGCCGCCGACCACGAAGCTCCCATCAGGCTGGGTGCCGTGGTAGTCATGCCCAAAGCTTACGTACTCGGTCGCGGAGGAATGCAACATCTGAGGAGCCGAAGCAGGTTTGGGTGACATCGGTTTGACCCGGCCGCACATACCACGGATCGGAATGATGTGGGACGCGTACTCTGGCAGGATGCCAGCGGTGTAGGCGTTGGTTGCGATGATGACCTGCTTTGCCCTTGTCGTTCCCCGTGGAGTGGTAAGTGTCCAATATCCTTCGCTGTCAGGCGTTTCCGAGACCTGGAGGACAGGAGTTTCAGTCTGCAGGTTGAGCCCGCCCTGAACGGCTCTTTCCAGGACGCCCAAGACCATCTTGTATGGCCTATGCAATGTCAGTCCGGGTACGGCCAGGTTGGACTCGTGGTGTTTACCAAAGAGTCGCCGCCGGGAAAGTAAAGGCTGCCTTCGCTCCTTTGACAGCTGTCACGTCTTCTGCGTCTGAAGGGCCGTAATACTTGACCTCCTTTACCGTCGGGCAGTCGAGCTCGATCAGCTCGTCGTACTGCTTCTTCAGTTCTGCGGCCACCACCTCGTCCAGAAAGGCATAGCCAGTGGTGCACTCGTGCAGCTCGCAGGCGATACCTTCTTTTCGGATAAGATCCTTGACGGCTTCTGCGTTGGCGACCTCGAACAGAGCTAGTTCGTTGGCAAACTCTACCCCATGGGACGCGGCCCTCTCTGCCACGTCCAGTATATAGTCTGGCCTCAGGTGGCCGCCTGTGAATATTGGGTTAGCTCAGTGAGTATGGAAGCAGAGGAACGACCAGCTTGGTCCACGCGGCTTGCCATTTCTCCCAGTAGCCCCAGAGCAAGCTTCCCTTGCTTCGAGCAGGGTGACGCTGGGACGTTCGGAAGCGTCGTCGGTAAGTAGATAATATGCTGCCGTGACACCAGCGAAACCAGCGCCGACGATGATCACGTCACTTAAGTCAGGAAGGTCCAAGGTGCTGCGATAAGTATCGAGAGCATGAGGTTCTGTCCGCCAGTAGGGGACAGTGGCATTTGGCACCGGGAACGGTCCGGGTGGTTTGCGTGCTGTCGGAAAGGAAGACATGATCACATGGGGCTGTCTTGGAACGGCACACACACAGCCAACTCAAAGCTGCGGTATCGATGAAAATCCCAAATATCGATACTACGGTTTTGTAGAGGACTCCCAGGGAGGGACGCGCCATGCTGTCGCATGTGCCGCGTAGATGCGCTTACACCCCACAGTGCAGACGATTCTGATACGGTCGGCTTCGGCTTCGGGATGGCAAGATAGGCATCCACCATGCCAGAAAGCCGCTCTGCATCTATTCCATCTCAGATCTCCTCCGGGTACAGAGGCGGCTCATCACGTGGGGTTCGCGAGGCGCACGATTGCCTCCCATAGAGAATGCTGGCTCCAGGAGGCCAGGAACAGGGGAGGGGGGAGCAGTCCTGAGTTAATAGTCCCGGTGAACTCAGGCGAAGAGACGAAGTCTTTAGATCACATAAGGAGTGAAATTGATATAAAATATGGCCAGTATTGGCATTCGACTATGTTATACCAAGAACTAATGACGGCGTTAGATCGATGCTTGAGCTACTGAGCCGTCGGTGGTGGGCCTAGAATGCAAGACATTCACCACGGGACGCTGGCAAATCAGCTCCATTAGCGGCATCAGTTGGTCACTCTGTCACTGAGACCTTCATGTTGAATGTGACTATGACAGCGAGTCTGCAGAAAATGAAACATGCAGCCAATCGGAGATCGGGGCTGCAGGCTTCTTTGCGGGTTGTCGCCTTGTTTGCTCCATTGTATGCACACCCGTGGTCGTCCTCGGCGTTACGGGCCTCGGAGCTCGCCCCCGTCTCGACACTTCACAAACCAGCACAGTGATCCATCCTGCTGGTAGTGCAGAAGTCGTAAGGTGGCCAGGACGAGACAAAACGTAGGCGAAAGACGCAAACAATGTGCAATGTGCCTGATCTGCCTGGTCGATTCGACGGCAGTCCGGCTTTGCGCTTCCCGCCCAAAACAGAAAAGATCCCTGACAAGGTCACGCGAAGTTCACGTGGCGTCTTGCCGCTAGCAAAATTGGAGTCAGCGGGCAGCCTGGGCAGTTTTTGCAGGTTTCCAACAACAAGATGGAGGGGGGGGGGGGGGGAATGGGGGGACACCTCTTTGGGGCAGCCCCTTTATCGCCCTGTTATCGCGGGACGGGGCTGCGGGCTTGGCTGCAAGGGGTAAGGCGCGACGACGGCTCCTAATCTCAGTGCGGTCTACTGTAAGGTGTCACTAAAGGCGGCCCAGCGACTTTTAGTGCCCATGCCATGTGTGCATCAGCAGCGGCGGAAGCAGGGCCAGGGCTCAGAGTCAACCTTGGAAGCCAGCCCGGGCCAGCTAGGTAGTGAACTAGGTAGCACACGACAACAGCATCAGTCCGTCAGCCAGCAGTAAGCTGCCCAGGCCTCGGGTAGGGTTGGTTTGGATGGCTGAAATGGATGGGAAGATGATGGATGTGACCGAGGCACACACACACACACACAGAGAGAGAGAGAGAGAGTGAGTGAGAGTGAGAGAGAACGAGACACCAAGCTGCTGACCTGATCTCATGAGAGGGCCGACTCGGGCTGTAGTGCAGGCATTCGGGCGTCGGCAGGACTTTGCACACCACAAGATCCCGTCCCCCTGATCCCCTATAACTTACTTCGGCTAGCAACAGTGCACTCGCTCCTCGCTGAGGCTCACGCTCGGGTCGGGCAGCCTCAACTTGGCTTCTGCCTTCCTGCCTGTGCCTCTGTTTTGATGCTTGATGCTTGCATCGATGGATGATGTTGGTCTGTATCGGTATGCAGCTACCTCTAGTTAACGAAACTCACATAAGCACAGTACTTTAGATAGGTAGCTGGCCGTGGCTCTGAACTGGTTAGGTAGTCGAGTTACCCGTTGGCTGACTTCCATTGGGGTCCATTCTGAATTCGGCCGACCCAACGCTGAGCGTCGTAGTCGTCGGGCTGACACGACCAAAATTTGACGTCGCCTGTCGGTCGGTCATTCTCTTCACTTCCACATCATATCCCTCGAATCCTCCCGTGCTAGGTACAGGCCAAATCTGGCATGGTGAAGAGGAAAAGGGCAATTTTACAGTACATACCATACCTTAGAGAACCACTGGATAAGTCCCCTGCGATAAGATACCCATACCCGGCGCGATCGGATTATCGCGCCCGCATCATCCCACCCCCGGACGGCACAGCTTCAGGTCCCAGGCCAGCATTGGATCCGACCTGACCTCCAGGGCTGTGAGCTACCCGTGGACGCTGCTTGCGACACGACACCCAACAACAACCACCGAACCGCCAACGACGACGTCGTTTGCCCAGCACCACCGCACCCGCATCGGCGCCAGCAAACAACCGGTCGTCGGTCTGGCCCCGTTGCCATCTGCTTGAGCCATTCTCCATCTATATCTGTATCGGTATCTGCATCTGCATCTGCGCCTGTATCTGCATCGGCATCGGCATTGGTATCTGCAGCACAGCCGGTCCTCGATCGACGCCCATTATCACCTGCTGCCCACTGTCCGGCGGCATTTCACCACCTGCGAGCGTCGGCGCCTCCTCCTCACCACCCACCACCACCGACGTGCTCCTTCGTTGGCTTGTGACCTCGGCCGCCCAGCTCCCACGACCACATACCCGACCGTGAACTCGACCCCGAGGGAGAGAGAAAATCCGGATCAGATCAGATACCCCAGCGGCGGTCGCTCAACCCCATCTGCCCGGCATCGAATCCACCGCACATCAACCCGCCGCAGTTGAACGATCAGGCGACGGCAGCACTTCGCATGCTGACTTTTCACATCCATCACCCGAACCCGAACCCCCCCTGAGCTGCCTCGTGCCCAGTGCGTCCCGGCGCTGTGACATAATCCCCAGACATCATGTTCTGGAGATTTGGCGGCTACGCCAACATCTCCACCATCGACACCATCCTCGAGAAGCCCGACTTCCAGCTCGAGGACCTGCTCGACGAGAGCGACCTGATCCAGGAGCTTAAGCAGCACAACACCAAGCTCATCGAGTACCTGCGCGAGGAGGCCGTCCTCGAGAAGCTGCTCGAGTATGTCGTCGCTCCCAAGCTCGAGCCCGTCGAGAACCCGGACGACGACAAGGACAAGGACAAGGACAAGGACGATGACGAGCGCAAGGGCAAGCTGATCCTGCCCTTCGGCCGCCCCCGCGCCTCGTCAAAGTCCACCAACGATGGCGAGCCCGACGAGGACGAGGGCGAGAAGAAGCGCAACCGCTACGCCTACGTCGCCGCCGAGGTCCTGTCCTCGGACAACTGGAGCATCTACGAGGCCCTCATGGAGAGCACCTCCCTCCTGCGCAACTTCTGGAACTTCCTCAAGCTGCCCGCGCCCCTCGACCCCCTCCAGGCTAGCTACTTCACAAAGGTCAACGAGTCTCTCTTCGACAAGAAGACGGAGGAGATGCTGCTCCTGCTCAAGTCTCTCGACAACGCCATTCCCGACATGCTACGCCACGTCGACTGCCCCATGATCATGGATCTGCTGTTGAAGATTATCAGCCTCGAGCGCATCGACAGTGGACAAGGCGTAGTCGAGGTGAGTTCCTTCTCCTGCTGCCGCCACCCTGAAGAACACGGCGGCATAGCATCCTCCCAGATTCGGACGCGGGGCTAACTATTATGTGCAGTGGCTATTCACCAAGGACGTCATGCCAACATTGCTGTCCTTCCTCGGCCCTGAGCACAGCTGGGCAACCCAGACCTCTGCTGGTGATTTCATGAAGGCAATCATTACCGTGTCCGCCAATGCTTCTCAGAATGAGCAGGCTTGCATTGGCCCCAACGAGCTCACCCGGCAGCTGGTATCCAAGCCCTGTGTGGAGCAGCTCATCAACTACATGCTCGGCGGGGGGAACCCCTTGACTGTGGGCGTGGGCATTATCATTGAAGTCATCCGCAAGAATAACTCGGACTACGACCCCGACGTCGGTCCTGACAACAGTGCCACGCCCTCGAGTCGTGACCCCATCTACCTCGGCACCCTCTTGAGGAGGTTCGCCGACCATGTCCCTGATTTCATGAATCTGATCATGAACGCTACTTCCACCAAGCAGCACATCGACTCGACTTTTAACGACGAAATCGAGCCCCTTGGCTTTGACAGGTTCAAGACGTGTGAGCTCATGGCTGAACTGTTGCACTGCAGCAATATGGCTCTACTCAACGAGGTTGGATCCGAGCAAGTCATAGCGCTGCGTGACGAGGAACGGAAGAGGCTGCGGGCCGAAGGCAAGCTCGTCCCCATGCGCGCCGATGAGCCGCACTCCTCGGCCGAGGACCTCACCATGCGCGGTCGTCACTCTTCGCCAGATGACGGTCGCCGTTTGGAAGTAACCAACGCATCTGACGACGACGGTTTTGAAGAGGTAACGCCCTCGGGAGAAATGACCGAAGACACTTCTCATGAGTTCGTCAAGGCCGAGGACGAGATCCCTGCTCCTGCGTCATCATCCTCATTTCTCGATAAGGACGACGATGACGACTTTGTCGATGAGCCTCTCAGTTCTCCCAGGCTGAACGTCCAGGACGCCAAGGTCAACGATCTGCCCGAGTTTGAGAACCCTGAGCTGGTCGTCGCGCCCTTGTCGCCAAAGAAGGTGGCTGTCCGAAGTGTTGCCCCGACAAGCGATGGCCCTAGTTCAGATTCTGCCGAAGCACCCGAGAAGCCATCTGAAGTCGTAGAAGACACGAAGGCGCCCGAGCCTGCCGCGTCGGCGACATTGGGGGACAAGGTCCCAGAAGAACCTGAAAAGTCAGAGCTCGAGCCCGGTCATGCTACAGACGAGTCGAAACCCGACCCCCAGGCTGAAACCTCGGAATCACACTCAACACCGGAGGGCAAGGATGAAGAGACTACGACGGCACCTGTCGACCTTTCTGCTACTCCTGAGTCAGCCAAGGAGACCGCGGAGGAGCCCAGCCAGGTCCAACCGGGTGCTTCTGAGCAAGAAGCTGCACCGACAGCGGAGACCGGAGATGGATCGATTATCGTTGGCCACGAGCCGGCGCCCCCACCGTCCACCGACGATGATCAGATGAAGCCAGTCGTGGGCGATTATCTCAAGATGCAGTTCGTTGAGTACAAGGTCGTCCCCACCATCTTGGTATGTATTCCGCTTTGTTCAGCAAGATCGCCGCTAACCGTGATAGTCCTTCTTTTTCAAGTATCCTTGGAACAACTTCCTGCACAATGTCGTCTATGACATTGTCCAGCAGGTCTTCAACGGCCCCATGGATCGTGGCTACAACCCCACATTGGCCATTTCGCTCTTTGAAGCTGCGGACGTGACCAATGCCATCATCAATGGCCAGACCGCCAGCGAGAAGTCGCAGGCCGAGTCCAAGACCCGCATGGGATACATGGGACACCTGACCCTCATCGCCGAGGAGGTTGTCAAGTTTACCGAGCGGAACCCTCCCGAGCTCCTGTCTGAGCTTGTGCTTGATCGAGTCATGAGCCAGGACTGGATCAACTACGTTGAAGGCGCCCTAGCGGAGACGCGTGAGAGAGATAATGCCATTCTCGGCGGCGTTCGACCCGAGGTAGCTATGAGCAATCGCGCGGCAATGGCTGGCAACGGGCTCGGTGGCATGGGGCTCTCCAGCTTGGGACTTGGCAATTCTCAAGGCCAATCAAGTGCTCTGGCCGAGGCCGGCCTTAATGGGGGCGGCAGCATGGATATGCAAGACAACGGGAGCGCCAGCAATATGTCACACTTCAGCATCACTAGTGGAATGGTGAACTCTGGCTTTGGCAGCTCCAGTGACGAGGATGAGGACGAGTCTGAGGAAAACGAAGAGGACGTCAACAATGAGGTAAGTCGTAATTTTTTTTTCTTTTTACATAGACAACCACCATCAGAAGGGCAGCTAACCAGGGTGTAGTTTCAACGGTACACAGGCTCTCTGAATGATTCATCATCACTGGACCCACCGTCTATCCCGCCGCCTCCCCCTCCTCCACCTCCGTTGAACATTCCTCCGTCCCGAGCTCGCCTCCAGCTGGCGGCCCGCCTGGCCATGCATCAGAAGAACGCTAACGTTGCTACTGCTCAGTCGGCAGAGATTGAGGGCGTAGAGGATGACGATGCCGAGCACGCATTGACGAGGGAACCAGACAGCATACTGCACAACCCCTTCGGTGACGACGCTGAAGACGTGGATGACGATAGTGACGATGGCCTTGGTGATGACGATGGCTCCTCTGGGTCATGGAATTCTCACGCTCGCGGCAGCTGGTGGCGCAATGCACTTTCGCGGAACCGCAATGAAAAGTTCGGGGATGGCCGCGACGATTCCGACTCGGACAATGATCAAGGAGACAACGACGATGAAGACGAAGAGTTTGGCGACTTTGCCATGCCTGAGAAAGACGGCAGCGACAATGAGAGGAACAACGTCATAGTGAAGCCTCTCCCCGTACACCCGCCAAGCCAAAACCAGAAGAGCTCAGCCTTCACCAGCCTCTGGCCATTTAGTGGGCAGGGCTTTGGATCCAAGGACAAGGACAAGGACCAGGCGAAGGAAGGCGAGGCGGAGAAGACGGACCAGCCCGACGAGATCACGGGTGATGACGGCGAGAAGATCAAGAGCACTCATGAGGCTAAGGCCCGCACGAGTATCGAGGATGCGGACGAGGAAGAGGTTGTCGTCTAGGAAACGATGGGTAGTTCCAATGAGAAGTGCGGTCTTGGAATCAGCGTCGACGGGAAAGGGCTATGTGGGAGTTTCTTCTCCGTTGTGGCCAAGTCCGAGCCGGCAGTCTCAGGGAAGGTCGTTGTGCCAGTTGCCTCAGATGTTGCCGACAGTTCACAGGAGCCGTGTACAAAGTGAGGCATGTCCGCCGGGTGACGCGCGCAGAAGTCGAATGTACGGAGTGATGGTCCTGTATGACTGAAGAGAATGGAAATGGGACGACCAACAGCGTGTGGGATTTTGTGTATTATATATGTGACTCTAGGAACGTGGGTGCACGCGTTGTCAGATGAGACGCGGCGGCCTGGTGTGTACAGTACGTATGTTATGGAATGTGGACGGATTGATGGATATGTGATTGCCATTGTGAACTGAAGTCTACCTGAGCGTACAGGGGAAAACGTGAATGTTCGTTGTTCACACTGTCTGGGCAGAATACACTCCATTGCGGCACATATGTCTCCGGCGTCGAATCAATCGTCCGTCTTCACCTTTCTGTTTCCCACTGATGGCCGAGACTGACTGTCAAGTCGTCTTTTCGGGGCGCTGGATGCACCGAACGGTTCCGACTCCCATTTCCCCCTTCCCACAAGAATCTCTCGACTTGGCTAGTAACAATGGAGAGTTGTAGCCTTCGAAGTATTCCGTGATACTGTGTTCGAGGACGTCCATATCGCACCCAAATTTGTGGCCCTCGCGTAGTATCTTCATTACGAGCAAATCCTTTTGAAGCAAGCTTGCCGTAGGATCTTTACAGCCACCAAGAAGCTCTGCCCGGAGAATGAGGAGAAGCACGTCTAGTTGCTTTTCACTATGTCTACGCAACGCGCCTAGGAACACGTCAATCATGCTGCAGATGTCTTTCAAGTCCACCTCACAGCCTTCGTCTGAGAAAAGCTTGAAGAATAAAGTAAGAGGGTAATGGCGAGCACGAGTGAAATGATTGGGGAACACGCTTTGACGTCCACTGTCGTGGACGCAGCGAACTCTGTGCGCTCCGTTCTCTAGGAAAGCAGAGAACATAATGCAATCTGGCGTTCTTTTCTCACGATATCTCAGAAAGTGTAGGAGGAAGTGGTTCCACGGCGAGGTTCCGGACTTGTCCCGAAGTTGAGGACCTATCGTGGCAGCCATCTCTTGAATGACGAGCGTTGGCCAATGCAGCCAAGATGTGTGCTACCAACCAGACCTTGGCCTCCCACACACCACTGTAGGCCGCCCGTTGGGCATAGCCACCTTTACCCCGGGTTTCACTCTGCCTATGGCTGTGCGGCGAACAGGCAGACCTGGTGCACTCAAGCATACAGGCCCCTATATTAGCATTAAATCGAACCGCGTCTCACCTTTCACAGATTACTCAATGGACATATTAACGCGGCGCTGGACATCACCACAACCTCCCATGAAAATCAAGCCCCTGCAAAGCAATGCCTCGCCTCAGGGGGATGGTGATCCCCCGGTCACATATGATTGAAATTGACCGTAAAGAATCGTTAGACCATGCAAAGTATCCACAGTATGCATCATGCCTAGCAATTACAGTTCCTATTAGAGCGTACAACCGTGGCCATGCGGCCAATTAGCACAACGTGTTAGAGTAGTTGAGTGTGTTTCTCCCACATGCTATTGGTCTAGCCAAAGCGTACTCCAGGCTGTGGCCGTTCGGCTCACGAACCAAGCATCAAAGATTCGATGCACCATCTCCGTTCTTTTGAATGCTCTCGCAAATAGAATAAGAGAGTACGGTTCCACATAACCCACACATGATAAGGAATTATGTCTGCATCTCCCTTTCCAAAAGAAAACAGAAGGCCAGACCAGTCAGTACGATTCAGCCGCTATAAAAACTTAGCAATGACCAAACAGCAAGCTATAAACAAGTATCAGCCTTGGACTTGTATACTGTAGCCACAAGTTTTTGTTAAGCACAGATGCCTCATTATTAGAGCCAACCGTAATGTCTCAGCATACGCAAAAGCGCTGATTTGGCTATTCGTGGGTATTTGGCACAGATTCATTTACATTAGACAGAAAAAAATGTAGACGAAGAGGCGATGATACCAGGTAGCCAATTAACGATTTTGCTACTCAGCAGCTAATTCTAAGTTTGCTCAACTAAAAGAGTGACAGGAATTCCAACAAGGAGCGTAGTGCAATCATGGCCGACCATATACTCGCCAGCATACACAAAGGGGACAGGAAAAAAGAAAGAAAAAACAAAAAGAAAAGACAGCCGCAAAATAGGTTTCACTAAGTAAGTCAGTTCGATAACACGACCTGGTTCCTTGGTGTTCTGTTCATGTTGTGAGGCGCGACAGATCTTGCCAGGCGATCTTTAAGAACAACCTCCAGAGTTAGGGTCGGACCTGGATGACCAGCTTAATTAGCAAACAGACAGGCCATTACGTATGGCATCTGTGTGGTGAGTGAACTTACATGAATCTCCAGTTCCCTTGGTAGCTCATACCACCCATGTCACAACCCACGATCTCGAGCCGGAGGTACTTGATGCAGTCATCAATGGTCAAGTCAGCCGGAGAGTCGGCCCAACGGCGCACATTGAAGTTGACACGCTTCCGCGAGCCCAGGTTGTAGCACGCCGAGCGCTCCGACTTGCCCTTGTAACTGCCAATAAGCTTGTCTCGGCAGGCTTTGTCGACAGCGTTGATCGCCAATCCGACTTCATTGCCCCATTCAACGCCGCCGAGGTAGCAGCTGCGCTTGGACAGGCCGTGTCCTGACTCTGTGTTCTCCGGGTGGCCAACGGCCAGCCCGGACACAGCAGCCACCGCAACGAGTGGGAGAGCGAGGAACTTGCTGATATGCATGATCGAAGACGGAACTTGATGCTTTGGAGCAGACAAGGTATTATGGGCCGCAGAGGGGATTTCCCAATGAATTGAATGGCTAATTTGCAGGTCTGTGATGTGTTGTCTGAATCTTGTGTCGGTTTCTCTTGAGGAGGACGTAACTGCCTATTTATACTCCGTGAAGCAGAAAATTATTAGAATCTGCCTCGACTCTTTCTTCATTACCTAACCTCGGTACTTTTTAGCCATAAGCGGCCATAGAGCCCTGCAATGAGAGGCACATCGACTCTCTCTTTGGGACAGCATCGATCATAGCTCAGATTGTAGTAGTGAAAGATCTCGGTGGAGCGTGTAAGACCAAATGGACAAACTAGCGGATCCCAATAATGGAGACAGCCGACTTAGAGAAGGGCGGACGATATGAACGATAGGAGCTGCTTACGCGAAAGTTCTCGTTCCCGCTGAGTCATATTCGAAGTAACTGGCCAATGTCGCACAAGTCCTCGCTTGGCTGATGGTTTTTCGTGTGCGAGATCGACAAAGTCGATATAGCCAAGCTGGCCCCACTTCTTGCGGCCGCAGTCTGGGCTATATATCTTCTCCCAATCCCGCAAAGGGCTGCGCTCGCTTAGTTGAGAACTAATTATTGAAACCTGACTGGTCCAGCACAAACCCGCAACAGTTGGTGCCAAGTCTAAACTAGAACTCAGCTGAGGAACCATGCAGCGACTGTTTGCCGTCAACCTCCGCAAGGCTGACCATGGATCACCGTAACGGAATCAAAATGATGTACTCCAGAACATAGTAATTTACTGCCTCAGTACAAATAAAAATGAGAATGGTGGAGATACATTCAGCCTGTTCTCCCACACTGCTGTGTAAGATCTAGTTGTTACAATTTTGTAGGATGCTCGTCTGTTCTGGCAGCTCAAATATAGCTATTTGCAACAGTGAGCCGTCATGTGATTACTGCCACTAGCTAGGGTGTATGGTGGTAGAATACTTCACTTTTGATAGAGTAGGCAAATCGCGGATCTCGCGCCCGTTTGTATTAGATCTCTACGTTATTGTTGCGTTACTCTTACACCCCATACATGAGCGTTGCCATTTGTAATTTGCAAGACGGTGACACTCTTCACTGCGGATTCACATGTCAGCCAAACTCCGAAACGGGAAGCGCCCCGCAATATACGGAGTCCTGGGGAAGTCTTGGAGATGGACTTTCAGCTTGCTCCATTTTCGAAGACGTTAAGTGGTGTTCCAAGGATGGAATTTACGCGCTCTGCCTTGGCAACAATCTTCACTTGCAGAAGAGGCCAGCAAACAGAGAGACAACTTATCAATCGCGGGATATAGAGACTCGGTTGAGAGTACGCCCTAGCGAGATGGTATCCAGATTTCTGACGTTATACACATAGGTACCTAGTTTCGCGAGTACCTATCTGGTGTGCCAGGTAGAACCCCTCCAATGACATATCAACTTGGTAACTAAGGCGCCCAAGTCCAGGAGCTAGTCCAGGAGTTACCCACACTAATATGAGGATAGGCCCGGTTTCGACCATCTCAATCACTAGATCTCCAAGCAGGTTGCGACTAAGGCGGCAAGTGCATTAGCTCCGGTAGGGCGAGCTTCAAGATGTAAACTAGACAACGACACGATGCCGGAGGTGGAAGCAGGGAGGGAAGGAACGGTTCCAGTTCAGTCTTGCTCGTCCAAGGACTCGCAGAGTTCACGCGTGGTGCTCTTGCTGCCTCTGGCGTCAAAGATCCGGGTTCAACTGCAATGGTGAATTTGACAGCCTTTCGAGTGCGACTTTGGTTGGTCTCGTCACTATCCGCCTCGACCATGCGCAAGACCATCAGCGTGGTCTCTGAGGAGTTGTGTAATGCACAAGACGGGCGCAGTCCAGGAACTCTGGAGTGTAGCGTGCCACGAACCCGGCGGCCCCGTGCTCGGGCAGATAGATTCGACTGTCGTAACTGTTCTCCATCATGAACTGAGATAGTATTTCGGCTTGATGGAACCAAAATCCATCGCCGGATCCAGAATTTATTTTCCGTAGTGTGCGCATCCTTTGGCTTTGAGCCTAGGTTATGTGTACTAGACATGGCCAACTCTAAACGGCCCAAGGTAGTATGTTAAGAGAGCTATTTCAGACCAAGGAGCGAAATTCGCTCTCAAGAATAATAAACCAACCCTATGCATTCAGCCACTGTGAAATAATACTTATTCAGCCCCGAGATATATTCACCTGATGATGCGATCGACAGGTGAGTACACTGACTTATATCCCGTGCAAGATCCAAGTACAGAAAGCAGCAAAAGTATGTTAATTCAGCATCCACAGGTAGCCTATCTATGATTCACTCCCGAGGAGGGGGTGTTCGAACTATTTGTATGACACTGGACTATTAGACAAAGCAGAGTACCATGTTTCAGCAAAAGCCGCCTGCCGGCCGTTGTTATCCAACGGCAGGCGGTTTGAAGTACACCATATCGGCTTAAATCGCGCGTACAGCGAGTCTAACTACATGCTACTCATGCAAATAGCCATAGTCGGGTTATTTCCAATGGTTTTGATCAAAGTTGAGAGTGTAGGACCAACCGCTTCCGGAAAAACCAGGCCAAGTTTGGCTACTTCTTTATGCCAACCAATCCCTTTGTCTTCGCCATAATTTGCTGGGGGATTCGTCTCTAAGAACCACCAATTTGCAATGGCAGATTTTGATTACCACTTAGATCCGTTTAGATCCCGCCATCAATAAGTCGTCAGTAATGGCCTCCGCACCGCGAAAGCCCCGACACATCACAGTCAACTGGATCACAGCTGTCGGTCACGGTTGGACCCTCTCGCAACTTCTGCAAAACTACAGCTACCGAACGAGTTTTTACACAGAGTACAATGCACTGGCGGAGTATGGCTGGCACACGTATGAGGAGTCCACCTCACGAGACGTCGGAGGCGAGTTGCGGGAGATTGCTGCGCAGCTTCGGGAGTGTGGGGTGACGATCTCAGACCAGCCCGACGACTACGTTGAGCATAAAGCCTTGCACAGCAATGACTATAATATTACCTATCCGGCAGTCCGTGGCGCCGAACCGAAGACAGTTAGACAGGTATGTGAGCTGCACAAGAGAGGTCGTTGTCGTCCAATGGAGAAAGTTGGCCGGCCCTCCCAATCCAGCGTAGTCGCGTCCGTGAGCTCACATTGCTCGATCTGAATCAGGAAGCCTCCCACGCGATCTATGAGACCAACGTCGATAAAACCAATGGCGTGATATTCGCTAAGCGAATGCAGTCTCCACGGTATCGCATCGACAAAGGAAGGGAGCAAGTAGCCATGCACAAAGGCGAGCACTGGAATCCGGATGTCCCTCCACTGAATCAGTGGTCCGATGTCGCGTTTCTGCAGTGGAAGAAAACCGTCGGCTTCCAGCTACACGGTTTGAATGTCGTCTTCCATCACATTGTACGTACCTTTCATGCTTGGCATTCATCAGGGGCGGAGCCGACGATGCTGACAGAGGGTCTCGCCATAGATTGATAATGATATCACAGACGTAAGTCTACCGAGAGCTCTCCTGATTGATGAGACCCAATTATGTTAAGTAGATATCCTTACTAAACTCTCATCAGAGAATTCTCACCCATATAATTGGTCACAACTGGAACGGTCAGCCGGTTGTCGTTACTCCGAGGGGGGATGACGAAGAGACTTTCCTGGCGATTTTAGGAACTCCCCATGGGAAATCGACATGCTATCTGCTGGAGCAGCACTCTCAGGATCTGGGAAGGAAGGCGGTGACGAAAATAGTCATATTGCAGAGCCGCGCCTTGAGGCGAGATGGGACCAACTTGTACCATTTAGCGATGGTGCTGGGAGACTTGGGGGATAATTACCTCAGCTAACGTCTGAGGTGCATGACAAGCGTAGCGCCCAAAGCCACGAGGGAATATATATCTGTTTGTCGCCAAATACGAAGCATATCAAGCCACAACGTCCGTGCACGATGTACGATATCTTGGTACAATGTATGGTAGCCACGCTGTGAGAATGGCATGCTGCGCGCAAGATTGAAGTCCCTTACATCTTGACTCCTCTGTGGCGGTTTGTGTTCGTTCGTATGTGATGAAATACGTTGAGCGGCTGAGGAGATGCTTTCGGAGGCCTCTGTGATCGAGCATCTACCTTGACATCTCCTAGACTTCAGGACCTTGATCTTGGGATATGACGTTGCGGACGACTGTAGTGCTATGGAAACATGTTGAAGCGACGGAACAAAGGATAGACAGAGGCAGCCGAGGGAATGCCGGGGTTTATTATGGAACCCATGCTGAAATATGTTTCAGATCTCTGTGTGGCTACCTCTGGAGTGTGTCGCAGCGCAAGAGAAACCCACAGTCGGAAGGCCAAAGTCGGGAGTCGGATCCCCCCAGGTTGCGTCGGAGTTGCAGGTGTCGTGTCAAGGAACCGGCGCTAGCACCAGCCGTACCCAAGCAGTTGGGCATGGAATCTGCAGTCTGCAGCGCGGAGGACAGGAGCAAAGGAGCATACGGGCTGTCATCAAGTGCGTGTTCTGCGGGTCCGGGGTGGGAATGGACCGGGCTTGGGTGGTAAGGACCTCGTATTGCCACGAGGCGCTGGAAATGGGCGTCCTCCGCCGTTGACGATCACCGAGCTAAGATGCCAGCCGTTCGGTCGTAGTTACATGATCATCACTCGATTTCGGCCAGGGTTCTCGATGAAGCATCATGGGAAACCTATGGGAACAGACACGATGCAGAGGGCAGCGGAGGGAGTTGGCAAGTCTTGGACCGGGGAAGCGCATAGCCTTTCCCAAGCCTGCCGCCACCGAAGCTGCTGGCGCGCAGCGCTTCTCTTAGCACAGCCGCTAATCACATTAATGCAGAAGGACAAAACAACAGGGCAAGACTCGTCCTGGTTCCTGGCTATATCTCGAGCCTGTCAAAGGAAATAAAACCCAAGAAATCTGTGCCTGGAGATCGTAGGGCTGAGGCTAGCCTGGCTGGAGCGACTGCCCACTCGTTTCGGCTTGGACAGGGACAGGGCCGCACTGCGCTTAAAATAAGACCTACAATACGAGCCTTAGCTGACTAAAGGGCGCGCGAGGGCGTCGAATACGGGGGGCGGCCGTTGGCCAATTAGGGACCGCTCCGCGCTACCACAGGCCCAACCTTGAAGCGAGCACCGCGCCGCCGCTAACTGACACTTCGGGAGCGACGCTCATTTGCCCGGGCGCGCACACGATGTTCGCTCCTGGTATAGTCGAGCCGTCCGCGAACATGGGCATTCCTGAGCGCGAGCGGAGCCCTGCCGAGACACGAAGCGTGCACGGGAATACGGGAAAAAGGGTACCTACCATCTTGATGGTCTCCTCCTCGGCGGGACTTCGCGACATGGCACTGCTGGTGGACACGGGGGGTGCAATGCCTCTCTACCCTTCCGGAATCATCACGTCACCTTTTCTCGTTTTTCCCCAGTGGCATGGGGTGGGTTTCTCAGAATAGCATCTCGTTCCCTACCCCGAAGATGACAGGGACTTATATCTCCATCGTGGTTATGGCTGCCGAGCGAAACCATTTGAGACAGCTGGGGATACGACGATGAACGACCGGGCATATAAGTGATAGCTAGTCACCGTGAATAGCACATCTTGTTGGCCAGTTCCACCACGCCAACATGCCATATATCGGAGTCAATGACAGACGGAGAACTCTTTCCAGAGGCGATATCAAACAGCAATGCTCACAATAGGGGAGCTCTACCGGTCGAATTGGCCACCGGCCAGTTTCCCAACTTTCATCAAGCAATATGACACGAGATCACATCTCCCTATACGGTAGGCGCTTCCTTTATAATTTCCAAGCTGGCGATGCCAGCTGTCCAAATCCGGACCCAGAGCACTGATAGACAGCACCCAGGGTCTTCCTGCCACAGTCGTACGACATGAGCACAGGAATCCCACTGCCAGTCCTTTTCACCGTACACGGCGGCGGCTTCTCCATGGGCAGCGCAACGGACGATGATCGGTGGAATCGACTCTTTGCCGACACACAGGGCGTCATGGTGGTCGGACTGAACCACTCCAAAGCGCCCTACGCGCCATACCCTACGGCCATCTACGACCTCGAGGCCGTGATTCTGGCGGTCATGAACGACATAAGTCTGCCGATAGACCGCACGCGCACCGCCATCGGCGGTTCCTTCTCGGGCGCCACCCTCGCCTTTGCCGTCGCCCAGCTGGCTAGGATCCGGACGCAGGTCGCCTTCCGGGCCGTCTTCAGCAGCTGCGGACTGTTGGAGCTAGGCATTCCGGCGTCGGCAAAGGCCAAGACTAGGCCGTATAAGCCAGGGCTGAGCTCTGCCCGATCCGGCGCCACAGACAGCATGGCAAATGCTCTCCCATCCATACAATGGGGATACACGCCGGCGGGGACCGACATGACAGACCCGCTCTATGCACCATTCTACGCACCTGCCAGTGCCTTGCCGCCACATGTGTGCCTTTTGGCGGCCGAACTTGACATACTCGCTCACGATGCTTGGCGCATGGCATGTCGCCTAGCCGGCCGCCGAGTCCCGGGGATGGAGGAGCAGGTAGGACGGCCTGGGGTGGGGGCACGGGGGATGCTGGAACTTACCGACGCTGCTTTCGGCTTCGAGGTCGTCATGGGGGCATCATCTGGTGGGGGTGTCCGGAGCGTCAAGTGGTTGTTGGTCCCGGACGCCCTGCATGGGTTTGATCTTCGCCTGCCAGATGCGCTGGCCGGGGACGATGAGACCAGGGAGGACGCGAACATGAAGACCAGACAGGCCGTGGTTGCGTTGGGACAGTGGTTGAGGGGGGTCGTTTGGGGGATGTGACGATAGTGGGGGAGTGCGCCTCAAGGGGTGGCTGGTAGGTGTGAGGCCGGCTGAGCTGGAGGTCACATTTGAGTCACTGCCTCGGGTATATCTCGAATGACCCAAGTGACTTCAGTGGGAGGCGGAAAAAGTCTTGCTGGCGTGGCCTGGATGCGTTATCGACGTGCCTGCACCTCGGTTCCGGCACGGGGCCCAAGTCCTGGTCTCGTGCTGTGGTGACGCGTGTGGAGGCGAACTTGGCGGAGCAACAGCTCGCAGGAAGCGAAAATGAAGGCTCGAGGGATTCTCGTGCTTGGTTAATGAGTTGGCGCGGCAATGGAGCCCGGCGTTGAGGTTGGAGCTTGTGCCTGCATAGAGCGGCCTTTTAGATATTGCCGCATACATCGCCGCATGATGGGAAGCTGGCCTTCTCAGTATTTCCATTCGACAGGTGGATTAATAGGGCTCTGGACTGATAGTTCCAACACCATCAAATTGTAATGATCAAATATTGGGCTCAAGGTGAAACGAAGGATTCAGCAGGTGTGGAGGAGCGTCCAACGCCGTTGATTGACGTTGCTGATCTTACATTTCGCCGTCGTACAAAAACCGACTGCCCGGCCCCCACGTGGTGACTCTGGGGGGGTGAGATGCAACGCCAATGGATCTAGAACTGGCTGTAAGCATGCAGGGCACATTGCATTGGCCCTTTCCTTTCGCTTTCGCTCGCCCCAGTTGCGCAGTGGACGGATCGCTGTGGGCTGGAGGCTTATCTTGGCCGATTCCTAATCACGCCGCCTGGGGGTTGATGGCAGCGTCACTGAATGAGCTGCAGGCCTGACAGGTGCTCCCATCGAGTATAGGCGACAACCTAGAAACCTGACCAATTGAGGTAAAGGCTGGCGAGGTGATTGATCTGCTTCCAGCCTTGCTGAAAACGGTTCAATGGGCCTGCAGGTCCAGGGATCTCCAGACCGTGGGTGTGCGCAACTATGAAATCACCGGCCGTTGTGTTACCATGTTTCATCTACTGAAGGATTCCTGAGGATTGGGCTAATCATGTAGCGACGTCACAATCGCGAGGTTGCGACTGGCTCCCGCGGCCGGCGCATTCGCAATAAACGACGAAGGCATGATGCGGTGATGTAGCTCATGTTGAATGGTGACGACCGGCCAAATCTGATAACCTTCGACCTCTCCTTGTTACAGTGTATTTTGTCAGGCTGCGAGACTCCATCCGAGACTCTATCCGAGAACTGGAACTATCACGAGGTGTCTAAACAGTCCTGGCACCAAGAAATATATTGGATGGCAGGTAGAGGTCGCAGGTCGAATGCTGAAGGCGTGCTGAACTGGCTCAACCCATTTGATATACTGAAGTTCATAGATCCCGGAGCTGGTTGCGTTGTGACCAGGCCACGGACGGGGATCATGAACGTTTGGCTGGGGCCTCTGTACCGGCCACTCCAGACCTCCAGGGCTACCTAGATGCGCGGGAAGCGCCTGTCTTGCCTGTAGCCCGGCTGAAAACGTGGGCACCCAGGTTTATCCGTGGAATCGGAACCGGAAACGCGTTGTCTTGTCGCCGATCGATGCCCTTTGCGAGGATGCAAGCGTGCTGATCTTTGCAACAATGGTCTTGACGCCTGTGTTCATCTGGTTAGATGATGCGCGCAAGACTTACCAGTTACGCATCTGAGGCTACGTCGTTCGGTATAGTTGATTAGGTATCGTTGCGAAATGCAGCTTTTGCGCAGGCCTCGGTCAGGGAACACCAACGTAAGCGGTTGCGTGTGAGCGGGTGGGCGTTCAACCTCTGTGCTCACGCTTCAATCCGGACTCGACTCCAATGTCACGAGCTAGGCGCCGGGCAAGTATCTATTCTTCTATTTAGGTATGTAGTACCAAGTGCATCGCGTGCTACCTAGGTAAATAGTAAGGAAATGGCCCACATGCCCCCTCTAGGCTCGCTGACTTACTTACCTAGATACACGTTCCAATTAAAGGCTGCACGTAGGTAGCGCAGCAACCGAAAATGATCACTGCCTCGCCGAAATTAGTCTGTTCCTTTGCTGCAATCCCTCGAGCTCGGTTCTGGGGGGAGGGCGAATTATGACCAACCTGATTCGACGCTCTCATGTCAGTCTGGTTGCACGATGCCAGCGTTCCTGATCAGGGGATTTCACCAAGTGCGCAAGTGATCGGGCGACCCTTCTAACGAAAGTGACGTCAAACAAGAAAAGACCCTTCAGGAACACTTTGCAGCACCCAAAGGAGTTCCTGCGATCGGCGCGGGCCCGCTTCAAAGGAGCGATAGCAACTGACGATGTGACCTAGGTGGCCGCAGGAAAAGTGGCCGGGGGTGCGATCCTTCAAGAAGTCCAGTGCAGCAGTTGGGTAACGATATAGCCGGAACAGTCAAATGGTGCGCCTCTGTGCGTTGCATGGTGCCATTCTGGTGGGCGGGGCGGATCTCGCGACACTGGCCATGAGAAATCCTGGATGCCATTAGGACGGCGATATCCTGCCTGCCTGCCGGGCAGGATTGATGTGTTATCTGATTTCTTGATACCCACTGCACATGTGTCGTCAGGAACAGCGGTCCCAGGCCTGATCATTCATGATCAGATCTACATGCTGTCTGTGCCTTCGGTAGATGGGAGGAAGGGTCATTGGCTCCCAGAAGCTTGGAGGCGCAAGAGGCAATGTGATTTGTCCTGGGTGACGGGCCATGGAACTTCCCGCCAAATCTGGTCTATAGTTAGCAATCCGCTAAGCTCCAGAGGGCTAGAAGGGTGCGGCAGTGTCTGGCAGTGGGGCTGGGACGCTAACCCAACGTCGCGGCAGGGTGGCTGAAGGCCATCCATAGCGCTGGTGCTGCCGACGCTGCACGGGCGCTACCCGTCGACGGCTGTTCTTGGGTCCCTCCAGCTCCAACCTAACTTACCCTTCCACGCTTTCGCAGCATCGTCGTTGCTCGAGATGGGCGACGGAAGGTCGCGTGCAACCACGTCGCCTGTGGCTAGAAACGTGCAAGATGAAGCGCATGAAACAGTGTCTGCCTTTCGTCCCGGCAATGCTGCGATTCTGGCGCGCAACAGGTACGTAAGTAAGCTCGCATGGACGCACGGCCTCGCTGAGCTCTGTTAGAGTTGGGGCGGAGCACCGCGATACATGGTAGGCCACCGGCTCAGGGTCCCAACTGCGTGCTTACTACACACCATCGACCTGCATCCGCATGGGACCATGGAGTACCCTTCGGGCAGGGTTACATCTTTTCTGGGGTGAAGAAAGTCTCTTTTGCTTAGTAGTTCCCTGACGGCTGTGAGGCACCCTTTGGGGATGTGGGAGGGCATCCCGCGGGCCCAAAGTCAGCCTGTAAGAGCTCGCTGCGCCAATCGGCGACCTCGCCCGGCGCCGAGTTGGTGTGATGTCAATGGGAGCCGTATGATGATCCTTCTGGACATCGTACAAGGGTCCCCAAACTGCTGCAACCTCGCCCTGCGCCTAGACTCAGCTCGCAGCTCATATTCATGGGAGCTGTCCACTCTGATTTATGCTACACTCTATTCTTGTAATTCTTCACCCAACTCCTACCAGACATCGCTCAGAATCATCGAGCGTGAAGTTGAAGCAGTCTTACTTGTTTCATTTGTGAGTCTGGGATTGGGAATCTCATGCTGTTGAACTCTTACACATACTATAATCCCTACCCGTCGGCCAGCAGCGTTGCAATCTCGTGGAAGGACGTCAGCACACCACCCATCTCAAACCCCCCGTATGCCGCAGATCTTTCACTTACATGGCATCTTGATACTGTGTCAAAACCATGTCGACATTCCTGTCTCTACCCCCAATCGACACCTCTCTGCGGTTGTTCGAACAAGAACCGAGAGTATACGAACAAGACTCAGATTTCATCGGAACAGAGGAAATGGCCCTTCCAGTAAAACGGCGGACACCTCTTCCTCTCATCGACACCGCTCGACCGCCGCCTCACCAAGATATACCCGAAGAGATCCTGGCCTCAGCCGCTGAGGCAGTAGCTGATGCGCTCGGCCTTTCTCTCAGCGAGATGCCAGAGTCTTATGCGTCCTCAAGGCCACGGAGGGCGGGCATTCGAAGGTCCAGCTCTGTCTACCTACCTCCAGCAGACGCAAAATGGGTGTCTCCTACGCAAGGCTCTATTGAGCAGCGACTAAGCATAGCAGTGGCGGACACCCTCGGTATAGATGTCAGTGCGATCCCTCGGGATGAATCCTTCGTGGAGCTGGGAGGAGATCCACGAACTGCGAGAACACTGCGAGCAAAGTGTATCAACCTCGGACTGTCTGTCCAAACGCGCGACATTATGAAGTGCAAAACGATTGCAGAGTTGGAAACCCACGTGACCCCATTTAGCCCGTCACCACTCACAAGCAGGACTGCAGAGATGCACCCCCCTAATGTTGTCAGCCCCTTGCAACTTAGCTCACCACTTGCGCCAATCGATGGACTGGTATCGAACCCTGACCACCGGCGCCATTCGGTAGCTAGCTCAGACGTACACCCCCGGATTAACACACGAGCGCACTTGAAGCCAAAGGCATCTAGGAGGTATCACAATCAGGTGGAACAGGTGCTGTCGCTTAACGGCGATGTTGCCAAAGCTTCAGTTCTTAAACCCAAGGCAGGACTTCTGGAAGGTCAGACCGTTGCTTTCTTGACGCTATCGAGTTGTGTCGTCGAAGGTCCCAGCAGCTGCGAGATCAAGCTCCTGAATGCATATTACACCAGCTCGCTCCCAGGGATTCGGAAAGCAGTTGAAGCCAAGGTATCACCTACCGCAGTTCCGCAGGTATGGATTGTGCTTGAGCGGATGCCTACAGATGATACTGGCAAGATCCACCGCAGAAAACTGCAGACATGGATTCAGAATGCGAATGAGGACCTCTACCGGAAAATTATGTCAGTGGAGTCGCAAGAGCTTCTATCGACGCCAGGTACAGATGTGGAACGGCGTTTACAGAAAGCCGTCGCCAAGGTTTTGAGTTTGGAGACCAAGGATATCGGCATGAACATGTCGTTCAACAGCTTAGGGGGCGATGACACCACCGCGATGCAGCTCGTAGTTCGATGCAAATCCCAAGGACTATCCTTCAAGACAGAAGATGTCTTGCAGTCCATGTCCTTGAGTCAACTTGCTGTCTTGGCGACACCCAGCGAGGTTCTCAGCGGACGCAACGGCGAGGATACAGCTGAAGGATTCGAATTATCTCCTATGCAGCGCCTCTACTTCCATACAGCAATGGGACAAAAGGCTCCAAAGCGAGAAGAAAAGACTGGATCTCATCGCTTCAATCAAAGCATTCTTCTACGGTTCAAGCAGGCGACAGGCGTCGAGGATGTCCGCGCCGCCATCGAGGCTGTCGTTGGACACCACTCCATGCTGAGGACACGTTTCCGCGCGGGGCAGGGATCATGGTCCCAGTATACGATGACTGAGATATCTTCATCGTACCATTTCGGACATCATTCTGTAGGAACGAACGCTGAGGTGGAGGAAGTGATCCAACAGGCACAAGCTAGTATCGACATCGAGAACGGCCCCGTCTTTGCTGCTCATCACTTTCACACCCACGATGGCCACCAAATGCTTTACATGGTTGCGCACCACCTGGTCACGGATCTAAAGTCCTGGCGAGTTATTAACGACGACTTGGAGGAGCTCCTTCTGAGCGGCAGCCTGGTATCCGGTCGAGCAGTGTCGTACCAAGCATGGACATCAAGCCAGCGCCGCCGTATCGAGAGCACTGAGTCGCCAGAGGCACTTCCTTTCAAGTTGCATTCAGCGGATTGGACATACTGGGGCATTAATGAGTCATCCAACAAGTATGGAAACACTATTGCCGCCGGGTTCACCTTACCACCAGAACTCACCTCTATGCTTGAAACAAGCAATCAGCCACTCCACACAGACTCCTCCGATATTTTCATGGCTGCACTACTTCTGTCGTTTTGCGCAACATTTCGAGATCGAAAGGCCCCTGCTATCTGGAATCAGGAGCACGATAGAGCCGCATTGGACACCGAAATGGATATATCCGAAACTGTAGGATGGTTCACATCTCTGTGCCCCTTGGCTCTAAATATCACTCCATCGGACGACATGTTCAATGTTTTATGCCGGGTCAAGGATGCCCGCCGAACAGTCGCCGCTCGCGGAGTGCCATACTTTGCAGCCAACATGCTCAACGGAAATGGTGCAGACTCATTTGCCTCATCCATGTGTCCACTGGAAATCATTTTCACGTACGCTGGATCAATGCAGAGCCTCGACTGCCAGGAAAGCCTTCTTGAACGACTGCCTATCCCTGGCCGAACCTTGTCTTCGAAGGCCTCGGATATTGGTCCCTCCGTGGGTAGAATCGCGCTGTTTGAGGTGTCTGCTGCCATTGACCAAGGCGCGGCCAAGTTCAAATTCCTCTACAACCAACACTCGCTCCACCAGGACCTCATCCAATCTTGGATTCGTACTTTCGAGGCACTTCTTCGCGATTCGATTCACCGTCTTCAATTCCAAACTCCTTCCCTTTCCATGTCCGACATTCCCCTCATGGACATGTCTTATGAGGGCCTGGCCAAGCTAAACCGAGATGTCCTGCCGCATCTCGGCATCGAAGTCTCCAATATTGAGAACATCTACCCCGTTACGGCAAATCAGCAGAGTTTGCTCATTAATGAACCTCTGAATCCTGGAAGCTCGAGATGTCAAACTGTGTATGAACTCAACACGCTTGGGAAGTATGTGGATGTTGGCCTCCTTTGTGCTGCCTGGCAGCAGGTAGTTCAAAAGCACCCTGCCTTGAGAACGGTGTTCTTCGAAAGTGTTTCCAAGGCTGGCCTCTTCGATCAGATCGTCCTACGCCGCCATTCGCCCAACATGCTCTTCATCGAAAACAACCATCCCGACGACGCGTTGTATTCGATGGAGAAACTCAACCCCATTAACCTGAGCAAGGGGTCACCCTGGCATCGTCTAGTAGTCTGCCAGGCTCCTGGAAAAACGTTGCTGATGTTGGAAGTCAGCCAAGCTTTGTGTGATGCTGCAAGCATTACCATCCTTTTTAGAGAGCTTGAGGAGCTGTACTTCAGCCATCAATTGCCCAGCACGTCGGATATTCACTATCCCGAATATCTCCGATGCATGAAGACGACTCCCTGTAGCACCGAATTCTGGCGCGAACATCTCGAGGATGTACAGCCTTGCCATTTCCCGAGCTTGGTTGCTAAATCCATCGACACCAAGGAATATGAACACAGCTTCGTAGACCTTGGACTGCCGCACGATATCCTTGAGTCATTTGCCCACAAGTACAAGATCGATGTTGCCGCCGTACTGCGAGTAGCTTGGAGTCTCGTGCTGCGGGCGTATACAGGCTCTGAATCCACCTGCTTCGGGTACCAGACGTCTGGCAGAGACTTGCCTGTTGATGGACTGGCAGATGCTGTGGGATGCTTCGCTACGGTCCTGGTCTGCAGACTTGAGGTGCATGGCTCTGAGCTTCTGCCTCAGTTGCTCCTTGACTCGGAAGAAATCCACCAACTTGCCCTTCACCATCAACATGTTTCAGTCAGCAACATACACCGCGCTTTGGACACCAAGGGCAGGAGCCTCTTCAACACATGCCTGTCCTTTGGGTATGAGAACATCCTGGATGAGGCCACTGCTGGTGCCAAGTTCCATCACTTGCGGTCTATGCACTCTTCTGAGTTTGACATCAACATGAATGTCGTGTTCAAGAACGGCAATATCGCCGTTGACCTAGGACATCGCCTATTGACATCTGCTCAAGCTAGCCATGTTGCTCAGGCTTTCAGCAGGGCAATCCAAACCATACTTGAGATTCCCCTCGAGAAGGTGCGCCAGGTCAAGGACGTCGACTTGTTCAGTGAGCATGATCACAAGCAAATCGTCTCGTGGAACAGTCAGCCTAAGATCCCCCCTGCCAAAGAGCACGTCCATCAAATGATTGCAAAGCAGGCTATCCAGAACCCAGACATACAGGCTGTATGTGCATGGGATGGCGAGTTCACCTATGGTGAGCTCGACAAAATGGCCATGGTGATCGCCAGTGCTCTTGCAAGTGCTGGTGTCACGCACCAAACACCGGTGCCTATCATCATGGAGAAGAGTCGATGGGTTGTGCCAGTCATGCTAGCAGTCCTAAACATTGGGGCTTGCATCGTACCCATTGATGCCTCCCTTCCCTCGGTATTTTCCTGGATCATCAAGAATGTTGGCGCCAAGATGGTACTGGCTTCGGATAGCGTGCGCAAGCACCTTAAGGATATCAACTGCCAGGTCATCTTCATCAATGATGCAACAATCTCTTCACTCCCAGAAGAGCCTGCCATGGTATCCTCCATTAAGACGGATGGCGACGATGTGGCTTGCGTTTTATTCACCCCAGAGGTGGTGAAGACCCGCCGTGGGATCACCTATAGCCATTCAGCGCTGGCAACAGCATGCGTTGGCCAAGGCGAGGCACTGCGAATCAACCCTTCCAGCAGAGTCATGCACTACTCGTCATATAGTATCGATATTTCGTTGGCCGAAGTTCTCACGACGCTAGTCCACGGCGCCTGCATATGCATCGAAGAGTCTTCACTTATGACCGACTTCACAAGCGCGGCCCAAAAGTTCAATGTCAACTGGACCTACCTCACGCCGACATTGTCCCGAAGGCTATCAAGTGAAAGCTTACCGGATATCGCTGTGGTTTGTTTCAGGACGCATCAGCTTGACGACGATGTCTACAGCCAGTGGGCCGGCAAAGCCAAGGTGATCTTGGCTTACGGGTCTGCGGAGGCTTGCGTCTTGGGCATATCCGCCTCGGAGGTGCAGGATATTTGTGCCGTCAGGGGCATTGGCAGCCCGTACTGTGGCAATTTCTGGGTTGTAAACCCTTCGGATAGCAACAAGCTCATGCCTGTCGGTGCAGTCGGTGAACTGGTAATCTCCTCGCCGACCCTGGCAATCGGGCATGAGCTGGACCGTGACCCTCTTCAGCTCAAGAAGGCAGCTCTCACCAGCGGTATGTCATCTGAAGGCCCAGGCCGACTTCTGAAGACTGGTCATTTAGTGCGCTACACCGAGAATGGGCAGCTTGAATTGGTCTCAACTCAATCTGAGGAGGTCAAGGTCGGTAGCGAGATTCTCAAGACTTCCGAAATCGAACGACGCCTTCGCAGATGTCTTGGGCGTAACATCGATGTTGCTGTCACAAAGATTGCGTTCAATTATACCGACAGCGATTCGGCTCCTATACTCGCGGCCTTTATTGAGCTCGATGACGACTTATTCCACGGAGAGGATTTGTCTCGGGTCAGCCCGTCCACCAAGGAGCGACTTTACCTGGCCAAGCGGATGGCGGGGCTTTCTCTGCGGGAGGCACTGCCCGACACTTTCGTCCCTGTTCGCCGGCTGCCTCTGACACCTTCATTCGATGTCAGCTACCGCGAGTTGCAAAAGATGATCAGGGGACTCTCTAAGACCCAGCTACTGGGACTTGCGTCAGTGCCAAACCCGAACGAAGTGCATGCAGCTGGCCTCGAACCCTTGCCTCTAACGCAAAGCGAAGAGCGGATGCGAGCCATCTGGGCTGATGTTCTGGACATCCATGACCCGATTCGTCCCAACGATGGTTTCATGACCTTGGGCGGTGACGTTGACCTAGCTCATGATCTAGTGGTGAAATGCCGACAGCAGGGTGTGTCAATTTCCATCCTTGATGTGGTCCGAGATGTCTCTCTCAGCGAGATGTGCCGATGCATCACGATGCCAGATGCCCCAAGATACCATCCGGAACACAGCAGATACATGCAGTCAAGCCCTTCCAATGCCTTCGTCGACGATGCTATCGTACCCCAAGTTGGCGACCGAGACAGCATTGAGGATATCGCAGAGGCTTCCGCCACTCAGACAGTGTTCCTGGAGGGCATGTTGAAGAACCCACCGGGCAACGTCAATTACCTCCTTATCAATGCCAATGGGCAACTTGATTGGGGCAAGCTCGAACATGCGTGCTATCTGTTGACTATGGCTCACCCGATTCTCAGAACAGCCTTTGTGTCCCACAACCGTCAGCTCTATCAGACAGTGATTCGAACTTATTACCCCGAGTTCCAACGCTACCAATGCCAAAGCTGGCGGCTCAATGGTCAGGCAACGAAACTGGTGAAGAGAGATCAATCGATGGCCATTGACTTCCGACAGCCAGCAACGAAGTTCTGGTACCTTGACTCTTCTAGGCAGTCTACCTTGATCATCAGGCTATCTCGGGCGCAGTACAACGACCTCACCCTGCCTACCCTAATCTCAGACCTTGCTAGATTCTATGAGCAAGGCGACCTGTCCACACAACGTCCAGGTTTCTGCGACGTAGTTCGAGCTGCTCAGAAAGCATCACTAGACGGCGGCGCTGTTGATTACTGGGGCACACTGCTGGAAGGTGCCATGATGACGGAAATGGTTTCCAAGACCAAGCCGGATATCCCGTTCTCGGATTCAAAGACGATTCACCAGGAAATTCCCACCGGGTCTCTGAACAACCTAGGTATACCCTTTGAGACGATCCTCAAGGGCGCCTGGTCGATTGTCCTGTCCAACCTCGCCGATTCTGATGATGTTGTGTTCGGAGAATTGCTTCAAGGGGGTTCGTTGCCGTTGACCGAGGTCGTAGGCCCAACTGGTAAGTCAAACCCTTGTTTCTAGTTTTGAAAGCTTTCTGACCTATTTTTTGTGCAGGCAACATCATTCCAGTCCGCACCAGGATCCCTACTGTTCCCACTTCTCCATATGAGTACTTGCGCACCGTTCAAAATCAGCACGTGGCTAGTACCAGCCCGGAACATGGAAACATGCAAAGCTCCGAGATCATCGAAAAATGCACAAGCTGGCCGGCGTGGACTCGATTCTCGACCGTGGTCCAGCACCAGGATCATGTCGAGCGCGACCTGTTCAACAACTTCACTATCGGCAGTGCCACTTGCAAGTTGAACTGCATGGAGTCAAACAATCAGAATACAGACATCTTCGTCAGATCCGTCACAACTGGGTCATCCAGCGTCGACATCTCTCTGACCTTCTCGGAGAAGAAGATTAGTGCACTCTTTGTGCACGATATTCTTTCCATGCTTTGCTCCACCATATCGCTTCTCACATCGGCGTTCATTATGGAACCTGTCTCTCTCAAGGGCCTACATGATAACTCTGCCACATCCAGAATCCCGCTCTCGGTATCAAAGCAAGAGGTTCAGATCAACGCACCCGTAATGTCTGTATCTCCAGAGCATGCCGGTGCAATCCACTCAATCATCTCGACCGGATGGGACTCCATCCTAGGTGCAAACGCACTTGGGATGGCTGAGAATATACGGTCTATTCCTTTCTTTGAATTCTCATCCTCCTTGGTTCCAGCAGCGGAGCTGGCCCGGTATTACACGGATAGCATGCCACGCCTGAACATTCCAGGGTTGGCACATGCCATCTTCAGTTTGGAGGACATACTAGAGAATCCCACCATGATGAAGCAGTACGAGATGATCATCGCGCGCCAGCAGGTCAAGGAGTTGAAGCGAAGCCAGAGCTTCGTACACAACATGAGGCGGGCCCTCACGGTAAACCCGGGGCCCCACTCGCCCTCGTCCAACCATGCGCCAGGGCGTCATAACGGCAGCAGCGGTGGTAGCTCCATGGAGTCGATGACATCTGGTAGCAGCCATAGCGACGAGGAACATCACGACGAAGTACCCATCATGACTGCCGTCGGACCCAAGAAGAAGACGATGCCGGGCTTCAAGTCGCTTGGAGCCAAGAAGAAGCCTTCTATGAGTTTCGGCAGGATCAAGTTGAATTCCACGGGGGCTTAAGGACAACGGAGGAAAGCGATCTGTTTCAAGAATTTCTTTTGTTTTGTAACCTAAATGTTTTATGGGGAGCAAGGTCCCTTGTTGAATGTAAGAGGCCAGCCAGGCACTCAAGGAAAGGAAAGAGCTCGCATTATACCAGATACCCATCAGTGTTACTGTATATTGATATCCCGCAGAATCTTAATATTTCCTCTGAACTCTTATCTCTTGCTTACCATTTGAAAATCTCTCCCTTTAGTTTTCAGTGTGACATCCCAGAAAAGTGAATTATACATTGTTTTACATCACTCCCACATCGCGCCTCGCACGATGGGCGCGAGACGCGACCGGGCAACCCCAACCTAGCAAGAACGCGGGGTTGGTGAGACTAAAAGACTCGCAGATTTGTTAGTGACTAAATGCATGCATGGACATGCAACCTCAGAGCTCCAGAGCCTTGAGCCATGCTCCGGACTTCTCTCCGCGTGAAGGTAGAGTTGTCTTTAGCGGCTTTGAGTGGGCATTAGCACGACTACTCACCTCCACATCCCCCACACTTGGTGTTTCCCCTCCCGCACCTTTCGCTCCCCTCTTCCCCGGACCCGAAGGATCGCCACCCCACTGGCGCTTTGTTGGGGGTCAGCTAACTTGAGACGATGGATGACGGTAGCGCACCTGCTGGCCTTGCGAAGCCGAGGGTGCCGTGCTAGTGCTGCTTGAGCCTCAATCCTCCATCGAAGCTTGTCCTCTTAAACAGTGCACTCGCCGAGAGACTCAGATGAAATACCTAGGGAGTCCCAGGACCCGAAGCCGTTGCGGAAGTGACCATCTGTTCAATGGTCCAAGATGACTGTTCAAGGAGACACCACCGGGCACGACAAGGCCACCGCACACGGCGTCGAGCACAAGAATGGCAGTGTTGGCGATGAGACTGTTGATGTCTTGCACAGACAGTTCGCTGGTGCAACGCTAGAATACCACCATGGCATGACAAAGAAGCTCTTGAGAAAAGTCGACATACATTTGCTTCCGCTGTTGATCTTGATGTGAGTGGACGTTCTGAATCCTACAATCTATACTGGTGTGATCGTGCATGGTTGTCACGGTGATCATTCCCGGTCAGGGTGTAGAACATCCGACGATACGCGCATGGGAACTTACATTTACGACACCAGGTATCTGCTTAATTTCTTGGACCGGAAGTAAGTCCAATGTATCCCAAGATGGAATTAAAGGAGTTAACATGAAGTCTAGTAATTTGTCCCAAGCGAGGTTGGGAACCCTCGAGGCTGATCTGGGTATGACGGGGACGGACTTCAACTTGGCAACCAGCATCCTTTTCGTTGGGTATCTCTTAATGCAACTGCCATCAAATCTTATCATTACGAGGGTTCGACCCTCCTGGTATCTTGGAGTAGCAATGACAATCTGGTAGGGCCGACTTGAGAGGTTACTACCCTGTTTTTGTCCGAGCTTACATGTTGCAGGGGAACCATATCGGCATCACAGGCCGCAACCCATAGTTTCAGTGGGCTGATTGCTTGTCGATTCTTCCTCGGCTTTGCCGAAGCTCCTTTCTTTCCCGGTGCCGTCTTCCTCATGTCATCATGGTATACCAGGAATGAGCTGGCACACAGAATCGCCTGGTTCTATGCGGGTTCTTCGCTTGCCAATGCGTTCGGGGGATTGCTGGGAGCCGGCGTGCTCGGGAACCTAAGTGGCGCTCATGGGATCTCTGGATGGTAAGTGGGACACCAGGCAATTGGTCCGTCTTTACTGATCCCCGTAGGAGATGGCTCTTCATTATCGAAGGCGTCATTACCATTGGAGTTGCAATCGTATCCGCATTTGTGCTTCCTGACTATCCGGCCACGACGAAGTGGCTGTCTGAAGGGGAGCGTGCCTATGCTCAATGGAGGCTTATTGAAGATACCGGCGAGGCGGACCAAACCAGTGCCTCGACGATCAAAGAGGGTGTAAAACTGGCCTTGAAGGATCCTCGCCTTTACCTTTTTACACTGTTACAGCATCTGAGCCTGCTATCGCAATCCTTTCAGTACTTCTTCCCCACCATCGTGAAGACTCTGGGATACGGCAACATCGAGACTCTACTGATCACAGCCCCGGTGTGGATCGGAACCTTTCTGGTATCATTAGTCGTGACATACACGTCTGGAAAGTACCAGGATCGAGGCTGGCACATCATAGCTTTGATGTTAATATCCGTCGTCGGAAATATTATTGTTGTCTCTTCACTAAATACGGGTGAGACCTTCCGCGCGGAGCAATGGGAATTTCGCTAACGTGCACGACAGCGGCGAGGTTCTTCGCAATGTTTTTGATGCCTATGGGGGCGGTATCGGCTTATCAGATCATCTTGGCTTGGGTATCTAACAGCTTTCCACGCCCTCTGGTCAAGCGATCAGCTTGCATCTCGTTTGCAAACATGATTGGCAACTGCGCCAACATCTACGGGTCCTACATGTACCCAGCATCAGACGGCCCGAGATACCTTGCGGGAGGTTGTGCAACTGCTGCAGTTGCGCTTATAGTGAGTCTTGCTTGTACTTGGTTCGCACTTGAGCACAACTAACCAAAATGATAAGGTTGCAATCATGGCATTGATTGTACGCCTGGTCCTTCAGAGGGACAACAGAAAGCTCGCAGCTCGTGAAACGCTCGACGCCGAAGGCAATGTTGTCGGTCCGACGGGCGGTTTGGACGAGAGGGCTGTTGGATTCAGATACGTCCTTTAAGTGGCGCTGTTAGAAGGTTGCGCGGACCGGTGAAAGACATTTCAGACAACCATAGAAATGATGACTGATATGTCATTTCAAAGATGGAGTGAAAAAGTTCACTTGTGTACCTTGTCGAGATGTTTTGTCACGTTTTATGGCTTAATCATTCATATATCACGTGCTAGGAATGATGAAATAGTCGTGGTAGATTGCGACTTGGGTGTTGCGGGTCGGCCCCGCTAAGGTTTACTAATGAAGTTCCAAGACATTCAGATGAGAAAGACACCATGACTACAACTCATTTTGTCGTTAATTGAAACAAGTAACAATGGGCGGAGGTGACAAGATCAAGTCTATTGCCATCATCGGTGCTGGCTCAGCTGGTAAGATCAAGAAGGTGCCCAGTGTTGATAGGTTTCCTTTGATGCTGATCAGTCACGACCGCAGGAGTAGTGACAGCTGCCGCGCTCAAAGCAGAGAACTACTTCGATATTATTCAAGTCTTTGAAAGGAGGGAAAAACCTGGTGGGACTTGGTGAGTCTTCCTACAGAATTTGATATTTAGTTTCTTATCGGACAGGATCTACGACGCCGACCCTCAGCCTCCACTCCCGGTCCACCCAGGTAGCCTACCTACGGAGATCGATCCGAAATTGAGTATACCTGAGAGCTTGCCTCGCGCATTACCCCCGTCTCAGCAAGAGAGATACTCCAAGACGCCAGTATATAATTCTTTGACGTACGTTTTGTCTTGCTGCTTTAAACGGCGCCGCACTAAGTAAACAGGACCAATGTACCCGAGATTGCAATGAGCTTCTCCGACGAAAGATTTGCCTACGGCCCATTTGTTCCGCACCATATTCCAAGGCAATATATTGAGAGTTACAGCTCCAAGCATAAGATCGACTCTCACCTAGTACTCAACACGACGGTGGAGGATGTCTCCATACTCCCATCGTCATTGAAAGGGGGACCGGAAAGATGGAAACTCACTCTACGAAAATACGACTCAGCTCGCCATATTGACATATGGTGGGAGGAGTGTTTTGATGCAGTGATTCTTGCAAACGGGCACTATTCCGTTCCATATGTGCGTGCGCATGCGGAGTCAGCTGTTGCCGAGTGGCCTGCTAACATTTTATCCAGGTCCCACATGTAGATGGCCTACAGGCCTTCATCGAAAGGTATCCTGGGCGTGTGGTTCATTCGAAATACTACCGGACGCCGCTTGTGTACTCCTCCCAGAAAATCTTGATCATTGGGAATTCAGCATCGGGTCACGACTTAAGCCTGGATCTGTTGTCGACGGCTGATTTGCCTATCTACATTTCTAAGCGATCAAAAGCACGCTGGGAAGGGAGCGAGCCACCACCAGGCATTGTTTGGAAACCTATCGTCAAAGAGTATCGACTTGACGGTCGAATAATATTTGTGGATGGTACATACCTTGATGATGTCGATGCGATCATCTACTGTACAGGATACAAGGCATCATACCCCTTTTGGAATGACAAAATCAATGGGCGGCCGTTGTATGATTACGATGCAGGCAAGCTGATCAAGAGCTATTGGCATACGTTTTTCCAAGACTTCAAGACCCTTGCCATAGTGGGCATGCCTCGGGTACTGAGTTTCCGGAGCTGGGAATACCAAGCAATTGCTCTAGCACGACTATTCTCAGGCCGCAACCACTTTCCGCTACCGCAGAAAGAAGAACAAGAGAAGTGGGAACGGGAGAGACAAGAGATCACAGAAAGGGAGGGGAGAAAGTTCCACGACATACAGTGGGATACAGGTGAGACTAAACAATGGCTTGATGGGCTGTTCCAACTTGCTGGCCTGGGAACCTTGGTAGGCGATGGAAGAATCCCACCAGTGCTCAGCAAAGAACTGGTATGGGCTCTCGAGCACATCAAGAAGTATCCGGAGCCGGATGATGCAGATACAGATGATGATGAGAAGGTGATAGCCACCGCACCAAGTGGTGACACGGATCAGAATGGTCAGGACTGGGTTCTGGTCTCAAGAAAGCGTAAGGACTTGCTTGCATTCATTTAATGCTATCTGACAGTATGATTAGTCGAGATACTTTCGCATTTGAACTGAAACGTAATTGTTATTTGTTTCATAAATGTGTTATTTTCATAGATATGCATGGCAGAGATTGCTTCAATTCAGCTCTGAGTAGGAAATACAGAGCAGAGTGCATTGTTAAGGAAAGCTGCCGTACGTCCAAGAGTGTATCGTGTCAAGCTGATCTGCACCGTAATTCACCTGGAAGTAGTCACGATGACTTCCCGCAGCCAACCAGCTGCGGTTTCCCGGGCCTGTTCAAGTAAATGGAAAGAGCTCGTGTTTCTTCAGTTTAAATATCCTGTCACAGTTGGGCCTTGGTTCTCCTCCACTCTAATGTACATTCTAATTGAGTCACAACATATGTATCTCAACCAGAATAGTCACGGATCCCTATTCTTTGAAGTCCAGTTATGCTGGGGGTTCTTCATAATCTATTCTGCGTGCACAGAAAGGCTGCTTCGATACCCACGAGTTGTAAGTCTTCGTGACCGGGGTAGCTACTCTGGTCAGACAGTGGTAGCGGGCATTGCACTTGCTTCGAAGAGAGACTACCAGTTGGGCGACGAAAATTTGTTGTGAAGAGCCCTAATAATGATGACGATACTGTCGCCGATGGTATTAAGAACGAAATTAAATGGTTACAGGTTTGTGACAACGCTCTCTCTATCAGCCCTCTTACACCTAGCTAGCGAATGGAGGGTTTAGGCTAGTTCTGGTGTGGCGATGGTCACAACCTACTCTTCATCTACGGGAACCAGCTGATTTAGTGGCCTTGCTTGGGCTCATAGCCCCTCCGATATGCTGAACATATTGTTAATGTTCTTGCAATATGCAATAATCCACTACTCCCGAACAGACAAGGGTGGACTGGGAAGCCCATTGATGATTCTCGAATACATGGAGAACGGAACCCTCGCTGATTTTCTCCTGCGCGGTGCTGAAATAATCATACCAAACCGAATATTGTGGTGTTTTCTTCCCTGCAGTAAGTTGATATACTATGTAGTATAATCAAGTGCCCCAAGAATTCAATTGCGCTAACTTGATTACAGTGGTGAGGGGCTGTGTAGCCATGGCCTACCCCCCCCCAGCACAAAGTCAACAAGAGAATACCAGAACTCAACCTCTTACAGGTGATGAGCCGCTGACATGATTACCAGTCTTGTTTGGTTCCCTTCTCCCAAACTCAGAGCATGGCCTCGTTCCAATCTTGAAGCTAATCGACTTTGACCTTGCAACGTTAGAGGAGGACGAAGAGCGACATTCAGCCCGAAATCGATGTATATTCGACGATGAACTAGAACTTGAACGATAGTGAGTAGTACCTTTTGTAGCCTTTGGAGGCTACATGCACATCCAAAAGGAGACCCACAGAAAATCTATCGTCCAGAAGTATAGACCTAACTTCTATGAAGTAGAACAACAGGACGGCGGAGTAATGGTACGGATGCAAATATCCTCGCTATGGGAATGGTACGTTGTCTCATAAGAGCTGTCCACCAGATCCTTCTTCTTGTTCTTAGCTTGAAGTGAATCTGTGCTGATTTCTTGCGCTAGGCAATGACGCGGGTCATTACGGGTGCAGATACCATGGAACTGGGTGACTGTCGCACGGCTATACAAGACGAACTCTCGAATGTAGATTATGAGTAATTTACTCCGGGCTCTCTTATTTTCCCCACCGAGTCTTACACACTTATGCTGTTTCCGACGCGACTTCAAGAATGTGGCCTCTGAAAGTTATTCTGGCGGTTGCTGCCTCAGTGAGTATGAGATGTGTACTTGGCCCCGCCGCTAACACATCCAATGAAACAGCTTGCAGTTGATAATCGTAAGGTGTTTGGCGGTCGACCCCCAAAATCGGCCGATATTAGATCAATTTCTGGGAACAGTTCGAAATGCAATCCGCACCAAGGACGCGAGGAGTTATCACAGCAAACCCGCGGCACTTCTTGAAACGAATGATCATATCAGGGCACTTTTACAGAGATACATAATGAATGCTTAGATATTAAATCTCCATTTCTGTACTTTAATATAGTTATATAAGTTCAAAGCATTTCGGTCTCTAGCCCGAGAAGGGTTACGTGATGCGTCTAGATCAGGAAGATGACGCTGCTCGCGAGTGATCTGTATTTTGCACCTCGGTCTTCAATTGGTTCATTGTCGAGACTTCCAATACGCCATGGAATAATCACTGGTGGCTGTGAGCTGAAACCTTTACGTCTTTGTCCCCATTGCCAAAGAAAGACTATAAAAACAAAGAAACTGCGCTTTGCTACACACAGTCCTTAAAGTCTTGCCAATGCAGGTGTTGATATACGTGGTTCACTGTCATGGAGCGAATCTAGTAGAGGGCTTTCACAGTCCCGAAAAAATATGGACAGGGTCAATAATCCCCCAGCATTCCCCAACCGGCCTGACTCTAGGCTTGGACGGCGTCAGGCAACTAAGAGATCAACAGCCGAGCCCCCAAGGCTAGCGGTGACAAGACCCAGAGGTACACGAAGAGCTAAATTTTCGTACGGGGTACAATTGGACGACGTTGAATCTCGATTCGAGAAAGAGTCCTTGCTGGTGCAAGTCCATGTAAACTGGCTCGTCAAAGCCGAAAAAAACTTGGAACAAGACATAAAGACGTCGAAAAAAGAGCTCGAACTTATTGAATCTATTTTGAACGACATAAAGTGTAGAACACAGACCGGTAGACAGGTGGCGCGGAAACTAGCAGAACAGAAGGTATTGATCGAAACCTGTCGAAAATACTCGGAGGAGATGATTCGGACCCGTGAAGGGCGATTGAGCCAAGTCAAGTTTTGGATTAGCAACCGCCAAATGGGAGTAAAGGTAAAATAATGACACAATCCCCAATAATCTATGCTATATATGTTGATGTCATGAAAGGTGCCGGAATCGCTACCCGATGAGTGGCTCACGGCAGATAAAGAATTGAGGCGCTGGCTAGGGAATGAAACTGCTGCTCTGGCACCGGCTGCATCGCCCATTGAAGCGCTTGATGATGCGGCTTGGAGGATCTTCGGTCCATTGCCGCATATTCTGGCGGTATACTCTTGGCTGGATGATCATACATGAGAGCCCCCCGACTGATAAGTGTCGAATTCGTGTTTCTTTTTGTAAGTTAATTGTTCGTGGGACTGGAGTTGGCGGACACTATAGGAACTAGAAATACCTACTGGTAATCACTATACGTAGATACTTGGAAATCATGCAAGAGATTTTGTGAGCTGGAATCTGGTCCAACAGACAGAATGTCCTGGACTGCTGCTTACATTCCCTCGGTTAGAGACTGGGTGGTGATAGAACAGACACCGCTCTCTATTCTCTACTCCAGTACGAGGCAGATTCAGTTGTCTGTGTTGAGGACGAGAGGGTGTTTTTGGAAAAAGTCGTAAAGGGATATTCTGAGTGCACTGCCCCTGTGCTTTTGGGGTGTGATTATCCAGCCAAAATCATCTTGAACATACGCGCCAAGCAGGGGAAATACCTCACGTTGGCCGGAGGAGCTGAAATCTCCAGAATCATGAACTCAACAAAGTCAAAGCGGCCCATTAATTGATCAGCCATGCTATGACCTGCGCCAACCATAATCGGACTGGGAAAATGCGGTTTCTCAGATCAGGACCTGAATAGAGATGTTCTTGCAAGCGGTAGGGCTAGACTCCGTTCCAGGAACAATGCTGATACGTAATTCCCTACCCCATGACTGAGCCATATACACAGCATGCGGAGGTGGCTGTGCTCCTCCAATGAAGATGTACATAAACAATTGATCTTATATAATAGCGGTTGTTAGTTTCGTCGTGTGGAGACTGCAACAATCTGGGGCATGAATCAAGCGGCTGTTACCCCAGACGAGGCAATTGCCAAAGTGGACTATTCTGAGTATCTGTGACACATCGTCTCTTGCATTCCAGTTACTAGCCGGTTGCGGGGGACAAAGGTGTCATCTGCTGAGCTGCTCCTTGACGTACGATATGTAGACAATCCGGGGTAGGTTTGTGGGCTGCATTTTGTGAGGCCTCAAGCCGCAGCACGGTCGCATCACCGTGGTGTTCGGGTTGCGCAGCCTTGCCTTGGTGAAGCATGATTCGACAGGCGCTGGTACCTAGTTGTTCTTCCAAGAAGGCTACTATGTATGGTTCCTCCTAGGGAACTGCGCAAGGTGTCCGGAGGGATTAACAGCCCTCCGCCGACTGGCGCGGCTTGTGCACTTGGCGGCCTGACGCGTTAGTTTGCACTGGTGTTTCCGCACAAGTCACACCTCCTCCCCCCCGATTGAGATTCGGGTATGCCGATCTCTACCTGCGGCATGCCAATCCTGCCAATGTTCTAGTGAAATTCCATGCAGCTTGGCGAATAACACCGGCGTCCAAAAGGGTAAGGGCATGCGAAACGAGTGCGGTTATCAGCGGATGCCGGATAACGGAAGCCTGTGGCTTCAAGCAGGTCCGAGTCAATCAGTCCTAGTTCGAGCCTTTAACCAAATATACAGTGCGTTTCCCGTGAATACGGCACGATCTAACGAAGCAAGCGTCTTGGGATCACGACGCGTTGCCATTCATTGGAGATTGCCATTGCAACGGTTTCAGCAATGCCCCCCGTTGGCCCGCGAAGCATGGGCGAGGTGGGTTCAAATGAATGTTATCGACAATTGCTCCGCACCAAGCTTCCTGGCACACCACTCACGAATGTTTCTGTTACGTATGATGCCGAGCTTCCCCAGAATTTTGGGCCTTCTTGGTGTTGCTTGATAGAAACACGTAATCTCGGCGCGTGACAGTCGAGAGCAGCAATTCGTAAGTGGCTAAATCAAGAAGAATTCAGGTGAGTTGCTATTCACTTTTCCACCAGATTTCAGCTGAGGCCATCATGGTATGACCCGCTCGTTAATGCCGCAGGCATCTCGATCTACCGGTTGCTTCGGCAGGGCTTGCGGCATCGAAAGTGGGAAGGGCTCGGTCGCACCCTTGCGCGGCGGCCCGTTGGCGCAGGGCTGCGGCGAAACTTCGAAGCTAGCACTATCAACGACGAGCATACGATTCTCAGCTTATCGCGCAGAGGACAACGCCGGACACGGCTGGCACAAGTCGCAGCTTCTTGGCTGCTTGGCGTGGCTTCATGCCCAGCGGGCCAGAATCGCAAGGGCACGGCTCGCTCATTCGATATCTGTACCCAGAATCTCTGCCTTGGTGGGTATATTTGACGTAAAAATTTCAATGCAATGCTTTGTTACCCCGGATTATCTCAGCGCCTGTGACGTACGTTCCTTTGTAACTGCATACTAGATCAATGCCCTTGATAGGCTGTTCTTTTTCTGCCTTATCTTAGTTGGGACTGCGAAACCCACCCCAGCCGGCAATTCCACTCACCAGAGAGGGGCTTGGCTAGCCTGCCTTGGCAAGAACTAAGTTTGAATGACTGTTGGCATTGACTGTTTGGAACGTCGCATTGTGCCGCGTACTGCAGTACCTAGGCTTGTAGGTACATGGTAGCTAGAACGCACTGTCAGTCGGTCGTCATTCTAGCTCCAAGCGAAGAACTGCTCGAGAGTTGGTGTCGCTTGACTGGGAGTTGTCTTGGTTGCCCAGTCGCGAGCCTTTGAGTCCCTGTCTCCCAAGTATGGTGGCTTTCAATCACCATATAAACGAAATGTGCATTAGGAAGGACAACTTCATGGCGAAGCTCACCTAACCAGTGTGAGAATGAGATACGTGCTGAAGGATGGCTTGGTCTGCTGGGCAATGCGCTAAAGGCGACTTATAGCGCTGATAACGAGTCCGCCAACTCGGACCAAGGCGGGCCAAGACCCTTTCATTATACGCGATCGACACTTCATCATCAGGTCTGGTCGAATAGCAGGGTAGCCCAGTCCGAACTTGGAGTTCCACCCAGTCCAACTCCTTGGCGGGTGATAGAGGCAAAATATCCGGGTTGCGGGTGGACTTGATCCCCTACTCTCCACTCCGCATCTTGCCCATGCATATGTACTAACCATGGGCTTGGGAACGATAGGGCGACCCGCGTGCGAGGGTCCCGTTCCCAGATGTTGTTAAATACTCTTGGACGTCGCGCCACGGCGCTCCAGAGAATTTCCTCCATCCCTTTCAGTCCTCAGCTGTGCTGGCTGTGACTTTACTCGGACCCCATCCTCCCACTTATACAGCCTCTCTTGGCCCTGTCTTCTCCCAAGCCGTCAAGATGACCCATAGCAGCAGCCAAGATGGCTCTGCTCCCAACGAGAAGGATGTTGGAGTCCCTGGGTACACAGCAGCCACAGGGCACAGTCAACAGGACGGCGCAGTCCGCTCCGACAACTGGATGACCCGCAATGGACTCAACCTCGAGTCCTTCAAGAAGAGAGATTATGGGAAAGGCATCGTCGAGCTCGACCGAACCATGAAGCCCAGGCACTTGCACATGATTGCCATTGGAGGTTCGATCGGAGCAGGCTTCTTCGTCGGTTCCGGTAGCGCGCTGAGCAAGGGTGGTCCCGGATCCCTCTTGCTCGACTTTCTCATCATTGGTATTATGATGTTCAACGTCGGTGAGTTACACATCCATCAATCGTAGCAGACACGTATGGCTAATAACTCGGGCACAGTGTACGCTCTTGGTGAACTCTCTGTCATGTATCCTGTAAGTCGCTTGCGAAGCCTTCCTCAGAGCTCCTACTGATTGAGGATAGGTCTCTGGTGGTTTCTATACGTACGCCGTCCGCTTTATCGATCCCGCCTGGGGCTTCGCTATGGGCTGGAACTATGTCATGCAGTGTAAGCATTGATGCGGCTGAAATAACCGTACCGCGAATGCTGACATAATGTGATTCAGGGGCTGTGGTTCTTCCACTTGAACTTACGGTGTGCTCGCTGACGATAGGATACTGGGACCCTGAGGGCAAAATCAGCGTCGGCGTCTGGATCACAGTCTTCTTCGTCCTTATCCTCATTGTCAATATCTTCGGAACCCTCGGATACGCTGAGGAGGAATTCTGGTCTTCATGCATCAAATTGGGCGCCACCGTTGTCTTCATCCTCATTGCTTTCGTAATGGTAAGTGATCGCACAATTCTCCGTCCACCTTGAGGTAGTATCTATGGAAATACTGACGTGTGTAATGCCAGGTTCTCGGTGGTGGTCCTGACAACGGCCGTTATAACGAATACTGGGGCGCCCGTTTATGGCACGAACCAGGTGCCTTTAACAATGGATTCCTTGGATTCTGTTCCGTCTTCGTAACAGCGGCATTTGCCTTTTCTGGTACCGAGTTGGTCGGCCTGGCAGCTGCTGAGTCTGACAACCCCGTCGCAGCACTGCCCGGTGCTATCAAGCAGGTCTTCTGGCGAATCACTCTGTGAGTACCTTATACTCGCCTCGAAAATCCGTGTTCGTGGTTTATTAACTCTATTTTAGGTTCTATATTCTTGGTCTTCTCTTTGTTGGACTACTGATCCCTTACGATGATCCCAACCTCCTTGGCGCCGCCGACTATATCAACGTCAATGCCTCACCGTTTGTCTTGGTTGGCAAGTACGCTGGCCTCAACGGATTTGACAGCTTCATGAACGTTGTTATTCTTATTTCTGTCTTGTCCATCGGTGTGTCTGCTGTCTACGGTGGAAGCCGTACTTTGACTGCACTTGCCCAGCAGGTTAGTGACTACTTCACTGTTGCTTCGGTTTACTTGATGATTTTGTTCCCGAACTAACACCACACAGGGTTATGCTCCTAAGATCTTCACCTATGTTGACCGATCCGGAAGACCTCTTGCCTCTGTGGGTATCATCATCGCATTCGGCCTTCTCGCATACGTCAACCTGAACAGCAGTGGACCTGACGTGTTCACCTGGCTCCAGGCTCTCTCTGGACTTGCTGCCCTCTTCACTTGGGGCTCTATCTGTCTCGCACATATCCGATTCCGCAATGCATGGAAGTACCATGGCCACACCTTGGACGAGATCCCGTTCCAGGCTATTTTCGGCGTTTACGGCTCTTACGTTGGCTTGGTACTCATTGTCCTCGTGCTCATCGCCCAATTCTATGTTGCTATCGAGCCTCTGGATGCAACTTCTTTCTTCCAGTCGTATCTCGCCATGCCTGTCGTCATTTTCTTCTGGTTTGTGGGATATTTCTGGAAGCGGGAGGGATGGCTTCGCACTTCTCAGATGGATGTTGACTCGGGTCGCCGAGAGCTGAACTGGGATGAGATTCGGGCTTACCGGGAACATTTGGCTGCACAGCCAGCGTGGAAGCGTTTCTATCACATGCTGTTCTAAGGGAGCTGTAGACGATCATACAACGCTGCTATTCACTTAGGTTACACAGTCAGCCCTAGTGGCCTTCGCATCTAATGTACGGTCCAAAAGAAAGAACAACTGCCATGTTGATGAGCTCACGCGTGCCAGACTAATTGTGTTGTGTTAATGAGTTGTTTGCTTACATCCCTTGACCAATTCGTCCTCCCGAAGGAGGACTTATTACAGTGATTCCCGGCTGGAATCATGTTATACTGTAAGCACGTTTTTCCCAAGTCAAGAGATCCGCATAGCCCAGAATGCCTTGAGCCAAACAGCCAATTCACAACGACTCGACCGCAAATAAATGCTCGGTCAGCAAACCAATACACTATTCTGAGACTGCAACCTGGTTTATGCAGTTTGCTGGGGAAATCGGCTGCAGAGAATAACGTGACATGGCAGAATGTGTTACTACATTTCTCAAATATCGTAGATATGACCAAAGACAGGACTGATCTTAGAAATTCTCTCCAAACTGCCTAGATCGAGTGAGTCATGACAGAACACAATCACTCTAGACACCGCTTTGGTAGTATGGCGTTTTACTATCTCTACAAACTGAACTGAAATCGAAGAAGACTGCATGGAATCGCGCGCCTAAGCATTGTGTGACCATGAAGATGCGAAAATGTACACCTGTATACAAAAGACTGTGCCCCTGATCTCATTGAAACTGGCAAGGAATCGAGTAATGTGCCTGATCAGTGAGCGGAACTTGGCAATAGCTTGGAACTTGTGACTTTTGCGGTGCTTATAGTCGATTGTTACTGCATCAGGTAGACAGAGGTTATCAATAACTTAAAAGCACAAGGTCCCAGATGTCAGTCTAAGCCAGTTATTCGATTAACATGCAGGGGAATGACAGACGCCACCGATTGTCTCCTGGCGAAGGGGAAGGGTTGTTTCAAAAGCCGGATTAGCACGGTTACTTGGATTATGGAATGCAGAGACAAGTAACTCACGTCCATATGCAAGCTTTCTTGGGACGCGTTTCCCTGGCGTGCTCCAAGAAAGCTTGTATATGCCTTAGCATCTCCACTAATGACTACTATAGACCCTTGGCGAATGACCCGATGGAATACATACTTCTGATGTTATGATGTCTGAAATCCAACTTCTTTCTACGCGATACTCATGCGGCGGAAAATTCAAAGTTTTGAAGGCCTTATAAAGAAAAAACTTGTCATAGCGAGTTCACAAAGGACGGCTCGGCCCCTGACGGCGAAAGAGAGAAAATACTTTAACAAAGAGTAATACTGATCCTGTCTCGTCTCGGGGATAATTAAAAGGACAAGATTGTCCTAGAGCTATGACATGGCATGCTTCCGGGTAGTGAGCGGGTCGAAAAGAAGCATGTGCCTCATCAAAGAAGGGGGAGGATGGGTGCTCCAGGGTCTACAATACAGTATATAACGACTGTCTTCCACTCACTGCGGCGTGCAAGTTATCAACTTCCAGGAAGCACTGCTAGCACACTACTCTGTAGATACCAGATGTCAGCTGTCGACTTATGCAGTATGGCCGTGGTTCGCAATATGAAGGAATGTCTGGAAAGGTGATATTCAACTGCCTCTCGCCTCTCCTCGCGGTGCTGACGCTTCGCCAGTCGGGCGAATACCTGGACCGATGAAAGCAACTGACCCACCTGTACTCTCTGTGCCGCAATGTGGTAGAGTCTTGGCTGGATGCAACCGAGGCCAAAAGCTGTAGAGAATGACTGATACGTCGAATCCCGCCGGCGTGGACCAACCGCTGATTCGTGGTGATATGTGACCAACACTTTCCGGTTTGTTTGTTATCTCTTCATCCACGGTTAAAGGTGGTTCTGGGCACGAAAGGCCCGCTTGTACACATGATCCTTCAACTCGCCGTTGGTTGCGAAGGGCCATGCATCAAGTCTGCCAAGGCCTCAAAGCAATTTGTAAAAATCACCGTAGAGCTTGGCGTGCAGGGGAATCGGCCGACCAGCGCCCGAGCCGGTCTCCCCGAATGTCCGCGCACACCGTGTTCGAAGGAGAATATTTTACAGATTTGTTACCTGGGAGTGCCAATGGAAGCTATAAGGAGAACATTGGGCATGGAGGCAGAGTGACCCGTCCGCTAGGGGTCATTTATGTGCTTGAGATGGAGAAATGGAAATCACCGCCAGACGTTCACAGTAGTGGATCTCAGGTACAGAGAGCCCCTACCCCAAGGCTTACGTTAGCGGGTTTTCTTCGCGACTAGCAAGCCAGAATCCATCGCTACAGAGTCTCCGCTCGAAAGGTCTTTCGGATACGTGTGCCATTAACCCCTATGCACGGTACAAGTCCATTGTGATTCTACCGGCCGTGGTGGTGGTTCGAGAAGTGTCATCCTGAAGAGGAAGGCCTGGAAGACTGTTGAACGTTCAGTACGCTGCCGAGACCCTTGGCAACTTGGCGGCTCCCTCACTGGAACTGGGAGGGGGATGCGGGGGCTCGTGGGCACTACAAGGGCACCACAAGCGGAACGATACCCTGTGGCTGCTCTGCGACCTTAGCGACCTTAGCGTTCCAGCCCCGCCGACGCTTGGTCACAGACCACGCAGACCACAGAGCGCCTGCAGGTGGTGTTCAAATCAAGCGTCTGCGTTGTGCTGGCTGTCTATCAAGCTGCCGTGGGCCGCACAGCTCTAGCCTGTAGCGAGGCCAATCATCATGCCATGCTGCAAAGGGCGAAGCAGGCCGGGATAAGCTGGCGCGGCCCCTTGTGAGTACCAAGATGCAGGTAGACCAGGGCTTGGTGGAGGTCAAATCCATGGATGCGTGTGCGATAAGGATCTGGCGATCTCCATCTTAAAAGAAACGACTCCCCCCAAAGTCGGGCCTCGACCTGTGGTTGTTCTGGGACACCTCAATTGATGCGCCACCAACATGTCGGACGCCGTTGAGACCAAGAAGGCTGTCGCAACCGAGGGCACGCTCGAGAAGACCGCCTCGTCGGGGCAAAGGTCGAGCGATGCTGAGTTTCCCGCCGAGGCTCAGGTCGAGGCGTAAGTCAAGTATAGTTGCCATGAGACATGCGAAAATCTACTAATCGTCCCTAGCGACCTGAACGTCACCGAGCAGGATCTCAGCGAGGCTAAGGAGTTGGCGAGTCGACTGACACTCGAGGAGATCCGGCCCATGATGGAGAAGGTGCTGCTGATCCACGAGCATGACCCAAACTTCCCGTACACGATTATTCAGAGGATCAAGTCCTTCCTAGGTAAGCGCCGGTCTTGTCGTCCGGGTCCATCTCAAGCTTACACCTGTAGCGAACGACGCTGTTTTCGAAAATCCCGAAAAACATGCCGTGTTGATCGAGGAGATGAAACTTGAGGCTGCTCTGATCACCGTGAACAGCCCTTACGCTGAGGTCAGGGCTGTTGTCGACAATCACGACGACGCCGATATACCTTGTGGAACGATCCGTGCTGTAGGTGAACCACTCAAGATCTTACTTTTTCCCCCTTGCTTGGCCCTTTTGTGAACCACTGTGTGATCCTACACTCCGTCATGCCGTGTTTCTTCTACCGCGTGACTGTCTGCTTCCAGGAGACGGCCTATTGCTATGATCCTTGGCTTACATGTAATTCTGCAGTGGGTCCTTGGTTGTGGATTCTCGATTCTGTTGGCCTTCATCAATCAGCTGTTCTCGATTCGCCAACCAACCATCACCGTCCAGGCGAACGTTGCTCAGCTGCTTGCCTATCCCCTAGGCAAACTGTGCGAGAAGACCCTGCCCGATGTTGGCTTCACCCTCTGGGGCATTCGTCACAGTTTAAACCCTGGAAAATTCTCCAAGAAGGAGCACATGCTCATCACCATCAGTAAGTCTGACTTACCTTGGTCCCACTTTACTCTGTGATGCTGGGTCATGTCGGCCACTGTTTCACCAGTGGACTCTACCATCCCAGAATAGTCTAGTCTTCGTCCCCAAGTGGCTGACCCGCGGACTATAGTGGCCAATGTCTCGTGGAACTACCCCTATACCAATAACATCATCTGGGTGCAATACCTTCCATCGTACTTCAACCAAAGCTACGCGGGCCAGTTCTCTTACCAGATCCTTATCGCACTCTCAACCAACTTTATCGGCTATGGAATGGCTGGCATGATCCGCAGATTCCTGGTGTATCCATCCTACTGTGTTTGGCCAGCATCGTTGGTCACCATCGCACTGAACTCCGCTTTCCACAACGACAAGACGGGGCCTGTGGCATCTCCGTTCGGGAGGGTATTCACCATGTCTAGAATCAAGTTTTTCGCCGTCACCTTCGCAGCTATGGGGGTCTACTTTTGGTTCCCCAACTATATCTTTACGGCCTTGAGCATCTTCAGCTGGATGAGCTGGATCGCACCTAACAATCTGAACCTGAACACCATCACTGGATTCAACAACGGACTTGGCATTAACCCATGGCCGACATTTGATTGGAACATCTTGCTCTTCGACTACACCGACCCACTGATGATTCCCTTCTTCAGCACCTTTAACAAGTTCATCGGCGCCACCATCTCCATCTTTGTTACTGCTGCCATATGGTATACAAACACGTGGAGCACTGGCTACCTGCCCATCAACTCGAATCGGGTCTTTGACAATACAGGAGGTCTCTACAATGTCACTCGTGCTGTGGACAGCCGAGCACTGTTCGACGCCGACAAATACGCGGCGTATTCTCCGCCTTTCCTGTCTGCGATGAACCTTACCGTGTACATGTTCTTCTTCGCCATTTATACCGCCACGATCAGTTACGCATATCTCTATCACCGACACGAGATCATGATGGGGTTCCGCAACCTGATCAACAGCTTTCGCAAGAACAAGGACAGCAATGTTGGGCAGTATTCTGACGTGCATAATCGACTGATGGCCAAGTGAGTACCTACATATCGAATCCAACCCTATGACCCCGCCTTCATTGCTTATGACTGCATCACGTCACAGCACGAAGTTTAGTGCTAGGCCAAATCTTGTCCACGTTGATGCAGTAAATCTTCACTGAAACCTCTTAAACTAACCACAATACAGATACGCGGAAGTGCCAGAATGGTGGTATACCATTATCATCGTTGTCGCCATAGCGGTCGGGTGCGCCGGCATCGCGGCCTGGGACACGTACACTTCACCCGGAGTGATCTTCTACGGCTTAGCATTGTGCGCAATATTCGTCATCCCCGTCGGCATCATCAAGGCAATGACAGGTGTCGAAGTTACGCTCAATGTCATCGCCGAGTTCATCGGTGGTTCCTGGGTCCAGGGCAACGCCCTAGCCATGAACTTCTTCAAGAGTTTTGGCTATGTCACCTGCGCACACGCCCTGTGGTTCTCGAATGACCTAAAGCTCGCCCACTATGTGAAGATCCCGCCCCGCCAGACCTTCATGGCGCAGATGATCGGCACCCTGCTCTCCACTTTCGTGTGCACTGGTGTCCTCAACTTCCAGATGAACCAGATACCTGGTGTTTGTACACGCGAAGCCCCGAACCGTTATACATGCCCTGGAATCAACACCTTCTTCACCGCATCGGTCCTGTGGGGCACCGTTGGACCCGTCAAGGTTTTTGGTAAAGGAGGTCTTTACCCTGCTCTGCTCGTCGGCTTTCCTCTGGGTTTCGTCCTTCCCATCGCCTTCTTTTTCATCCAGAAGAAGTACAAGAAGGGGTGGCTGCGCCAGGTGCACCCTGTCGCCATGTTCTACGGCGCTCTTTCGTTGGCACCTTATAACCTGTCGTACATCTGGCCTGCTGTTCCGATCGCCTGGTTCTCCTGGGTGTACTTGAAGAAGCGCTACCTAGCCTTTTGGTCCAAGTACAACTTTGTTCTATCCGCCTCCTTTAGCAGCGCCATTGCCATCTCCGGAATCATCATCTTCTTCACCGTTCAGTGGCTGCAGGTAGAGCTGGACTGGTGGGGCAACAGTGTCACCGCCCAGGGCTGTGAGGACGAGGCCTGCACACTGTTTACCGCCGCTGAGGGGGAATACTTTGGTCCCCGCTTAGGCGAGTTCCACTGAATTCATTTCTCCTGGGACGCAAGGCATGAGAGAAAATCGTAGCAGCTTGGTATATGATTATGAGGAACTCATCATATTTTTTGCTGTCCCATTATTACGAATTCCGCCCATGGCAGAACAATTATGTCTACCCATTATAGTTAAGCGTATTACTACCATGTGAACCGCCTCATTCAGAATCTCGTGTGCGTTCTCCTAATCAACATGGTATGGCACGGAGAAGGACCCTTCCTTCTTGTAACACTTCCCGTTGACAAAGTCAAGATCAACGCCACAGCTGGCCTTCCGAATTGCCGTGGTGATGCAGGTGGTCTGGTCATCGCCAGGGATCCAATCATCGATTTTGTAGGCAGCTTCCAATCCGTACAGCTTCCTGTCATTGAGCTCTCGCGAGTTCCACATCATGTTGTTGCCACACCACTGAGGGTTCGACGGATCACAGCCTGGGGCGTGTCCGCATTCGCCCTGGATGTTGTCATAGATGCCTTGGAACCCGCCCGCCGTGTCCTGGCCGGAGGCTTCGATGCGGACCACGTACCAGAGGAAATTTTCGTCAAACCAATGCTCCCAAGTATACTGACAGTCGGCCTTGGGCTTCAGATCCAGCTTCTGGGCTACTTGGCAGTCCAAGGGTGTCGAGCTTCCCGGCTGGGTTTCGCCTCCGCCTCTGGCACCAAGACCAAGTCCTAGAGCAAGGCTAGCTCCTGTCGAGAATAGAGTAAGCATTATTGCGGGGCATGTTTGGTACGGCGAAACTACAGCTCTCATGAACCAAATTGGTCGAGAAGATCGTACGTGGCCACGAAGACTTACCTCCCTAGGTCGCACCACCACGTCTAGTGCTCCTACTGCTTGTGCTTGTATAGCTCCCTGGTCTGCCATCACTGAAGCCGCCACCCTTGGGGAGAGCAACAGTGGTGAATAGAAGTGAAGACAATGGGAGACGAATGTGCGAGGTTTTCATGGTAAGACTGTGCGATGGCCAACGAGGATTCAGAGGACGAATATTGAACAGGGCTCAGATGAGATTTATTCCTAACTATGAAGGTGTTGGCGAGCGGTTTTGGTGAACAGAAATTGCATGTCTACCAGATTCAGCAAAGGGCATATTTATATTTGACGTTAAGAGAACGGCCCACGGCATTGCTTCGGTCTCGCCGGTGCAGTTCCCAAATTTCTCAATTTCAAATGAACATCAGTTTCCTCCTCCCTTGGTTAGAAATTTGATAAATAAGGAGTCATCCAGCTTCAGTCATCCGTGTAGCCGAGCCCCCAAGTCTCATTTCTGTTGTCATTGGTGTGCAGGACCATTCAACTTCGGGATAGCCAGCCACCTTAAGTTTTAGCAAGTCACAGAGAAATCGTTCTAGAAAAGCGTCTAGAAAAGCGGCGCTATCCATGCATGGCATCGAAAACTTAGCCTTACGTTCACTGAACTGAATTTCATTCTAGAAATTCTTTAATATTCGTGTGGCGTTAAGTTGAGCACGATTGACCTTGATATCAAATGGTGGATCCACAGGTGCTCATAGTAGTATGTGCAACAGCGAAAAAATCTAGGCTCGGTATTATGTAGTGAATGTCATATGGTTCGACTTGTGGATGTTTACGTCTAACAGTGTTATTTACAGTGACCCCCTCATCAGCGATACACGAGAGGTTGTGGACAACGTGCACTTGCAACCCAGTATTCAATGAAGTCCACCCATAGCCAAGATCCGCCAATAATTATATCACCAGTTTTAGTTTTGTTCATTGAAAGTTCATTCCATGACATGAGAGACAGGATCGAGGACATTATGTTCTGGCTTCAAAAAGGGTGAAAGATGTACAGCTAGCGCGACAGTCCAAATTTGAATTAATAGCACTGTGAGCGGGGGACCGAGGACCGCGGTCGAAGGAAGTTTGTTACGACACCAACAGATGACGATCGCAGTCGGCAGGCACCATACGGCATCTCCTCGTTTCTGTGACTTGGCGATGCTACCAAATCGCTCTCTTCGTGTGGGAGGTCGAGGCAGGCTTCTTGGACGAGCGATGGAGTCCAAGAATCGCCGTCTGGACCAATGACATGACGTCAGAGCGCCTCACTGATTCAACGCCAGCGCAGAGAATCGCGCGTGACGAATAAGGGCAAACTGCCTCAGTGAACAGCTGCAAGCCGGCAACATCTTTTCGCAGCGCTCGCACTCTGCACCGAAAACAATGAAGGGCCACTGTTGATGCGCATGCCTCGTATTTCGCCGATATGTCCACCGACGAGACGCGGCTGACCGCCCCGCAGCTCCGTGCGCTGTTTGACATCTTGACTCATCACGAGACCTACGCTGAAGTCGAGAGCTTCAAGGGCCCGGAAGGAATCGAGAACTATGGCTATCCCTTTGCCGAAGACCAGGAGAAGGCACCGGATGCAGTCGGTGCCAAGTCCTCATCGCCTCTGCTGCAGCTTTTGCTGACCAGGCTGGTCTTGCCCATGCCCGGCATTAACGACCTGCCTCCTGACTTCTGGAACGTCAAGTTCAAGAGCGTCATGAAGAGTTTCGCCGGTGTCAATCTGTCTGAGAGCTATGATAAGGGCGCCCTCGGCACGAGGAAGACGCTTGCCACCGCTGCGTCGGCGTTCCACGAGTCGATAACCCGGGGCATGCTTGGAGGCGTTCCCAGGATCGAATCACCGCCGCGGGAGCACAGGGCGGACCCGCCCACAGCAAAGGACCTCGAGCAGTCTTGGGATCACCTAGTCCACGAGGCCGTCTATGGCGACCTTGTCGATGAACTTTTCGACTACGCGGTTAAGTCACCGGCCTTTGAGGATCATTCGCCCGCGGTGCGGGATTCCATCGACTACGCCATCATCCACGCCGCAACCATACTCCACCGCATATATGTCATGTCACCAGAGGGGCAATATTTGCTCAAACTCATCGAGAGTACTCACAAACTCATACCGTACACTCTAGTTTGCCAGACTTTGCGAGTAGGCAACGCCGCCACCATGATTTCAGGTTTGGTTAGGTTGTTCTTGGCGAAAGTGAGCCTCGGCGGCCTGACCAATTGGATGGGAATCACCAAAAACGCATCTGATGGCCAGAATCTTATGCAAAGGTTGTGATATCCAGGCATCTCTGCTGAGTTCATACTAACCTGGACTCAGAATAATAGCCATGGTCCTTGATTGGGATGCTGGCGACTTCAAAAAGTCAGTCGACAATATCAAGAATAAAGCGGAGGGGGTCAAGTCTGGGCAACTGCCAGTGATAGATGCCCACCTAGAAGCGTCCCAGGAGCAACACAGGGATGTTCGCACTAGAAGCATCAAGGAGCAGGTCTCCATCGTAGCGGCCATTCTCGACTCAAATGGCACCAACGTCACAAAAGACATGCCGGAGCAGCAGCATGCTCTCTGCATGCAGTACTACTCGGCTCAGCTGTCGGTCCAAGACCGCGAAAGGATCATCGAGGTTATGTGTCGCCAAAGCCCCGATTATATCACAGCTCTTGTTCGGGATGCCGTGGCTGCTTTTGACCCTATTATTAGGATTCTTCATGACCATGTGGATCTACGAAAATATGTTGTCCACGTTCAGAAGTTCATAGATGACCTTTTGGAAGTAAATAGGCCGAAAAAGGGACAAGGCGAGCAGCCTGTCCCTCCATCTATTGAGGACTATGTGCACTTGCTTCAGCACCACCGCAAATGGGCCTTCGAGTATCTGCATGACTTCGCGAAGGGCTGCCCCGAGGTCAGAGACAGGTTCCGCTCTTGGATCAAGAACGATGTCATGGAAGCATTTAAGCAAGATAATAAGGCTGGTGGGGTTGACGATCCAACGGCTTTCGAAGGTGCAGGCGCAATGAGCCAGTCGTTGCAGTCGATGTTCTCGCAGCTCGACGAAGACACACGAAAACCTGTATTGGAAGCACTGGACAACTACGACACCTATACAAATACCCTCAACAAGACATCCGATGGTCATTTGCAAGGGATTGTCAATGGACTGAACAAGGGCAAGGAATCCTCAGAGGGTGGAAGCATGATCGGACCTGGACTATACCATGCAAGATGGCAATCATTACTAGACAACACCCTGATCACACCTAAGACAGTCTCGGGTTCTCTGAGACACGGAAACGATGTCAAGGATGTCAAGTCGCGTGGAAAGACGGGTGTAATCCCCACCAAGGATACTTGGGACGTGACTTCAGTCAACGAGGAGAAGAGCAGGTCAACACCACAACAGCCTAAAGTGGATGTTGTCGTCGAGGCTTTCAGTGCAAAGTTCAAGGAGACGGTGGCGGATATCAGTAGCAGAAATAGAACCTGATGGACCGTCTTCCAGCACACCCACATCATTCAGTAGCGGTTTGCGGCGGCGCTTGTATGACATACCACAATAGACAATGTGTATCAAACTGAGAAGACGTATATACGCGACAGCGCACGCATAACTACTAGAAGCTAGTTACTGTGAGCATGACGTGACGTTAGAACCCGCTAAGCCCTATAGCTGGCGCCCCAATCTGTCGGGTTGGAGGGTGCCTGGGGCAAGTGCCTTACTAGAGCTGATTCGGCAGGTCGCGTCTGCCCACACCGCGTCAGCGCGTGGATGAGGAGCATCCATTCCGAACTCCGAACGGCTTACATATACGTAGCGGAGTAGACAAGTTATCTCCACAATAAGACCCCACGCTGGCCATCGATACCTTTCGTAACACTTTCTTTTCATTCTCCTGACACCTCGAGTTGCAACGGGGCAGAAGTGACGATGCTTACCACTGGACTGTTGGCTTGCAGCCTCATCGGGCTGGTCGCAGGCCAATTCCCACCAGAGCCAAAGGGCGTAACAATACTTAAATCCAAATTTCATGAGAACGTGACAATCTCATACAAAGAGGTCAGTAGCTCATGGTAGATTCATAATGGATTGAAGCTTACCCGAGTTAAATAGCCCGGCATCTGTGAGACTACGCCTGGCGTACGGTCCTACTCAGGTTATGTCCACCTACCACCAGGCATCCTCGATGATGGCAGTGGAGAGGTTCAAGACTACCCGATTAATACGTATAACCACCATTAAATGTTATTATGATCAGAAATAGAGGCTGACAGGCTCAAGTTTCTTCTGGTTTTTCGAAGCCAGGAAAGATCCTCTGAATGCTCCGCTCTCAATCTGGCTTAATGGAGGTCCTGGTGGTTCATCCATCATGGGGTAAGTACAATCATATCTCAGCATATCTGGTTGGGTATTTGGTTATTATTTCCTTATGACATTCAATTGCATCAGAGACGGACACTAAAGAAGCAATCTGTAGCCTGCTGGAAGAGAACGGCCCTTGCCTGGTAGGGCCAGATTCCAAGACCACCTATCTCAACCCGTGGAGTTGGAACAACGAAGTGAACATGCTGTACCTTGACCAGCCAACTCAAGTTGGGTTTTCATACGATATTCCCACAAACGGAACAATGACTCTTCACGAGGAAGGGGAGGATAAGTACTTCGCAATGATTCCTGAGAACTTCACCGAGGTTCCAGAGGCCAATTTTACAAGCTATCCCGGCACGTTTTCAAGCCAGGACACAGCCAAAACAGCAAATACGACAGCATTTGCCGCACATGCCCTTTGGCACTTTGCTCAGAACTGGTTCTTTGAGTTTCCGCACTACAAGCCGAACGATGACCGTATCAGTCTTTGGACTGAGAGCTACGGTGGACATTACGGTCCTGGCTTCTTCCAATTCTTCCAGCAGCAGAACGACAGGATCTCCAGTGGGAACTCCACCGAGGAAGGCGCACAGTATATCCACCTCGATACTCTAGGGATCGTTAATGGGGCGTTAGATCTTGTCATTGCTGGAGAAGCATGGATCAGCTTTCCTTACAATAATGTGAGTGCACTGTCTTGCAAGGTTGGCTTTTGTGCAACAAAGATGCTAATTGTTCACACCAGACCTATGGGAAACAAGTTTTCAACGAATCGCTTTACAATGAGTTGATGCATGAGTGGACCCGCGAAGGTGGCTGCAAAGAGAGAACAGTAGCCTGCCAGGGAGCGTTGAAGTACCGTGATTCGCCAAACACCGGAAGCCAAGGTAGTAACTGGACAGAAGTATGTAAGAGCATGTATGAGGATTGTGTTTTCCCTGCTGTCAAGTTCTATAACGAGCTCGACGGAGGCTGGTTTGACATCGGCCACCAGTCGGCAGATCCTTTCCCGCCTCCTTACAGTAAGTTGTCTCTGTCACATTCTCTTTCTCAGCCCCGAATTCGCTATGGATGCTTATCATCCGATTTCTCCTACGTATTGAGACTTTTGTCTCGTCTTTCATGTACCTGTCTGAAACAGCAATGGCTAACTGACATCTTACAGTGTACGGGTATCTCATGCAGGAGTCCGTATTAGAAGCACTCGGTGTTCCAGTTAACTACAGCTCAAGCTCACATGCCGTTGCCGAGAACTTCGAAAGGACATTCGACATGGTGCATGGTGGCTTCCTTGAGGCTGCAGGATATCTCCTTGATAGCGGCATCAAGGTGCACATGATGTAAGCCTCACCTCAATCCTTCCCAGTTGTGCGGCCGCAGCGACTTACGTGATCCAGGTACGGAGACCGAGACTATGCGTGCAATTGGGTAGGCGGAGAGGCAAGCAGCTTGGCAATTCCGTACAGCCACGCGGCCGAGTTCGCTGATGCTGGCTACTCGCCGCTCATAACCAAGGGCGGTTTTGACGGCTTGACCAGACAGTACGGAAACTTCAGTTTTACGCGGGTGTTCCAGGCAGGCCACGAAGTACCGAGCTACCAGCCAGAAGCCGCGTACGAGATCTTCATGCGGGCAACCTTCAATCGCGATATCCCGACGGGTCTGCTACCCGTCACGGACGACTTCGCGACGATTGGACCAAAGACGGTGTGGCATGTCAAGAACACCCCGCCGGAGAAGCCTGAGCCGAGATGCCACGTGCTGAAGCCTGAAAGCTGTGTGCCTGAGGTCTTGGAGAAAGTCAAGGCTGGGAAGGTCGTCGTCAAGGACTGGTTCGTTGTGGATTTAATCGAGGATAAGGACGCTGACGCAGCAGCCGGGAAGGACTGGCAGGACCAGCAAGTTTTCGGCGAGCTGTGAAAACATGCAACTATGTTTCAGGACATACACCTAGTTGCACCAAACAGAGACAAATCAAAGGTTAGGTAAGAACTCGGCATGTTTTTGGATGGCTTTCTAGTTTGCCCCGGGCGCAGGCTTGTCCCCGCTAGAACTAGCACTAAGTTAGGGCGTGCCATGTCCACTTCTCAACTGTATCCCACAGCCTTTAGTCCCGCTCTCCATTGTGCGAAGAGCGAGATAATACTTACGTGACTCCCCATTGACAAACTACCTGCATTAGTATACAGCAGCGCTATTTGCTCTTGAAATGGACTGCGGGTTTGTCGGAGGCGTTGTTGCACAATCCCCTAGATCTCGAGCCCTAAGGTGAATTACCGGCTCGTCCGGCTTTAGAGTATCATAGCACCTCAGCAGCCCGTGCGCCACTGATGCCCAAAGGCCACACCGGCCCATCCACATTGACGCCCTGGAATGGTTTATTTCATCCATCGCCTAGGCTGTCCGTCTCAGTCTCCACTGACCAATCGGTGTGCTCCATCAGATCGCCGGGTCACAAACGACAGCTGCTTGCGAAGCATCACGCAAAGCTCTATCTTTCACTCTACTTGCCTACCTTAATTGCAATATAATCTCGTTCTCACGCAACCACTCGCACTAGGTGATTTCGATCCAATTCAATTGCAAAACTTCGAGCTCTTGACAAAGTAGTCAACATCCACCGGATCTTTCCCGCAACATGCTGCCCCCTCCACTTGTCGGCGTGTACCAGCAGTATAAGCAAGACACGGATTCCATTGCGGCTTGGCTTGCTTCTACTGCTGCAGCTCACGGTATTCGACAGTCCTCGATATCCAGGCACATGAGCGTCCAAGACTGACATTGCGTAGGCTACTCGCGTGATCTGCTCCAGACAGGAAGTGAGAAGACCCAGTCAACCGGCCGACTCAAAGGTAAGGCTAGGAAGAACGCCAAGAAACAAGCAGCAGGCGGCACCAAATCCCCGCCGAACGCTGCGCCCAAGTACCGTATTGCGATCAAGGACTTTACCGTCCTATCAGAGTTCATTTCCGGGAAGAACATAGCTGTTCCGAGGCCATTTGCCTCCACGCTTGACCGGTTGATCAAAGTCCGTGGTGGGTTCGGCAGCCAGCTCGTCGAACATGGCAAAGCCTCCAATGCTACCTCAGATCGGAAGCATTCCTTCTTTGTCGGCGTCTTGCAGAAAGTCCGGGAGATTCTGAAACCTCTCACGCAAACGACCGTTGAAAGAGAGGATGCCCGCACTCCTATGGAAGAAGCCGCAAGCCGCTTTGCAGGGTTGTCCGTGTACGAGCCTTCGGAGGAGTTCCTGAACGCCCCCGACGTCGAACGACCTCAACAAACCCCTGGTGACGATGCTGTGTATGAAGCTGAGCAATCAACTTCTTACGCGGATGTCATGTACGCAGTGGGGGCCATGGTGAACGACCTCAACAAAATCCGATCTCGGATTGATTGGATCTGGTCGAACTACAAGATTGGCGTGTTTGATCTCGCTGCCGCAGCCATTGCTACCAACACAGCCATAGATCTCGCTCGCAACTTGATAGACGAGGTTATGCCTCTGGCAGAGACACACGGCGGTGCTTGGGGGATATTGAATGAGTTCTACCAGCTCCAAGCGAGAAATAAGGGCTTCAAGACCAAGGATATTTTTGTGCAAAGCAACCCGGCTGACAACTTCAACTATGATCTGTACGACCTCGGCGTTGATACATTCCTCCTCCCCTATCGAATCGTGGAGGCATTCTCCCGAGTTCTTCTGCCAGGCCAGCTTCCCGTATACAAAGAGGGGTTGTTTGGCTGGTACGACGCCAGCAGTGACCGAGGGGCGAAAACGGGATACCAGAAATTTGAGGAAGACCGAACATTGTTGACGCCCTTTTTTACTGAGCTCATGACTGTCGTACGGGGTATTGGAGAATATCCAGTCCAAGACGAATTCCTTCGAGGGATGGAAGAGTTGAATACGACCAACAAGGTTCCGTTTTACCTTGTTTTCGCGGCACAAGTCTTTGTTGATATCCACCACATGCTGCGCGGCCAGGCAACCGAAGGATTCAAGGAACTCGAAAGACATGCCAACTTCATGATCAAGGATATCAAGGAACACCTTGAGTTTCACAAGAACCTTAGGGTTGATACATGGCCAAAGGCTAACGACCAATTCATCATGGATCGTCTAAAGCTTGTCAGCGATACCCTGGAAGACCCGGTCTACAAGACCAAAGTCAAGTTCTGGCACAAAATGCGGATGTCTATTCCTCCTACCGTTGAGCCCAACCGCATACTGAAGATGTCGCCCGTTCTGAGCGGCTTACTGCTCTACCGGTTCAAATCCCAGCATCGGGAGATTGGCCTAGCTATTGCAAATGCATGGGGCTCTGTGACCTACACTGCGCACCTTCATAACGCTCTTCAGAGTGAAAAGCTTGTTGCTGGAAAATGGCAAGATATGATGTTGGCTCGCACCATTCTTGGGGACTCCACCTTCTTCGTGGGTGACCCACCAACTAATGGTGAAGACTATATGCGGAAATTCAGCCTCCAAGCAGGTGTTCCGTTTGCTGCCATGACTAGCACGCGTCGCAAAAACACCGCTCTGGAGTCCAAAGCTGGGCCACGAGGTAAGCAGCTCTTATTCTACTCATTACCCTTCAACCTGGCAGGCTTGGAGCTACACGACAATGATCACTGCTCAACTGGACTCTGCCAGTTTATTACACTCACAAGTATGCGTATTAATGAGTTCGTAGGGATTAAGAGTGAACATCTTCCGCCTGTATCTTCCATGTTCTTTGACCGCTACGTAAATGGATCACGCCGAGTAGACTGGACTGCGGAGCAAGTGGACCAGGTTATCGAGCTGAGCTTATACGAAGAAATGGGAAGTGAAGAGGAAGGCACCCTCATGTTTGGCCAGATTGAAGAACCAGAGAAAATTAAGGGGAAGCAAAGGGCCAGTGGTAACGGCGGAAAAAAACGCAAGAAAGCTTCGGAGGGTGCAGTCCTTTCGCCTGAGCAGTTGATACACCAGCTGACGTTCGCCCTCAACAACGAGAAGCTAGAGCTCAGTTTCCCATGGCTCACCATGCACCGCTCCTGCTGGAGGCTTCTCCGAGCGGTCAAAGACGGCTGCGACGCTCACCTCCGCGAGACCGTCGGGCCTGTTTATATGGAGAAGGAGTCGCAGCTCCCGTTTTTGATGATGTGGATCTTTGGGTTCGCAGGCAAAGGAGACATGCGATTGATGCACCTAGCGGCCGATGCGGCGCGTGGGTTCTACGGGCGCTCGGGGCGCGATGTCCTTGGCGTGCTTCACCGGCTCGGGATGCCCATCCAATTCACGACTGAGGATGAGTTCGAGGCCATTGCGCAGGAGTCTAGTCAGTAATCTAGATTTTTGGACCAGATGTGTTAACAGGAGATATGCCTTAGGCTTTGAGTTATTCATGTGTGAAAGGGGTGATTTCGAGTGGCTGTTGAGGCCGCAATTGAGTTTCCCACAAGACGCGTGGCATATTGGCGTGCCTGAAATTCATCTTGTCGCTCTATTCTAGTATCAAATCTGGCTGTTGTCATCTAGCTATCCTCAGAGCTTCCTGTGAATCCCAGAAACAGTGTATGACAACCACAAGTTAATTATAGACTGTGATAATTGCACAGCCCGATGGACTTCACCAGCGTGTTGTTGAAGTTCAAGCATGGCAGTGCACAATGTCTTTGGCTTGCTTATCCACCACTAGGAGTGGGCATATTGAATGGAGCATTGATATGCAAGATGTATATTTATAGCCTCAGCACCTCGCAATGTCGCACCCCCCACCCCTCCGGGGAACGGTTCAGCTCAAGGCTCCCTCACGAACCATCATAAACGCTGTCCCTTCTCATCAGCTCAACGCTTTCATCGTAATACAAGTTCTTATTGGAACGAGTAAGGTTCACTTTACGACATGACTCTTCTACGACGTTTCCGGACGCTCAAAACTACTGAGCCTTCAGAGCCCCGAGATTCTATAGGGGAAATAGGGCTAACACTGATTGCGAAGCCGAGAGAGGACACAAAAGTGGAGTAAGTCAAGACGGTGGAATCGGAAAGATATACATGTGCTTCATCACATATCTGAGGAAAGGGCACCTCTACCTGCATCGCCCAAGTTAATCCTCTCTAGTGTCGTATTTGTCCACGGCTTTTTAGGCCACCCGAAGAAGACATGGGCTGCTCCAGGTGACAGAACCACTCCGCCAACTTACTGGCCTCGAGAAAAGGTCCCCCAAAGTCTACCTCAGGCTCGAGTATGGGCGTTTGGCTACGATACCAAGCTAAGTCACCCTCTCCGGTCCGGCAGCCAAAATACAGTCTATGGAGAGGGCAAAGAACTAGTGGCTATTTTGGACGATGTACGGCGCGGTAATGAGAAGCTGCTGCCCATCATCTTCGTGGCACATAGCTTAGGAGGCATTGTGGTCAAACAAGCGCTGCGATACTCCGAGAAATGCAAGGAGCATCAGGCGAACCAGAGTCTTGGCCTGGTATTTGATACAACCATCGGCATTTTTTTTTTTTTGGCACACCTCACGGTGGAGCAGACCCGAGAGACTTGACTCATAGAGTCTTGCAAAGTGTGGCGGGAGTTATGGGCGTGAAGGCAAATCCTAATACGATAGCCACGCTGCTCCCCAACTCGGCCGAGCTCGAACAGTTGCGTGACGAGTTTCTCCCCATGGCGCGCAAGAAGCAATGGTCGATTACTTCATTCCAGGAACAAAGAGGAGTCCCGTTCCTCAATGGAAGACTCGTACGTACATCCCTAAATGGCGTTTCCAGCTAATGTACTGACCCTATAGGTCGCCGATCAAGTTTCCTCATGCCTGGGTGATAGGGATGTTGAGAGAACCAGGGCAATTGACAAGAACCACATGGAAATGTGCAAATTCTCCGCCGAGGATCCTGAATACGGAAAAGTTGACCAGACCCTGAGATATACGTGGGAAACCTTCACCAGCAAGTCCGCGCAGGTAAACACGGTTGCTCCGCCCGGAAGAATCACTCCATTCGTTCAGACTAATCAATTGGAAAGGATCACGGAAGAACAGAAGAAGCGGTTCCTCTCTACTTTGAGGTGGCCGGAGATGAACTCCAGAGAGAACTCTATTGAAAGTCCGTCTTTGGACACAGTTCAGTGGATATTCGGCGAAAATTTGAAAGAATCCGACGTAAGGAAGTCGTTTCGGCAGTGGCTTCAATCGGCAGATGCTCTGTTTTGGATTCGCGGAAAAGCAGGCTCTGGAAAGAGCACCCTTATGAAGTTTTTAGTTCATGAAAAACGAACTATGAAGCACCTAGTCGTCTGGAACCCTTCTGTACGAATTCTTCATTTCTTCTTCATCGAAGTAGGCACCAGCCCGCTACAGCGCCAGATAGAAGGATGTTTGAGGTCTTTACTATATCAGCTACTGATCGCTGACGGTGTAATGCTCGAAAACATCCTCCGAAGTCAACCATCCTTGAGACAAAAGGCATCTGAACATGACTGGTCCATAGAAGATCTCCAGAGGACTCTCATTAATGCCCTTCGGATGTCCAAAACTACTTTTTGTTTATTCATTGATGAGATCAAAAATGATTCTCAATTTTCAGCAGCTGAAGCGCTGTTAGCGTTGGCACATACGCAAGGTGTCAAGGTCTGCGTATCGAGTCGCGAGGAGAACTCTCTCTCAGCTCTGAGTTTGTATCCATCGCTGCGCATTCAAGATTTGACGTACGGCGGCATAAATGCATACATACGCGAGAAACTGCATCCTTCTCTCACAGAGCTGCATGAACTACAAAACGGTGTAGCCTCCCAGAAAGTGCGGGATATGGTCAATACTCTGACTGTGAAATCGGATGGGGTCTTCTTGTGGGCCGTCATGGCCGTTGAAAATATTCTGCAGGGCATAAGAGACGGTGACTCGTTTCAAATTCTCCGTAAAGGGACCGATGAATTCGCCCCTAGCCTTGATGCTTTGTATCAGCAGATGTGGTCCAGACGCAACGATAACAACCCAAAACAGCAACGAGAGTCTGCTGAACTGTTCTGGCTGATGCTAAACTCAAGGGAATTGCAATGGTGGCCACGCTGGTTCATTGGTAACCTTTTTTCTACAAATATTCACCTGCGTCAAGCTTTTGAGGACTTCATTCAAAGTAAAAGGACACCAACGAAACAATACGTACAGGCGTTGATGCAAGAACATCAAAAGTGGTTGTTGGCGAGGAGCGCTGGTCTGATCGAGATCACATCGAGGAGCCTGACCCAAGCATCGAACGACTCGACGTTCTTTACGCCCGGCAATTACACGGTTCGATTCATACATAGATCCGTGCGCGAGTTTCTATTAAGTACACCTTCCGGACGGGCCATACTTGATCGCGACACTAGAACCTCCCAGGAAAAATGGTCAAACATGTTACGCGGATTAAAGACTACGGTTATGTTCACGGGAGTTTGCAGGATTCTTCCTTGTCAAGGATTCTTGGAGGGTTCAACATCACTGCCGAGACACCCCAGATCCGGGGCTTTTGACTTTTTCACCAAGGTCTTGCCATCCCACGTCATCCGGGGTCATATTAGCGATGACGATGAATTGAGACTGTTGAACGAGCTGGAATACGCGACCCATGCTATGTCAGGATCTCTAGAGTTACAGTGGATTCTGCTCGTATGCGCGGCAACGTACGGCTCATGGAAGTACGTGTCACAGAAAAATGGACAACGGCTCGAGAACTTGGCCGACGCCGACAAAACCCAGCTCTTGTTCGCTGCGTGTGCCAATTGGAGGAACGTTATCACTAATATCATACCTGATGAGGAAAGCTGGGGCAAAGCAACCCTAGACTGCTCGGAAGAGCTGATACACCTCAAACCATTTCTGAGGGCTGTCCACTGCATCAGATATGTTCTCAGCGCTGGCGCCGATGCGAATGCTACTTTCAGCACCGACGGGCCCGAAAAAAATACCACTCCCTTCTGCTGCATGTTAAGAGAAATACTGCACGCTAGTCTTGAAATCGAGTTTACTCACAAGGACGGCACATACATGGAGTCGCCGCGCGTTGTGGAGCTGGGGCGGTTCTACTCGGAAGTAGGGAGTTTCATTGACTTTTGGACGGAACACCAGGCAGACCTCAGTGGACGTGTTATTCTGCGTACAGGAGGTTGCGACAAAATATGGAAAAGACTTGCGATTGTCAGTTGGACATTCGATTTTCAGATACCCGTTGTCTGGATTGTGGAGTACATGCGAAGGCGCAGGGCCTTCTGGACCGCGCCATGGCAAAAGTCCACAAGCTCAGGGGCTGATAACAGACCATGTTCAATCAAATGCATTGCAATGGGCAGGTTCAGGATGACAAAGAAGAAATTCAACACGACAGAGAACGATGTTGGACTGAGGCTAGGGGCGGCGTTTGAGGAGCTTCTCTTGAGGCCTTGGCAAAATCAGAATGGCTGGCTCTTCCGGGTCTTGATTCTCAACTACATAGAGGGAAAAGCAATACGATTACGCGAGAGAAGCTATCCATTACCGCCCCGTCTTGGAATAAGATTATAGGAGCCGGGCCCAGCTGGAGACTCAAGGCACTTAAGCATTCAACCATCAATTTATACGCAGAGTGGCACATGATTTACTAATTGAGTTGATGCCGATATACCACGGCTCTCATTTCTTGGTCCCCTTTTCCGCCTCCTTCTCCTTCTCCTCGTCCAATATCCGCTGCGCGACCCGGAAGCCTTCCAGCCCGGCTGGCAAACCGGCGTAGATGCTGGCCTGCAACAGGGTCTCCTGGATCTCGGTCACGGTGCAGCCGTTGTTGAGGGCGCCGCGGACGTGGACGCCCAGCTCGGTGCTCTTGCCCATGGCCAGCAGCATGGCAAGGTTGATGAGCGAGCGGGTGCGGCGGTCCAGGCCCGGGCGGCCCCAGATGAGGCCCCAGCCGGCCTCGGTGGCCAGCTCCTGCATGGGGCGCGAGAAGTCGGAGACGTTGGCCCACGAGCGGTTCACGTGCTCGGCGCCGGTGACCTCGCGGCGGATCTCCAGACCCTCCTCGAAGAGGGTCTTGCGCGCGGTTTGGCGGTCTTGATTGGGGGAGGACATTGTATGTTGTTGCACGTGATTGGGCAAGAGTACAAATGTGTGCGTGGTAGACTTTTGATAGGAGACAATCTAGTAAAACAGCTGAGCGTATCTCTTGACGGCGCTTTGTGAATCTTTGGTAGTACAACACAGTCAGATTGAGTTTATACTCTAGGTACCGGCAGCTACATTGCGTCATAAAATGCAGGTAAACAGTATGCCGAGGGAGACGCCCGGCAAATGTGAGAGCCACATGCTCGGGGCCTAGACGCGGCCGAAGTCGCAGACGACAAGAAGTGCCTACGATGCTTGGTACTCGCCCAGGAAATCGACACGGTCAAAGCCGACAATTCTTCTATCACGATGAGCTTAGGTGGTCAGCAGTGTAAGGGTGCATGGATTATTGCCATGCATCTCATTTATACTCTGAGGTTGGTCGATCTGAACGGCGAAAGGGTGTGTCAATGAGGTTGCACGTGCCATCCGGCGCCCGGTTGCTCGTGCTGGAGTGCTGCAGTGCTCAATCTGAGCTGTTTCCGCTGGTCCAGGCTGGGCATTCGTGCGCATTGCGTGACGGCTGTGGGGGAAACCAGCGCTAGAAATCGTGAAAGGAACAACGGACGGGAGGAAAGCGTGGGGAGAGAGCCCTGGCCCGGCCTGGCTGTTGGCCAGGGAAAGACAACAAAGCGCGCCAATGGCGGCGAGTACCGAGTGCCCGAGTAGAGCAGCTGGGACTATGATCCGATCCAGGAGCTGCAAGCGAGAAGACAAGACGGCCGGAATCCGCGATGGCGCCACTGAGGGCCTGAGGACCCCCTGCAGCCTCTGCGCCGACTGCATGGGTGGATGGATGGATGGATGGATGGCATGGAGTTTGGCGACGGGCGGATTGATTTTATTATGGGACGCAACAGCTCACCTCGCCTGAGAGCTGCGCTGGCGTGAGCCGAGTTGGGGAAAGGCGCCAGACCCGATCTTTCGGAGCTTCGAGTCATTGACCACCACAACCTCCCTCACTTTTCGACCTCGCTCTCAACCCACTGCGCATCACTGCCAGCCCGTCCTTGTTAGTGATTGAGACAAGCTCGCTCCCCTTTTGTCTGTTCTTTTGAGTCGTGCTCGCTCACTCAACGCCCCCTCTCACCATGCTGCCTGCCTTGAGAATCGCGGCCCGCCGCGTGCCCGCCGTGCGCAGATCCGCTACCGCTTTCCAGGCTGCCCGAGCTGCCTCGACCTGGGCCAAGGTGCCCCAGGGCCCTCCCGATGTAAGTCGTGCCACCAATTCACTCGCCATTGAGGCCGCGTGCTGATGTCTTGCGCCCGTTAGGCCATCCTGGGTATGTGTTTGCCAGTCACCAGCTCGCCGTGGCGCGGTCCGAGTCCAGCTGTCATCTTGGCTTCGCTGGACCATAAGCTTTACCACGTCATAGCACCACGACAGCACCAATTCCTCATCTCTGGGCCTCCCGCAATCGCATCGAAACCCAGCATGCTAATGCTTGTACCGCAGGTATCACTGAGGCATTCAAGGCCGACTCCTTCGACAAGAAGATCAACCTAGGTGAGTGCTACAACACGCCACGTCCTGCACCGCTGGCCGAATACGACCACGTTCGTGTGTGGCTGGTAGCTCGAATGATGCCGTTGCTAACCAATTGCTCTTCGCACAGGTGTCGGTGCTTACCGTGACGACAAGGGCAAGCCCTACGTCCTCCCCTCCGTCCGCTCCGCCGAAGAGAAGGTCGTCAAGAACCGCCTCAACAAGGAGTACGCCGGCATCACCGGTATCCCCGAGTTCACCAAGGCCGCCGCCGTCCTCGCCTACGGCAAGGACTCGTCCGCCCTCGACCGCCTCGTCATCACCCAGTCCATCTCCGGCACGGGTGCTCTGCGCATCGGCGCCGCCTTCCTCGAGCGCTTCTACCCCGGCGCCAAGAAGATCTACATCCCCAACCCGTCATGGGCCAACCACGGCGCCGTCTTCAAGGACGCCGGCCTCGAGGTCGACAAGTACCGCTACTACGACAAGAAGACCATCGGTCTCGACTTTGAGGGCATGGTCGCCGACATCAAGGCCGCCCCCAAGGGCAGCATCTTCCTGTTCCACGCCTGCGCACACAACCCTACCGGCGTCGACCCCACCGAGGCCCAGTGGAAGGAGGTCAGCGCCGCTGTCAAGGACGCCGGCCACTACGCCTTCTTCGACATGGCCTACCAGGGCTTCGCCTCGGGCTCCACCGACAAGGACGCCTTTGCCGTCCGTTACTTCGTCGAGCAGGGCCACAACATCTGCCTGGCCCAGTCCTTCGCCAAGAACATGGGTCTCTACGGCGAGCGTGTCGGTGCCTTCTCCATCGTCGCCGCCGATGCCGAGGAGAAGAAGCGCATCGACTCGCAGATCAAGATCCTCGTCCGCCCCCTGTACTCCAACCCCCCGATCCACGGTGCCCGCATCGCCGCCGAGATCCTGAACGACCCCGCTCTCAACAAGCAGTGGCTCGCCGAGGTCAAGGAGATGGCCGACCGCATCATCACCATGCGCGCTCTCCTCAAGGAGAACCTCGAGAAGCTGGGCAGCAAGCACGACTGGGGCCACATCACCAGCCAGATCGGCATGTTCGCCTACACTGGCCTTGACGCCGCACAGATGGATACCCTGGCCAAGGAGCACAGCGTGTACGCCACCAAGGACGGCCGTATCAGCGTGGCTGGCATCACCAGCGACAACGTTGGCCGCCTTGCCGAGGCCATCTTCAAGGTCAAGGGTTAAGTCATGTATCAGGATAAAACTTGGGGCGTTTAGAGTGTTCGATAAGCGGAAAATGGCATTTCCTTGATACCTCCATAGATACGCCAAATGGATTGGCCCGATTTCTTCGGCTATGATGATAAAATGAATCACGACATTGGCAGGATTCGAAGTGAATCAAACGGATAAGCGTAGTCGTAGACGACCCACATTGCGGTAGAACATCGTCAAGCTTGATGGACAAAGGTGAGTCGTTGCATTTTGCAAAGTATATCAGCTGGTATATCACAGCTAGACACCATTCAGCGCCATAAACTCGTAAATCGTGATTGGCGGCACATTTCAAAGATCAAGCTCTGGGCCCCTATTCCCGGGCCCACTGACCTTCTCTCCTGCATACCTTGCTCTCAGTCTGCTCCTCATAAAATCCAATACTGTTCCTCGCCGATGTCATGGACCCCCTTACACGTAAACTGACGCCACGTGAACCGTTCAAAGATGATACATCAAGTAGCCGGCGTCAACTTCACCCTCAAGCCCGTCTGGCGCATGAACAAGCTGTCTACAACCTCCCACTCACGCTGCGGGTCCTCGAGCTCCATGTCGTACCGCGCAAACAGGGTCGCGACGACCTTGTACAGCTCGACCAGCGCCAGGTTCTTACCGATGCAGCCCCGGCTGCCGCCCCCGAAACTCAGGTCCGCCGCGTTCATGGCCCGGAGCCGCGCCGCGTGCCCGTCCTCCGACTCCCCCGGGGCCCGCAGCCAGCGCGCTCCGGGTCGAAGGCGTCCGGCGCCGCGCCCCACACGCTGCCGGGCGTCCGCTGCACCACGTACGGGTTGATGCCGACGTGCACGCCGCCCGGGACCACGGCGCCGTCGCACCCTGGCAGCGCCAGGCCCGACGCGGGGACCACGCGCTCCAGCGTCAGTCCGACGCTCGGGAAGATGCGCTGCGACTCGCGCACCGCGGCCTCTAGGTACGGCAGCGCCTTGGCGGCGGCGAAGGCGACCGGCGACGCCTTGTCCGGGGACGGCAGTGAGGAGCGGATCTCGGAGACCAGCTTGGCCTTGGCCCCCGGGTGCTTCAGCACGTGGTAGATGAGGGACCGGATCGCCACGGCGGTCGTGTCGGCGCCGGCTATCATGTTGATCATGAGATCTGAGCGAGAGAAACGGATGAGCCATTCCTACGACTTTTACATTCCGTTCGAACTGGAGGGAGCGAGAGGTTTGGTGATTTTCACTTACATGAGATTATCTGGCCATCGTCGACGACGTCACCGTCAGAGCCCTTGGCCTCTATAAAACGATCGAGGAAGTCGGGCCGGGCAGCGTCGTGATACGCCCCGTCGGTGCCCTGATAACGCGCCGCCAGGTGCTCGAGGGAGATGCGCGTGATGTTGCCGAAGCCCGGGGGGCCCACGCGCATCACTGGGTTCTTGTCCAGCCAGTGGTCCAGGAACGGCATCTGCGATACCAGCGAGAAGTAGTCGATCGACTTGTCGGCAATGGCTAGGGTCCCGCTGTGTTAGGGACAGTGTAAGTAATGTACCCTTTTGTATGGTTGAGTGACATATTTGAAATAATCTCTAGAAGTGAAAGAAAAGGGGTAAGGGAAAAAGACCGAGGGATTGAAAAAAAAAAAGGTCGTCTACTCTAATGCAGATCTTTGAACTTGCAACCTACAATTCACGAAGGAAGGGGTACCCCCAGCAACGCCCGAAGCGCTGACCCATTAAGCCAAGTTAGCCGCTGGGCAATTGGGACTGGGGGCCGTGAGAATGTGTCAACCTATTTCCCATAAGAGGCTATGTTCTAGGCAGCCACTGAATTTTGTGGTCACAATGAGGTGGAGGGTGACTGGCCACCCCCCTAAGCCGCGACCTCCGTAGTCCACCGTATTGTGCTAATGAGACTGCCAAGGGGAAAAGGGGAAGGATACATACTCGAAATCCCGGCCGTGCTGCATGTAGCCGAACGGCTGGCTGAACGTCACCTTGCCCACGACATCCCACGCGTCTACGAGTCGGTTTAGCCAACTTTGCTCGTCCTCGAGAGTGCTCGCCATGCGCCATGGCTACTTACAGAAGCCAATCCACTCCCCCAAGTCACACACAACGCCCTGCTTGGCGAAACGCGAGTCGATCTCGGAACACAGCTTGCCGACCATGTCGTTGACGTGGTCCTCGAGGGACAGGATGCCCTTCATGGTGTAGAACTTGTCGATGGGCCGGCGCTGCCGCGCGTGCTCCATAGGGTCCTTCATGCTGAAGATGTTGTATGTAATCTTGCCGTTCACGATGGCACTACTAGCGCGGTAGAAGTTGTTCTGTTGGGGTCGAGTCAGTGCTTGATGTGACAGCGCTAGGAAGGACAAGTTGGAGAATATACCTTGAGGAACTTGCCGTCGAAGTTGTTGTAGATGGTCTTCACGAGGCTCGGGTGGTCAAGGTCCAGAAGATTGGGTCCGACACGCACTACAGGGCCGTACTTGCGGTGAAGAGCCTCCCAGCGCAGATGCGAGTCGCCGCGTGTCACTTGGTATAGTCACCATAGGTTTGTGTATCCTGTTCAAGTAGGATCAGTCCACACGTTTCTCATCGTTTCGGCTCATAGATAGTATGCGGAGGCCTGTTCTGTATTATATTAGACTTACTGGCAATGAACGGTCCTGGATATTTTCTCAGAGGGTCATTGAATTGCGTTATCAATAGCCAGGTGAGTGTTACTATGAGAGATGCTAGAAAGATTAGCCGAGGCGTGTCACTGTCCTCTTCGCCAAAGGCAGGCATCGAATGCCAGAACGGCAACTGCTTCACGAAGGCGGACATCGCATATCATTAAACTCTAGAATGAGACACCTCAAGTAAGACAAAGTACGCGACGAAGTTTCGATTCATGGTTTTCTTGGACACTCGACTGCGGGGCTGTTAATTAGCCCATGATTTAATCGAGTCTACTGCTCCTCGTTGGCAACCGTGCTGCCGTGGAGTCGACGACGATATAATCCTTGCAGCGCCCGGGGTCGTGCTGACAGGTGCATATGCGCTGTCACGGTGTGGGCGAATGGAATTGCCGCCGTTTTATTCGCTGTTCCACAGGGCTCCCTGTTGTGTCTTGGGTATGTGCACTGGCCAGGCTCTTGGGGCACTCTCTAACAATCCAATAGCATCTTCTTCTCAAATTACGGCTTATTGGGTATGGAGTTATGCTGACTCTACATGCGCTACCATAGATTCCATTGGACTAGCTGATCAATCAACAGCCCGGGATGCGCCGATGATATAATGTGTCAGAGTATGGCCATTGTAGATGCGTATTATACTTGGATTGTCTCCAGCTCGCAGAAACTAAATAAACAGAGCAATTTTTCCACAACTGAGAAGTTCTAGTCTTTCTATGTCGTGCTCATTCCATTGTTTGATGTCAGATAGAATGGCAGAGTGTGTCTATCAAGGTGATACTCTGCGATGAAAACTACACATGTAGCTATGGGGTTAATCTCTCTACTCCGCATGTATGATTACGCTCGTCCCATGAGTCTCATGAAAAAGTGCTGAAGTGACCGAGCCTAGAACTTGTTCAGTGCTGAACGCAGAGGTTGTTGTATCCAGTCACTGAGAGCGATTGGTTCGTGCTCCATTCGTAAGTTAATACGGAATCTGGCCTTGTATGTTGGGTGCATTTGTACGTTCGCAACAACTTCCTGGCGTCCCACCTTTAGCTTGACAACCTCATCCAATTTCAACGCAACTCGTCTGTTCAGCAGAGCAGTCCTTTCCCCGTGCTTTCTTTCAAGGTCGTGCCATTGCTCCGCAGAAAACAGTGCCACCCACGGCCAAGGGCTCTCCACGGGATCGAACTGGGCGTTTTCCCAGAGAAACTGACGCCGAAACCCACATGTCAAGATGAAGTATTCCCCACCAGATGTTCCGTATGGCCCGAGGCCTAGAAGACTAGGGAAGACTTTCAGATGTCCATCGAAGGGTATCCCGGCGGTTGTGAGGAACTGCAGGCCGGCCGCATCCCAACGGTCCCTTGGACTAACAGATTGAATGATGTTCCTGAATTTCAGCGCCTGATCGAATCTGATCTGGATTGTTCGAAATTTATCTGGCTTCAGACCATCTAGGATGTTGGGTGTGATAGTCGTGACTATAGAAGCCTCCTCCCTTTCGCTGTAGGTCTGCAGCGCCGCTCTGTGGATGGACGAGTGTCTTCTGGGTGTTGGATTTCGAAGCCTTACGAACAGGCCAGGGCCAATCTTTCGTAAATACAGGTAGTGGGGTGTTTTAACTGTCCCATCTCCTTTGGTCCCGCAATTCAACGACATCCTATAGTCTTCAATCTCACCGCCAACCTCGAAACTAGCTGCTCGGAAGTAAAGACCGTTGTTCGTCAGTGTAAAGGACTGGCTGGGAACCAATTCGGTGTCCCAGCGAACCAACTTCTTGCAGCTGTCGAACAAGCGAGGCGAGTTTGCAAACAAGTCGCAATACTGATTCTCCTCCGGTGGCTCGTCGATTTCGTAGCATTCGAACCTCGGAAACCTGAGGGCACTCTCTTCGGATGGCGGTGCATAAGCGAAGATGGACATATCATTTGAGCGCTTGATGATCTCTTCCTGCAGACGGAGAAAAGCCTTGCTCCCTTCACCGTAGAGCAGAGGCATATTGACGTCAAAAATCCCTAGAAGACAGTATGCCATGTCTTCTGTCCTTGTTGTCTTGCGCTTGGAAGCCCAAGACATCCGCTGAGCCACTGGGCAGTTGTAGATGAGTCTGCCGTCGGCCAGGATGCCCGTGTCGATGTTGGTGATACCCGACAGTAGTCTGCTGAGCTCTATCTTTGACCCGACTGTTTGCCACGCGCTGTTGAGGAAAACGATGTCCCTTGGAGCGAGCAATTCCTGAAGACACCAGCCCCGTGTGAACCATCGGCATTGATCCAGCACGTCAGGCAGGCACGCGTAAGGTTCAAGGTCCGAGAGGAAAGCGAAGCACAAGTCTGCATTCTGGTACCATTGGAACATTGAGTTGATGGCCTCGCTGAGCTCGGCGCTGCTGCTCTTGTCTATGCAGCACGTGTCGATCCAGACGTACCCAAGAGCCTGGTCTCGAGCTGCCTCGCACGTCCGCACAATCTTGTTGTAGCCAGATCGCTGCCTGGCGGGGTGGCCGGGACTATCGACGATCTGGGTCATCTCTTGGAAGTTGACTTCCTCGCCATCGACCCACGTGTGTGAGAGGATTCCATATTTCGGCACGTTGGCGGCTGTGAAGCGCCTCATGCGGAGAGTCGCTGTGTCGACGAGCCGAAAGGCCATGGCGGGCCGCTAGGGTTGAAGAATAGCCACAGATGGTGAGCTACAGAGATATAGACCTCAAACATGGCGGCGTAAATGACCCGGCTCTGGGGGTGTTGGTATGGACACGCACTGCCACCCTTGCCTGCCTGCCGTATGCATCTCGGACCGGTCCTACCCCACACCCACGGTACTTGAGCTCTGGCACCATCTCATTGGATCTATCTGCTGTTGATGGCGATTCGTAAGCTGACGTAACCTTGATAACGAGTCTCGGGGCACTATTGCGTGCGGAGTAGCTGACGCGAGCTTTAAGAGTATGCCGCTTATACAAAGAGTTGAGACTCGGAAGCGTACCCTGAAATTCGGTATGAACCACCGGTTGCGGGGTCGCATGGCATATAGACGACTACGTTTACATACTAACCACCTAGCTATATTGACCCGGTCTATATACCTTTAGCGTTATGTTTCGGGACTAATGGCACTTTGTGATAGTATTGAAGCAGTCGGACAGGATACCTTGGAAGGTCGGAAAGTAATCCCGCAGGGATCAATTGGTTTCAATTGCGACCTACGGGAAGGAAAGCATACCGGATCTAGCCAATTAGACCATTTGGTTCCGAGTCCTCCCAATGCCAACGAGGGACTGGATCACCTCGAGAGCCACACTTACCCAAGACTCACTATTCGACCGTGAGGGCTGCCAATAACGGCTCAAGCGGATCCAACTTTGACAATGAGCTAAGCATTGGGCGAGCAAGGATGCTGCTGACTCCCCGACTCTCTCTGACTCCTGCGACTTGCGCAGAAACCTGGAGGCGGGCCGGTATCGCCGTAACGCAAATCCGGCAGGTTGGCGTGGACTGGCGAGGACTGGGTGGACTCTGGGAGGTCTGGGTGGACTGGGGGGCGAGGGTATGAACAGCACAAGAGGAGCACGGCCCTCGCTGTGAGCCCGGAGGTCCCTGCATATTCCCACCTTCGCCGTTAGCCTGTCAAAGTCGGACTAGTCCGCCCGGGAAGCGATCGCGGGGCACGCCTACGCCGCTCGAAAATATCCCAAATAATCCTTCTTCATCCCACCTTGCCCACCTTGCCCACCTAGTCCACCAGACCGCGGCGCCATTCCCAGGACAGTCATACACAATCTCACCTGCATAGTGACTCAGACGCAGACGCAGACGCAGACGCAGACAGACCAGACACCGCCAACCTGCCCTGTCCCGTTGCCAGGCCATAAAGAGCAGGTCCCCTCGATCCTCTTGCGAGCGCTGCCCTCGGCTTCTCCCCCCCTCCCACCGAACTTTCCCTCCCTCTCTACTCGCCAATCAGTCCGACCCGACAGACAGATCGATCCCCAGGGCAAGATGGACGCATTGAAGCAGACTTTCAAGCGGTGCAAGGCCGAGAACCGGGTATGTATATCTCATCTCCCACCGTCGCCGCCGCCAGCGCACACAATGGCTGACCTGCTCCGTCACAGTCTGCCCTAGTGACCTATGTCACTGCCGGCTTTCCGAAGCCTGAGGACACCGCCGCCGTCATGCTCGGCATGCAAAAGGGTGGTGCGGGTATGTTGCTGATTCCCGATCTACCCTCACCATCACACCGCATGCTTACCCAATCTCTGCAGACGTCATAGAACTCGGTGTCCCCTTCACAGATCCCATTGCCGACGGCCCCACGATCCAGACCTCCAACACCGTCGCCCTCCAAAATGGCGTCACGATCGGCTCGGTGCTGCAGATGGTGCGCGACGCCCGCCAACAGGGCTGCACCGTCCCCGTCCTGCTCATGGGCTACTACAACCCTCTGCTGTCGTACGGCGAGGAGGCTCTGCTGAGAGATTGCAAAGCCGCCGGCGTGAACGGCTTCATCGTGTGCGATCTGCCGCCCGAGGAGGCCGTCTCTTTCCGCAAATTCTGCAGCAGTGGCGGTCTCAGCTACGTGCCCTTGATTGCGCCGGCCACGAGCGAGACCCGCATGAAGATCCTGTGCCGCCTCGCCGACAGCTTCATCTACGTTGTCTCGAGACAAGGTGTCACCGGAGCTCTGGGCTCGTTGAACGCAAACCTGCCAGCCCTGGTAGCACGAGTGAAGCAGTACAGCGGCGACAAGCCCGCCGCCGTCGGGTTCGGTGTCTCGACTCGGGAGCACTTCCAGAGCGTCGCCGAGGTCGCCGACGGTGTCGTCATTGGCTCGCAGATCGTCACGACCCTGCAAAAGGCCGACCCGAGCAACTTGGCCAAGGCCGTCGAGGAGTACTGTGCGTACGTTTGCGGACGCACCTCCACCGCCCAGGAGGAGCTCACGCGTGAGGTCGGTGTCATTGAGGCCATCAACGGTGCCCGGGAGCCTAACGGCGAGAACGTCACGGTCAACGGTGTCATCACTGACCATGACCACGACAACGATGCTCTCATGGCAGAACTGGGCCTGCTGCACGGCAAGATCCCCGACCGCTTTGGCGAGTTCGGTGGCCAGTACGTGCCCGAGTCCCTGATGGACTGTCTCTCCCAGCTCGAGGATGGGTTCAACGCCATCAAGGACGACCCCAAGTTCTGGGAAGAGTACCGCGGCTACTACCCCTGGATCGGCCGCCCCGGCCACCTGCATCTTGCCGAGCGCCTCACCGAGTACGCCGGCGGTGCCAACATCTGGTTGAAGAGAGAAGACTTGAACCACACTGGTTCGCATAAGATCAACAACGCTCTCGGGCAGATCCTGCTGGCGAGGAAGCTAGGAAAGACCAAGATCATTGCCGAGACTGGTGCTGGACAGCACGGTGTAGCTACCGCGACTGTCTGCGCCAAGTTTGGCATGGAGTGTACCGTCTACATGGGTGCTGAGGATGTGCGCCGTCAGGCCTTGAACGTTTTCCGTATGCGTCTGCTCGGCGCCAAGGTTGTCGCCGTGGAGGCCGGGTCCCGGACGCTCCGTGACGCTGTGAACGAGGCCATGCGCCAGTGGGTTACCGAGCTCGACACCACTCACTACATCATCGGTTCCGCCATCGGCCCGCACCCGTTCCCGACCATCGTCCGAACCTTCCAGTCGGTCATCGGAAACGAGACCAAGGAGCAGATGCTCGAGAAGCGTGGCAAGCTGCCCGATGCCGTCGTTGCCTGCGTCGGTGGCGGCTCGAACGCTGTGGGCATGTTCTACCCCTTCAGCAACGACCCCAGCGTGAAGCTGCTAGGTGTTGAGGCCGGAGGTGACGGTGTCGACACGCTGAGACACAGCGCCACCCTCACTGGAGGCACCAAGGGTGTTTTGCACGGTGTCCGCACCTACGTCCTGCAGAACGAGCACGGTCAGATCTCAGACACCCACTCCGTGTCGGCCGGTCTCGACTACCCCGGTGTCGGCCCCGAGCTCTCGTCCTGGAAAGACAGCGAGCGCGCCAAGTTCGTCGCTGCCACCGACGCCGAGGCCTTCTTGGGTTTCAAGCTCATGTCTGAGATGGAGGGCATCATCCCCGCCCTGGAGAGTGCCCACGGTATCTACGGCGCCATCGAGCTGGCCAAGACGATGAAGAAGGGAGAGGACGTGGTCATCTGCCTCAGTGGACGTGGAGACAAGGACGTGCAGAGCGTGGCGGACGAGCTGCCCAAGCTCGGGCCCAAGATTGGCTGGGACTTGCGTTTTTAGATTAGGGGCGGCTCGCATATAGCAGAGGAAATCGTCATGCAGCTTTGTTCGGAGTTGGTGGGAAAATCATGTTGATGAAACTTGGGCTGGCATCGGGGTGCTTTGACAGATGGGGCTTGGTGTTCAACCTGTACAGTGGTCAATGTGACTAGACAAAAAAAATTAGACACAGAGATGAAACTCCAACTGGTGACATGTCTTGATCGTATTGTATTGAGATGCCGTCCGTCTATTATGCGGTTGCAGGTATGTGACCTGCTCCTTTTGTACAAGAGTATGGTACAGTTTTCTCCGTAGTTTCTGGAATGATACACGCGGCCCTGCACGCGGAACCCGTAAGGCTTGGTCCGTCCAAGGGACCAGATCACGGCGTCTTCCGCTTGACCTCGCCCTCCTGCTTGACCTCGTCCAACACCTCCTGCGCCGCCTCCCGGGCCTCCTCCACCGCAGAGGCCGGCTCCTCGGCCATGAACCGCTCCTCCACGACCTCCTCCTCGCCGATGACGAACTCGTCCCCACGCTCCAGCATGGCGTCGATCTCGCGCATGTCCTCGGCGCTCGGGGCTCCCTCGAGGGCCGCAATCTCCTCCAGGGCCGCGGCCGAGCTGTCCTTGGGCGGCAGGCCCAGGGCCTCGCGCTCGCGGGCCCAGCGCTCCTGCACGGCGGGGCTCTGCATGACCTTCCAGCGCAGGCGCCAGCCGGCGGGGCCGAGCTCCTTGATGCGGCGGGCCTTGGTGCCGAGCAGGTAGGCGTCGATGCCGCCGAGGCGGTCGATGGTCTTGAGCACGTGGGCGGTCAGGCGGGTGCGGATGAACATGCCGAGCGAGGGCGACCACAGGCGCTTGGTGTGCCGGTTCGGGCGCCACTGCGTGCGCGTCTTGATCTGCCGCGGCTGCGACACCGTGTTGCCGTACCGGATCTTGGCCGTCCCGTACAGCCCGCTGTTGCGCTGCTTGTACCACCGGAACTCGCCGTACGGGTAGTCCGGCACCGCCTCCCGGTCCACCTTGAGGTGCGTCGGCGTCTGGCGCGCCGCGGCCGCCGTTGTGCTGAAGGTTCGCGGCGTGGCCGTCTGCCTCGCGAAGAGGCATCGTGCGGTCGCGGCCGCCGTCGGGCGGAGGCCGGCCATTGTGTGTCGTTCGGTGGCGGTGGTGGCAGTGGGCGGGGTGCGTGTGTGACGGGCGATTATGGGGCGCCTATGGCCGCAGCATCAGGTTCAGGAAGCGATATGGCCGGTACTTGGGCGTGAGGTTCGCAATGGGCGCCGGATGTCGCGATCTCCCTTGTTTCTGGCCTGGCCTCGAGCTTCATCCAAGCTGGATTGAAGATTTCGGGTGGGTCTGGGGGACGGCATGCGGATCCTAGGCCGTGGTTTATCCGGCCCGCTCTCTCTCTCTCTCTCTCTGGTGAGCAGGGGTCAACAACTTAGACGGTGTCAGGACTGTCACCTCACAGCGACCTGAACGCGATACTGGGGCAAAACAACCCGTAGGAGCCTACATACCTAGGTACCCAAGCATTTGCGCTCTCGGTTTCTTACTCTTTTGAAATTCTCCCCAGGTTATGGTTGTTGAATTTGGAGAACGTTGGCTCAAGGCTGGCTCCTCGGGTCAGGTGATCGCGTGACAGCTTCGCGACTATCCATTGAAACCAACCACACCATCCAACACCGCAAAGCAGGATCTCGTGTGAGAACTCGACTTGGTGCTGTCGAAAATGCTGCCACCCGTCGATGAAGCCGTTTTTGAGAGCAACCCAGATTTTGCCAAGCTCTACAGGTCTCTCACCAGCGATGCCCTGAGCCCGGATGGCTCCACCAAGAATGACCCGACAGCCAAGCAACGGAATGCAGTCCGCTCCGTAAGGTGACACTCAACATCCGGGAAGACGCCGATTAACCATTGTAACCAGGAACTGGAGTACGTCCGTCTCGAGGAGACCAAAAAGCACATTTTGAGACATGCCCTCAGGACTGCCACACCGCCGGCCTCTCAACCCCCCAAACAGCTCCATCGACGGACAAAGTCCCAGCTTTCTCGCACCTCGTCACAGGATGCTTCACAGCTACCGCCAGAGCTGGTGGACTTGATACTTCTGCTGCCTGCATTTATTGATCAGGCGCAGACTACCAATGGTGCTGACTTGGAGCTTCTTCTCTCAACACCTCCTTTCTCGGACTTGCCAGCGCTTCTACCCCAGTTCACCCCTGTAATCTCATCGCACCTCACATCACAGGCCAGCACTCTAACCAGAGTCATAAACCCGTCTACCAACCCATCATTCATCCACCGCTCTATACCACAGCTTCTCCCTTCAACCCAGGCCCTACTAGCTACACTATCGGAGAAGCGATCGGCTCTGACTTCTTCTCGGCTGTCGACGACATCAAATCTAGTCGCCCACTTAAATCAACACACCGAAGCCCTAGTGCTTCTGCTTCGAGCCCTGGAGGCTAAACATGGTCCCTCTGCTCACTCCACGGCCCTGCGGGCCTCGGAAGCCAATCTAGAGGCACAGCTCTGGGCCACCTCCCTAAGCCTACTCCTGTGGGAGACCCGGGCAACCATCTACCCGCCAGAGTCCCAGGTTGCGCTGAAAAACTACAGGCGCCATCTAAGAGATGCTCAGATGCAGCTCGAGAACAAGATGCGCACGCGGGAGCAGGAGCTGGGCGAGTATGGCGTCCACCTCAGCATCGAAGAAGGGGGCTTGGGCATCGGCAAGGCTGACGAGGCCAGAGAGCGCACGTTTCGGGAGATGGCCCGCGTCTGGAGAGAGATGGAGGGTAGACTGAAGGAAATCAGACGAGACCTCAAGAGGCTGGATCGGAGCTAACCGCCTGGGCTTCGCCGGCACAGCGGGACGGAGCACGTGGACAAGGTTCGATGGTGTTCTGAAAAGTGTCGACGAAGCTGCCGTCCCATGGCCCGTTTATGTGGCGGAGACAAGACTTTCACATATACATGAAATGCAATCCACGCAGGTTCGGATGAATATTCTGCTATAAAGTAGCTGTTTTCGACATCATAACCCGCCAGCATCCATCACACATTATACGGTACCCCGTTCCAGATCCGCGGCGTTGAGATACTCGGAGCATACAGTCGGCCCATTCAAGTTCATGATGTCGGCAATCGTGACGTTGGGGATCACGCTTGTCATCCACAAGTTGTGGTTCAGCGTCGTCACGTTGCCGTTATCTCCAAAGTAGTCCGTGAGCGACGCTGGTGGGTAGTTGGGGCTGCCAGGCCGGGTGCCCGTCGGGATGTTAGGGCCAGCCATGTCGTGGAGACGCGCAGGGTAGTCCAGCTTCTGCCACTCCCACCAGAGCTTGTCTAAGTATGAGTGGTGAAGATAGAAGATTGGGTCGCCAGGCGAGAAGGTTGGGTCGTTCATCTGTTTCGACTATGGTTAGACAAAGGGTTTCACGCTTCGAGCAGGCCGACCAGGAACAGAACTCACGACACCGCCAACACCGGCGTGACCCGCGCTATGAGGGGTAAGGGACCAGCACTGTGAGCATTCAAGTTAGATTCCGTGGTTTCCTCTCGCGTCGTATGCAACACTCACGGTCCACGCATTGGCATATGTCTTGATAGCGTTGCACCGGTTGATATTTGCCTGCGCCGCTGCTTGGAAAGCTTGTTGACTGAACCGGCGGGTAACGCAGTGATCGCTCACCCGGTTATTGGCGAGGAACCGCAGGGTCAGGTTTGCAAACTGCCCGTCAGCGATGCACCGAGAGCTGCCGACGCCGTTGCCGCCAAAGTACTGATCCTCGAACAGCTCGGACCCTGCCATGTTGGAGACCTCAGCCAATTCGTCCCAGTACGGCATGCGGCCCGTGTAGCCGCACTCGTTACGGATCAGGGTCTCGTGCGCCGTCATGTAGATACGGTGGAAGGGCAGGAACGCGCCCACGTTGTGCACAGTCACTGTTTGCGTGATGTGCGGCCACTGCAGGTCGTCCCACCGGGTCTTGGCTCCTGGGATCCCCGACGTCGACGGCGCCTTGATCAGGCACAGGTCCGCCTGGATATAGGCCGCCTTCTCCTCGGCTGTCAGGAACGTCCACGGCACCCGCTGCTTAATCGACGTGCAGTTGGTCTCGATGTCCCGCCTGACGAGTTCCGGCTGCAGGAGTGCCGACGCCGCAGAAGAGCAAGCTGCAAGCAGCAGCGCTGTAGAGGTAATGACAAATCTCATCGTACAAGGGCCTGAGTGAGCGAGTGTGGAAAGATTGTCCAGTGACTTCTTCCATATGGGGTGTCTGTTTGAGGAGAGACATCGCCCTTCTTTATACGCCGTGAACCCCACCCATGCCGGGATAAGATGCTTCGCGGCCCCGGTACTCGGTATCCAGTGTCATGTATTCGGTCGGTGGGCAACGGCGCTATATTCGGAGCGGGTGTGTCCAACAGGCAGTTCAGATTAGCGATAAAACCGCATATACACTTAATAGCTGCAACCTGAGTGGCTGCGCGAAGGCCCCAATCTTGGTCGCAGAAAGAAGGTTATTTCCCCACACTCGTATGGCATACAATTCTTTGCCGGGCCCGGGGCTACTGGCCCATGGCTGAGGTTGAAATAGAGTATGCGTCTATCGCCTGCCTCTTTGGGAAGTCGTTGGTCAGCCCAAAGCCGCGTGGCTGGATCCCACGGCGTCGACCTTATAGTGCGGATGCGATGCTACGCGCGCGCTTGGCATACTATTTCAGACGGGGCATACGTAAGCCTCTGGTGCTCTGGGCCTGAGGGCGCCGGGGAACCAATCGGCTGGCGGTGGACGTGAATTGTGGCGGCCGGTGGTTATAGAGTTGCAGTAGTGTACAAGATGCTACGCGCGAAGTATGTCTTGGAACAGAGATCGTACTACGGGAATCTCCTTCCCATCTTCAATCTTATGCAGCGTTTCCTGCAGAGTGCTTGCTCTTCATGACTTCGTATATGCAAAGCTTACCAACCCACACCCATCGCCTACAGCCTGTACCTCTGCCACGGGGTATAATTACGGACTTGGCCAGGTCCCGACTCCGTGCATGTTTTATTTAGCGATCGAAAGTCGTGCCGGGGTTTCGGGTCAATACCCGGTTGGCTCGTCTCTGCTGCTGTCGCTACCATTGGATAGGGCAGTGCGGCGCTGAGAGTGAAGCTTTCTAAAATAAGCTTTTCCATATTATCTCCGCTCTGCATGGTCTGCGTTTTGCTCTAGAATTCAATATACCCGGCTCTGATATTTCAACCTGGTATGCAATTCGTAGGGGGATAGCCAGATCTGTACAGGCCTTGCATCAATAAGAGCGCCGTTAGACGGTCTGATCTCCCAGATTGTACCTGTGTAACAAGGATCGAGACGCTCTGCCCCACATCTTACTAGCCATTCCACGGTCTTCAGTCTCGGTGAGCAGAATGTGGGTTGCTGACTTACTTTTCTTGGCCGCGAAGGCCTGTTACTTACTGGTCAAGATGAGGGTCAAGGTACGCTATGAATGAAGTGCGTCGGTTTGTCGATAAGTCGGCGATGCATATCCGTCGTTATTAACCACATCTCAGACAGCTGTGGCAGTAAAAAGACATCTCTGATTCCCTATTGGCGTGTCATCAGTTCAATATGTGTGGGAATCATTGGACTTTTTAATCAAAGCAAATCTCAACTCACATATATCGCTGAAGCGTGTATTCTGATCATCTTCTCTGTATCCATGAGCCCGCGATTCACGGAACAGGTGTACAGCTTGCCACCGACTTTCTCCGTCCAAGCAAGACCAGGAGGTAAAAAGAAACACAAGGCGGGAATCTTGATCGAAAATGGTGTATGTGTGTCAATCCTTCATATGATTCCACAGGGTATTAAAGCACTAATGTTGATTCTTTTTAAGATCGGCGCATGTGCATAGAACTTTGCATACCGACAAGGTCACTGAAACAGCAAATGCCCTCGTGGGATAGCTGCATTACCCCTTAAGAGGCCACGGTTCCTACCGGCTTTCGCTCTTCGTCCCACATCCCAGTGACTTGGCGTACTCGGTGGCCCGGAGCGGAGCACTGAAAACCGACCACGAGACGGTTAGGGGCATAACTAGAGCATCGGGGCACTGACACTGAAATTTTCTTGAGTTACCTGAAGGAGAATTACTCGCGGTCTGTATTTGTTCTCTTTCGATAGGGAATGGGAATTAACGGTCGTGATAGTTAAGAAATTCGAGTAGTCAGATCTGCTGCAGAAGACCGGTCTCTTGCAGATGGATGCCAGCGACGTTTGAAATCGGAGCACTGCTTAAGGTGGCCATTATTCTTCACAGGTAGGCGTTCACTAATCACTTTTCCTGGCTGCAGCATGCGGTTTTGACTGTTTTGCATCGGTCGAGACCACGAAAAGATGTGGTAAACAACCAACTGCATCAACTTGGACAGGGATCTCAATCCTACGTGGTAGTCGACCTACATGTCTGGCCTATAGTTCAAAGTCATATTGAAACAACATACGGCCAGTTGCACGTCTGAGTTCTTCTCTCCTCGTTGAATACTACGCTAGATGTCATGATTCTTCGCCCGGCTTAAGTTGTTCACCGCATTGATCATTCGTGACAGTACCGGTCTCGGAAGTCTCGACGCCCCTCGTACGTGTCGCCCCTGCTTACCTGCGGCCACAGCACCCTTATGAGGCCATATATACTGCAGGGGCTGGAGCAGAATCGCCCAAAATGCAATCGTCCATACGTAACGCAGCTTGCCGCCTCGTCCACTGGCAGAGGCCGCCGAAACCGGGCTCTGATTGTGCAGTTACATGGCAAACTGCAGGGAATTTGCGCATTTGCATCAATCAAGAAATGTTCGTTGTGCCACTCTTACATGTCATTCGAGTTTTTACATTAGGTCAGCCTCCAAGGCTAACTCTGAGAGAAGGCGCTATGTCTGATGCACAAGACTAGGTTTACCCCGCTTATATCTTCTCACTACACATACTTACCTAATGTATCTAACTAAAGCGTACTCCCTCATACTAATACAATCGTATCATCACTTTCAGAACAATATACTAGTATTTTATTTTCCCCATCCATCTCGGCGGTTTATGCCAATAGAATTTGAACAATGAACGCTACAGATGAGGGGTGAGGCAGATCGGAGATATGTGTCTGGGCCCCACCAACGGTGCAGCAACGATCCCGGGGGTGACATGAAAGTCTTGCTTTTCTCCTCTCCGGTCGTTCTAGACTGGAACACCAACAATGAGGTCATTGACACGAAATGAAGAATAAAAAGCTGCCCGCCTGACAGATTCGAGCTGGATGTTACAAGTCATATTTCCCCACCACAGGCTTACCGAAATCCGAGAACTAACCAATCAGAAGACAAAGCAACAATGCGGACGTATGCATCCAGGGGTCTGGCTGAAAAGCCAAGGTGCAGCGAGCATACTTTTCGCCTGCATTGTCCACCATCGGAGTTATGAAATTGGCCAGGAACCCGGTCTCTGGTATGCAGAGTAGCCCGGCACCCGTGACGGGAACTAATGCAGGCACTGGGGATCACATATCTGACCCGTTCGCAGACTCGAGCTCGACACCTGACCAGTCACTTTATGTAGAAGCGGCCGAATTATGAGATGTAGGACTCATGTTCAAAAAGATCTGATCATAAGTCGGTGCTCACGGCAGAGTGGGTAATTGCAAGGTGCTAATGACGGATGTTCGAGGCCCCTACGTTAGATGGGTATAAAACCAGCCATCTCTCCTTCATGGCGTTAAAATGGTCACTGAAGCAGCACTGAAGCAACATCGTACTTCAAATCCATCAAGGCTGGTAACCCCATGTTATATTCATCATTTCTTGTCTAGTCTCCGTCCCATTCGAATCATAGTCATGTCTCTTCCCTTGGTAAGTCGCTTCCTGGGTCACAAGTAAGCAAATGAGGGAAGAAAACACCTTGCTGATACGCATAAGCGCACCAATTCAGCCCGAGACTCTGGAGGCTCGCAGCGGCGTAGCAGGCGCCATCGACAGCGTGGTCGACGTAGCCGTAGCCCACGACCATATCCCCGGGTGGCATCAAGTACGGGACAGACAGACCAGAGGAATGGCCGAAGGTCTACGCCTGAAGACCCGGTTCCGGCCGGCGTTGAATCCCCCAACGGGGACGCACTTTTTATTGCGCAAGGCATGGATGAAATGGTAGTCTCAGAACCCCACCACGGAGCCAGGGGCGGCAGTCACCAGACTCCGGCTGCCTTTCAGTCGGCTGGGATGTTCACTGGGTCTGATGGCTGTCTTCATTCTCATGCCGCACAGCATAGTTCTGGTCAAGAGGAGGGGAGCCGACAGGGTGATGAAGACGGCGAACGTATGGAGTTGACTGAGGAGAACTTCTCATCCATTGACCACTGGACTAGTGCCAATGACGATGCTTGGAACCCTTTCCGAGGCACGGCCCAGCACTCGAGCTCAGGGTACCAACTGTTGATTATCGAGGAAGAGGAAGAGGAGGAGGAGGCGCACGAGGAAGAGGAAGAGAACGTTGAGAATAGTGCTGCCACTATTCACAACGCAAACTGATTTAGAGTATACCGATGGTCAGCTCAAGACAATATTTTATGACATTATACGACTGTTGATTCCAACGCCGGGTTGACAGAGTATGTTACCATTTTGGAATGAAAACTCTATGTTGTGATGCGCTGCTACTCTATATATAAGCACTATCAGTGCGACTCTACCAGAAAAGATCTGGCCCTATATAATGCCAGTTCAATAGTGTTGGCAAAGATCCCTACAGTTCTAATCTGCCCTTTTGCCTCGTATCCAGGGATGCACCAGAATTTCCATCGTAGGAAGTCGCTCTTTCGGGTCTATCTTCATGAGGACATGCAAAAAGTCCACAAACAGCTCTCTTGTTTCTTGCGGCAGATCTTCCATGTAGACATCTGAGATTAGGCCGGGACGACCCAGCGGCTCTGACCCTTTCACGGTGCCATCCTCATTGAAACACTCCTGTACGATCTCTTGATCACCTAGATCTAGAAGTGATTTCGGGAAGGGGCCGAAGAAGTCGACTATCTCCTCGAGATGGTTTGTCAGCTTGTATGGGCTGTTTTGATCTTCCTTGCCAGAAAACATCTGAACGGCACGGAAAACCTCAAGAATGACTGCCCCTAGGTTCCACCAATCGGTGGTCCAGTCCCAAGGGGCACCGATCAGCACCTCTGGAGCGCGAAGAGTAGTCGGCTGAATATACTCAGTGAGATGCTTTTCCGCCCAGCTAGAAACTCCGAAATCACCTAAGGTGAGATTGAAGTTAACCGGGGGATCGCCCATCGAGAAATAGTACTGTGCTAGGGATTGAGATTTCAATGGACTATAGAGCTCTGCTTTTCTGTCCTGCGTTGGTTCTGGGTAGTCACTGAGGTAGCTCTGAATCAATGAATGGTTCCTGTAGGTGATGAGTATGTTGTCTGGCTTGATATCTAGAGATAATCAGCCACGCCAGAAAACTATCATTTCGAGCATAGATTAAGTACCTGTATGAATGACGCCACAGTCATGGACATAATCAAGCGCCATCAGGAGCTGCGCGGTGAACTTCCTCATCAACACATTTGGCAGCATGTGCTTGGCGAACCACACCCTGAAACTGTCAAGAGTTTCTCCCATCAGCTCGAAGACGAGGCATACGTGATTTCCGTTGGGTCCTTTGTGCTCGAAATCATCAACTAGGTGGCAGATGTATTTGTAGCCCGCATGTGACTTATCCGTCTCGCGGAGGCGTATTAGGATTTCCCTCTCATGAATGGGGGTCTCCTCGTTATAGCACTCGGCACTTAGCACTTTCAATGCCCGGAACTCATGCTCACTCCCTTTCCTGACACAATAAGCGAATGAGTCTCGGCCATCTGGGTGGGTAAACTCCACTTACGGCTCAGTGAGGTCTCTGACAAGCCAAACAGTCGAGTACCGTCCGTACCCGATCTTTCGCAGAATGACGTAACGACAATTGTAGATTTCACCAATATAGACTGGGTGGAATCCTCCCTGTCTGTAAGCCGCTCTCCTCTCTTCGCAGTCTTGGTCTCCAGTAAAAGCTGTCAGGCTGAACGCTTCTGGGGGCGAATCGTCTTTCGCAAGCTGGTTCTCATCACCTTCTTTCAATGCCTGATTCGGCTCTTCAACCTGAGATGTCTCTCGCACATCTTCGACTCCAACCAAGGGAGTCTGGGAGCCTAGCATTCTGCTTGCTGCGCTGGGTTCACTGGGTCCAAAGACTAGATTGAGTGCAGCCAGGCTTTTGGGTGTTGGATTGTCAGGACTGGGCTGTGGTCTTGGCGGAGATCCAGCCACAAGCATAGCCTCAAAGTGCAAAGCCACAATTCTATACCACGTCGCACCATCCCGAGCTCAGTACATGTATGCCCCATTCGGCCTACTCTCAGGACTACTACATTACTAGAAGTAATTGTCCGCGCTATGTTACACCTCTGCATAAGACCGAACCAGCCCCAACTGGGCGTAAAACATTCTCTTGAACGGCCAAGCCGTCGCTGAGACACTAAGTAAGGTACTATTTGCACCATGCCTCATCTCGCAGATATCAGCTATTCGCAGGAAACCACCATCGCTGCTGTGCACTACTACTATCAGTTCCTTACAAAGCCCTACCTGCCACCGTCCAGCATTATCGAGCCCCCAGAGGGCAGCTGGCCTCAGATCACCAAGGAAAGCATAGGCCACCTCGGCAAAACCGACGAGGTCATCGAGCTGCTCCGTCACCTGCCCTACATCCGCGATGATGGGGAAAATGAGACACCCGAAGTAGCGCCGGGCACCCGCTTCGTCGACTGGGCACGCTTTGCGACAAGAAATTGGGACCGAGAGGGCGTCCTCCTGGCTACGGACGGCGACGAGTGGGAGCATATGCCACCGCACGTCGTTGGCCTGGCCATGGAGACACGCTGGTCGTTCAACTTCCACCTGGACACGAAGCTCGGCGTCATCTACTGGGTCAAGTGCCCGCATGCCATCAAATGCGCGCCGTCGATGGAGCCGGTCCTGGACGACGCCGGGGACTACGCGCCCGAGGAGGAGCGTGGATAGCGAGCTGACGGGCCAGCCTGGGCGGTGCCCGACCTGTTCAAGCAGCTCAAGGGAGAGTTTCTGCACCTTAAATTCGTGCCTACTGGTCCGAGGGAGGTGACAGATGACTACTCAAACCACTCCGGCGAGACCGGTGATGGTTCGACAGAGACTATGCGCAAGGTGCACCGCGATCATGGGTGGCCGCACCTCGACAGGTACAGGAAGGAGGACTGCTTGAAAGCCTTGCGGAAAACTCTCAGAGAAACATACCCCGATCCTCTGAAGGATGAAGACGACTCCTCTGACGATGGGTGAGAAATTGACTTTGATGAGGCACTGCACTGTCGGGTATTGTCCCTAGGGAGACTAGACTACGTAACACCTCTACATCCGTTCCCTCGGCTCCTGTCATTTAGTCCGTCTCGTTCAATGTAGTGGTGTGCATTGGAATCAATTCGCCCTGCCGACATAACAAAGCAACCTTGTGCCGTTAGGGCGTTGATTTCTTGTGAATTGTGATGTATTAGGCTATCTATCACGTAAACCATTAGCGACTCCATTGACCTTCACAGACTGCCCAACTCAACCAGACAAATGCTGCCATTTAGGCTAGGGAATTATCCAAACAAGTCGACTACAAATTAGAGACATCAACTTTAATGAGGAAGAGGACGGAGAGTATTCTTGATATCGTGAGGCGGCTGGTGACTGCAAGTGCCCATCGCAGGTAGAGTCTAATTATGATTGGACAGTTTCAACCCTAGGTCCGCATCCCATGGGACAAGAAATTTCAATATCAATAAGGCTTGTGGCTTGTCCTCTCGGCGGAGTATTTGAGCTACAATATTAGATATGTATGCACAGCCCGCTGGGCTCGGGGGCTAGAGTGCAGCAGCGGAGCGAATCCTACTTATTGCTGAGGCTGATATATGGCACGGATATAGGGCCCAAACTAGCCGGGAAGGGGGGTTGAATGCTGGAGGTGCAATAGCGTGTTCTCGACTGCAGCTGGATGATCTCTCAAACTAGCCAAAGCGTCCAATACTGCCCGTTCCCGATCTTTCGCAAAATGATCTATATTCCATTGTAATTGTCTCCGATGTAAACAAGATCAACCCCTCCCCCAACCCGGGGGGCCTGCACGCGGCTCGTCTCTCATCGCAGTAATGTTCTGTGGAGAAGAGTCCTATGTCGCACAGTTCGGTAAGCTTCGTACTCTCCTCCCCATCCACCCGCTCCACACTACTACTATAAGCAACTCCTTGAGCCTTATTTATATGATAAAACTATCCACAACCTTGAGAACAAAACAGTAAGAGCCAAACTTGAGTCTTCTTAGTGGACACGTCGACAGGTATCACGCCGTACGTCAAGGTAAGCAGCGACTTCGCATTATGGCGAGGCAGCCGGCTCAGATTCACCTTCTTAAATTCGCCTTCTCTAAAAGATGAACAACAAAAGTAGGACAGAGGGATGAAGATTCGCGCCTAAATCATTGATTTAGAAACCTATAAGTCAAACAAACTTGTAAAGCATAAATTACTATAACTACACATTCAAAGAGAGTCCACCAATAAGCTATTCATTTGTTTCCGTGCACACTTTCAATTTTGCTACTCTTCTACCACACGCAAGGTCCGGCAACGATTACAAAAATTTCGATACTCGAACCTTACACAGGGGCTAGAAGCAAATCTTGAAAATCGTAAGCCCGGATGGTTTGCAAGGGTCGCTAAACTGAGGGAAACGGTCTGGAACAGGAGTTTCTCTTGGGACTTGGTATATTGTTAGCACTCCTCTTCATAAGCGATTTTATTTAGATGAGCTATACTCACGCCATTCGCAGCGTCTTTGTTCTTTATCTAAGATGGATTCACAGCACACTGCACAACCTTTCGGCTCCGGTGTCGGTGTAGGAGTAGGCTTTGGCTTCCGTGTTTTTCTCTTTTTAGTATTGGTGGTGGCGATGGATCTAGAGGTCGTCCTAGTCGGCTCTATTGTGGACGAGGGGATGCTGGTAGCTACGTCCGTGTTGGTGCTAGCGCTAACATCTACACTGGTTGCGGTGGGGAAGAGTGTGAACGTGCTGGGATTCCATTGGTCATCCGGTGTAGTATTGGAAGTCCACACGATATCTGGAATACTGGTGGATAGTCCAGATGTGGTCGGAGACACTGGACTGGTTAGAATCGGAGTACTGGTCGCCGTGGATGGGTTCATAATAGTCTCAGCAGTGGTCTCAATGCTGATGCTATCAGAACTAGGAAGGTCTTGTGCTACTGCAAGTGTAGCAAGAACACTATAGCATAGAACCTTGATCTGCATATTGAATTTTTGATGAGTAGATGTGAATAAATTATTAAGAATAGAGTCTACGGCAGAGAACGAAAACGTCTGCAGACTTATTAGAGCATCGGACGCGTTGTCGATGGGTGTTGGGATCGATATCAGTGTCCTGGCGGCGGGCTCTGATGTTATATACTCTAGGGCCACAAGTGCGAGGTACTACTAGCGTTTACAAATGGCGGACTTTCATGTGACTGCAGCAACAGGTATTTCTGTATTTCAGCGATTATTCCACGTGATCATCAGCTTAGCTTGCAGCCTGTCTTACAAACCGCCCGGTCAGCCCTCGCTAAATATGGCAATGTGACCTCCACGGGCTGAATATCGAACGTAAAGACTCAACGCCGACTGTCTCAGCCATGCCCAGACGCTCTTACGGCCAGGCTGGCCAAGGCTGGCGAACAATGAAGAATTATGTGGTAGACCCATGTTCAAGGTTAACTATACAGTATTTGGCGGTCTTCTTAAGATATTCAGGATATCACCAACACGAAGTTGTTTAAATTCATGTGTCAACTGATCACAGGTTTGGTACACCAGCTTTGAATGCTGCTCCCTGGTGGTTATTAAAAGTTATAGTAAGATTGTACGGGTAGCGAGTTGAAATGAGTTCTGAAACCCTAGAACCCCAAAAGTAAGAACCTGGTTGCGGCTGAATATGCATGACCTAGACTTGCAGTACTAGCGGATGCGTCAAGCAATACCGATTGTGAAGTCTCTAATGAAAGCAGAAGAACATTCTCGAACAACAAATTGACGCATATCACTTTCTCATCCACCAGGCTGGGTCTGTTTACCAGTGGCATAATGCGAAAGATTTAGCGTGGACCACTCTCGATGGACTTGCGATTAGACGTACTACAGCAATAGAAATTTAGGTGAGAACCACGGGGCTATTTATTAGTATAACTCTAGAATGGCAGGTGCAGTACTAGGTATGAGTTAACCAGCGCCACAATTAATGTCTTGTGAACCGAGAGGTCTCTAATGAATTATCGAGGCTGGTAGTGTTCGGAAGACGGCACATCTACAGACAAGACCTAGAGTGGCGTGATTTATCTCCAAAACCTGCCTATTAGGCATAGGCCGTCCAAAATTGAAGTTTGCAGAAGCCGGAAATGGGGACACGGATGTTGAGTGTAAGATGGGACGACCTTGGACGGTGATGTTGGCGTGCACCTGGCCTAGCCAGGGTCGATGGCAAGCTGTGGCTGCGCGACGCGGGTCGCTGTGACCAGTAGATACCCACCACCCACCTACGCAACTACGCGCCCGCAACTGCAAATAGTACTACATTTTTGCATTTTACAATACACTTAGGGTTTGCTGTGGACCTGGTCTATTAGCAGACGTGGCCGTGACAGAGTTTGCAGTCGTTGCATGTTCGATACGGTTTTTGGGAGGTGAGGGATTGGAGGGGAAATGATCAGTCTTTCATTCAAATGCTAGAACAGCAAGTTGTCACCTAACACCTAACACCTAATTCCTTAGCCTTGGAGACACAATTTCAGTGCATGGCAGCTGAATTCCTTCGAGTTTAGTCTGCTTGCCTCACTTCTTGCTTTACTGCTTGTCGCCCTTGACGTTCTTCTCGAAGGGGCCGTCGTTCCAGTCGATGTTCTGGTGGTCTGCCTGGGTCCACTTGGCTTCAGGCCTACACTCGGCCTCAAAATCCAAGTCGCCCCTGGTATGATGCACAATCAAATCGTGACCAACCATGTCCTTTGGAATGACCAGTTGGAGATAAGATTTGCCCTTGACCTTGGATAGCCGCAAGACTTGCTTGGCCTTCCAGTCATCCTCAAGATCCTTGATGGCCTTTGCTACAGCGTCTTCGTTCCACTCCACGTCTTGCTTGATCCATGCCTTCTTGGCCTTCTCGACCTTATCTTTGTCCGCCGTGACACGGCAGAATCTGTAAACAAGGTTAGATTTCGGAACATGGGCGACGCCGAGTGATTCAACTCACTCATCATCCAAATGTGACGGCGGCCATTGCCCCAGTTCAGATGTCAGATAGACACCTTCGCCATTCTGTTTTCCCCCGCTAGAGAGCTTTGAATCGTATACGATAGTCTTAGCCTTCCTGATACTGTCTGCCTCGGCCTATATTCGTTGTTCGTTCCCATGTCAGCTATCCACTGCCAGCAAAATATACTTCGAAGAGTAGCTAACCTTGGAGACGGTCCTATAGCCAATGACGATTCTGTCACCGCGCGGCTGCAAATCAAGTGGGCTTGCGAGCGAGGTGCTCACCATCGCCAACGCGATGACCTTAGAAAGCGTGCTTGAGAAGATCATTGTGAAATGTTGTCAAAATGAAGAACTTGGGAAGAAATCGATGAGAACAGACTTGTTGAGACTGGTGGTTGTTGTATTGGCCCATCTGGTACGCATCTCCTTCCCCTTTATACCCACGAGACAGGAAGCATGCAGGCTCCAACGTGCATTATGGACTATACCATGATGCTTGTACCGAAATAGCACACGGGAGGCAACGACTGACGTATGGTTGAATCCGTGAGTCGTACGTGAGATACAGAAGCAGGAATTGCTGTTCAAAGGATTCCAACAAGAACAGCAAAATGCATGACTACGATGATCCTGTCCACACTACTAGCCCTATACCCTGATCAAACTCAAAGGGTTCCCATTGAAATGTGCTACCGCTGGCTTACGGAAATATCCGCGGCAACGTGCCTGGGCGATCAACAGACCCATACGTAACCGCAGTCCTCTGTCCTGCCACCGCATGGCCCAAAAGTAGTATGAGATCATTGAGTTTAGACGAATGAGGTGGCACCCTTTGGACAACGCTTGTTGAGTCCATGTTTACTGTATGCAGGCGTCGGAAATGGCCCAGAGGATTTGACGGTGGGAAGCTGGGCTAGACTATGCCATAGTATATATGCCGAAATAGATGATTTGGGGTGATTTCAGAACGATTGGCGCAATTTGGATTGTGTGGATCTGATGTCAGATACAGAAGGGGAAATTGATCTTTCAAACCAGTTTGAAAGGAGAACGGGAAGTTGCACTACAACCACGTCCACGCTGCCAGCCCTACGGCGCTGTACCTGCATTCGGGATCGTTCAGAGGCGGAGAGGCTGAGCGGCTGAGTGGCTGACTCCTGAGGCAGTGGGATGATCTGACAGGACGGGGCTCGCAAATCCTCCCTCTGAGACTTCCGAGATAAATGACGTCAATCCCCACAATGACCTCGTCATATTCATTGGATTTGGTCCTAAATCATGGCATTATATGCTCCAAGGCATGGTGCGCGGCCAGTGCCGAATGCATAATACCTCGACTCCCGGCCGTCGTGCTTCTGGCCCTACCGCGGGGACAACCCGATTTTGAACCGCGAATAACCATGACCATGCCGGACACAGCCAAAGACACGGTGCTTTCACTACTTTGTGGTCCTGACCTGTGGCACTGGGACCCAAGAGGTTCGTGTTCAATCAGCTTTCACAAGAACGGGACCGGCCTGGTAAGACTGCCCAGCCTGTTGCAGGCTTTTCTTCTCGCACGACGCTCTATTCTGACCATATATCAGCTGCGCGCAGGGGCAGAAATATCTGACTTCATTGCTGCGGGATTCGATTGGGTGCTCAAGCGCCCAGAGTCGCTGAATCATATTGTCGATCTCAACCAAATAGACGAGCGCAGGGGAACTTTGTTGAGTCAATTTGAGGTTGAGCTCACCCTTACGACCCGAGTTCATCCGCGCTTGCAGGAGACTCGCCACCTATGCACCCTTCTGAACGAGCAGGCTCTTACCGATGGTGCATTCCTCCCCAAGTTCTATACTATTCGCTTAGAGTACGGGCGCTTCGACGATCCCTCGACTTCTTGGATGCATGATCCTCCGGCACTGTATAGGCCGCCCAAGTATGCGCTTCGTCTTTTGTTTGACAAGTCGCCCTTTCCGGAACGAGAAGAGTGGAATGCTGAAGCTAGGTTTCCCGCGGAGCAGTGTAGATTCTGGGACATGAGGGAGTTTGCACAGAGGGAAGTGCCCAAAGACGGTTGGCCGACAACCTTGATCAAAAAGTTAGGCATGAAGCAATAGTTATTAGACTCCTAAATATGGATATTTGTCATGAAGTGCCCTACGAGCTTACCAGCCGTGACCATAGCCCGGGTCACTCCTAGACGGCAGGCAAGATACCAAGAGCTAATTTTGGCCACGTCGGCGACCGAGGACTGTGTCGTTCTAATTACGTTCGCGGTCAAGCTTGCACCAGTATGTCCACTAATTCTCACCAGGCCGAGGTGATGGATGGTCAGTGTTACAAACTGGTGACGCAACATGGTCGTGGTAGAGACAGGACGTCAAAACATTGCCCACGTTCGAACTCCTTCGCCTCCTCCTTTGTTATGCCGTCACGACGCGTAGGCTATCTTCTAAAGATTACGTCACCAATATCCCAGAAACCAAGCTTCTGATATAGTTTACGTGATTCGAGCGTACGTGTTTCAAGTAGTCTTTCATTATTATATTTCCTGCGCAGAGCATACTTAAAAACCTCGCCATGTTGTTGTGATGATAACCCGGTATCGAGTACAGCCCGATGGCGTGCCAGTACACTGCGCGTTGTCATCCTTAATTGATGTCTTGTGGACTCAGGCTTCTACGACGCCAGGGTATTCGACAAGCAGGCGCTGGTATCTGTAAGAATCCAATCTGCACGCAGATACCGACCCTTACATCACGCGATCCCTAGCTTCTACAGTGCTGATCACAGCCTCGGTTGCCAACCCAAAAAAAAAAAAAAAAAAAAACCCTACCTATGGTTTCGAGCCAGGTGACAAGAACTCCACGGAAATTGCGGGGAGAAAGCCCTGCGTTCTGTTTGTTGCAATTACGCCGTGGTAGGGTAGCAGGTACAAATATTAGTCTAAAGCCGATACTAAGCAACCTTCCTCGGAGATAAAGGAATAGACCATGCTATCCTTGTACCGAATACCTCGGTTGTTGATCAATTCCAACACTACTTCCTCCAGATCATAGAAGACGCATGCATACAGCGGGTCATCACGAATGACACTACTAGTATTTGGGCAACTTTGGGTCTTCGATCTGGGTTGAATTGGTAAGTGAGAGTGGGGTATAGTGGGGGTTTGATAGCGTGCCAAGGGAACTTTGGCCACTGGACCCTTTGAATCGGTCAATCCTCGCACTAAATCTGTAGGCTGGAACTAAATATCCTGAGACAGGTTTGACTCGACCTTGAAGATATATCGATTTGACGATGGTCAAGGTAGAAAACACCAACGCGAATAGTGGATATCAAGGTCATGAAATCTTCGAGCCATCATCCACAGAAAGCACAGCCTGCTGAAATTAATGCCCCGCCTCTCACCCGCTATATGCACGTGCCTCTTCTCTGATGGGGTGATAACCCATGCACTCAAGCGAAGAGCCCAAATTAAAAAGTGCGCAAGCATCACATTTCTGGTTGTAATTTTCAAGTTTGCACTTGCACATTGTCTTTCACGTGGCCTTGTTAACGTACAAGGATTGCCTACGTTCCATTCAGTATTCCAGAACGTGGGACATGCAGCATGGATAATCCACTGGCTTACAGGCAAGCTACGGAGATTACATGTCACGCCATGCTTATGTCATGTACCATCAAACCCAGACGTCAGGTTAGCGGTAGCATCAGGGCGCTTAAGTGTTCATGGGTATTCAAACTGCTACTATAGCTCTCCACTACACTTAAGGTGCTCTAAGACGTCCATATCGATCTCGAATGATTTTACACTCTACAAACTCACGATAATATACTTTGTTCGCATTCAATTACAGTGCTCGATATCTTCGCAGTTGTTAAGGTAGCCTAAGACGTGTTCTTGGAATGAAATGCAAGGTGGGGGCGAAGCTGCAGGGTATCAAGTGCAGGCAGCGGTAATACGAGTCGAAGACTCCACAGCGCCAGAATGATTGAATCCATTTCAATTCGGTCAGCGGCACAGGTCTAGGATCAAGTACACCGTTCGGGGTTCCTGGGAAGCCCATTTGAGCAGGGCTGATCAGGCTTAGCAACAAGTGCTTTTGTGTCTGCCAATCCGCTTAGATACTTGTTAGAAAATAATTGAGGGTCTCTCTTGAACAGCATTTTGCATGTTGGATGCTCTTTTCTCCCGACTCAGGAAAGTGTTGATAGATCAGGATGAGGCGTTCGCGCTCCTTTATCAAGGCTTGGCCTGTTCTTTCGAAACGAGACAAAGTTATCATTGGTTGTATACTCGTGATAATATTGATTATCCTCTTGAATACGTCGCTCCTCATCTGGGTACTGATCCGGGACAATGGCTTCAAAGCTCTCGGGGATCTTTACACTCGCGACTGCGATCAAATGAAGACCATCGACACGGTTGTGCATTTGATTATCAACATATGTTCTTCGGTGGCTATAGCCGCCAGCAACTACTGTGCACAGTTGCTCGTCGCTCCAACTCGCGCCGAAGTGACTCAGGCGCACGAGAGAGGTGACTGGTTAGAAATTGGAGCACCCAGCTTCCGTAATCTTCTCGGCCGCCGGATTAACGGAAAACGCAAGCTCACCTGGAGCGCTTTGATGCTGAGCTCTATACCATTGCATCTATTGTAGGCCCGCAGGAGCAATTCTTATGGACATGACTGACTTTTTCCAGCTGGAACAGTGTTTTGTTCTCTACAATTCCAGTCACGGATTACGAGATTGCACTCGTCTCAAGCGACTTTCGAACGGACCTTCAGCCGTGGAATGAGACGTGGATCACACGTGGACAGCACCGTAGTACATACGATCAAGCTGTCGGGGAAGCTGGCAATACCCAGCTACTCAGGAGAATGCTTCTCGGAAATCGCTTCGAGCATCTGAGTAAGCAGGAGTGCATAGAACGGTACATCAGTCTGGACGTCCGTCACAAGGATGTCGTGTTGGTGGCGTCCAATGCCTCCATGAGCGATGGTCTGTCTTTGGTACCAACTAACAAGAACTCGTCCCTCCTTTACCTCAGCAGCAGTCTTCTAGTACAGTCTAAGTGGATGTGGGCTACAGGTTGGCTGTGCTCTGGTGGGGACGATACTACTTCACTGGTCCCTGAAAAGCGCCAGTCATGGTGTTCACGAGAACACTTACTGCCCCAAGCTGAAACTTGGACTGTAAAGAACTATCGGACTTTACCTGATGGCAAGATCATTCGAGACGTTGCGGTTCAGGTTGACTATTGTCTCTCTGCCGGAGCCGAAGAAACACAAGCGGGGTGTGCCATCCGCTACAGTTCCGTGATGCTTCTAGCTGTCATAGCCTGCAACTGCATCAAATTGGCCTGTATGTGGCTCATTTGGAAATTGAATTCTGGGAGGGGGCAAGGCATATACGAACCACTCGTCACGCAGGGTGACGCTATCGCAAGTTTCCTATCATCTCAAGACAAGACTACCAAGGAAATGCCTCTTGTGGAAGCGTCAGATCTCACAAATAGGGCGCTATCTTCCTCCATGGCGGCCGATGAAAGGAACATGGGTATGGTGTCGACAAGTTCCCGGCTCCGACACCCTGTACGATGGTTCCGTAGCATATCAGTCACACACTGGATTGCTATATTTGTCTCGTAAGTGAATTCGAAATTCGATTAAAGGGCGAAGGAAACTGAATACTCATATGGTTGCAGATATCTACTGATACTGGTACTTCTGTCTATCTCCCTCGCCTTGGCGCTGCGACAACTAGTGGTCTACGACCAGTCGGTCGACCTTGGATCTCTTTGGCGAATGGGGATAGGAGAGGTTCAGCCATACTCAATAAGCCTCACAGAAGCGTGGGGCGCAATGAGTGAGAAAGCCTTTTATGGCACGGCGCTTTTGGCCAATGGCTCTCAACTCTTGCTGAGCTTCGGCTGGTATTTCGCCAACTCTCTACTGACTAGAATCGTCATCAACCGTCATTGGTCACAATTTATTACAAAGCGTAGGGCGCTCCGCGTGTCTACACCGGCCGGTGGCCAAAGATCAACTTATTTCTTGTCCTTGCCATATCGTTATAGCGTGCCTCTCCTGATGGCCTCGGCGATTGTGCACTGGCTTCTTTCACGGAGCTTGTTTGTTGTTCAGACTACGGGGTTTTCCTATCGACTAGGGCAGAATGCGGACAACGGTTTTGTGCGAGCGAACCAATTTGACGGGTCTGTTGTAGGCTATTCGGGGATAGCGATGGTACTAAGTGTGGCAACACTAAGTGCTCTTCTCATTGGGTTGCTTGCCTTATCAACGAGGAAGCTTCCTTGTCGGGAGGCTAGCACTGAGGACGAAGTCATTCGCATGCCTCTTGCCGGAACGTGTAGTATGGCAATCAGCTCAGCATGCCATCCTAGCGATGTTGAAACAGATGTACATCTACTTCCTCTCCAATGGGGCAAGAATGAACTCGACAGGTGGAGTTTCACCAGTCAGAACCGTCTGTCGTACCAAGTCGAGGCTGGGCTCAATAGAGAACGATCACAGGAGGCTCTCATTCCTAGGTGGCTATTTCAACAGTGAAGGCGTAGATAAATCTTGCCCGACTACACCTGCACGACCGTATCTTCTGATTATTCCGGTCAAGTAGACCTTTCAAGTATTAGAAGCATTTGCGGGTCGGTGCCCCGCTAATCGTCCGCAAACTGGACTTTATAAAGTAACTTGCAAAATACAAGACCACGCGAGCCTCGGAGAAGGTTTTACAGCAGCGCGATATGCGGTTTGCAAGGCGGTGGATCCGGTGATATATGGTATATAGCCGCGACGTTTCTCGAACATACAAGCACTTGATATTTACATGCCTGAATAACATATAACTAGTGCTGAATTTAATACTAAAAGGGGCAAATACTTATATGAGCTCAACTAATTTATAGTGCATCACTTTTAACATATGATTATCACGGCAGCTGGTTTTAGGTGTCTTATGGCCCTCCCGGCTCCGTACCGCCCACACATTTCACTGTTTTCCCAGTCTGCTGCCTCTATGGGAGAAGAGGCAAGACTCAATCTTGTAACATACCACTCCATACAGTTTAAAACACCAATCGTAGTTGACCTTCGAGCCCAATGTGACATCAACAGAATAAGACTGTTATTTAAGTAAGATTCACGTGGCTAGAGGTGTGGTTCGGGTCTAGGGAGACGTGCAGTGGCTTCAGGAGCAGCATTATCCTGCAGAACTACATTAACGCCTAGATAGTCTTGGCTTTTGCGATATTCCATAAAAGATAGGCAGCATCTCCTCCCATGCCTGTCCCAGAGAGCATGATTACGAGACTTGGCTATCAGTATCCATGTCACCCAGGAATGACATTAAATCGCCCATCTCTGTCAAATTCAATTTCTATGGACAGGTACTCAATAAATACCTTTTGCATTTCAATTAGCTCCAACGATGAATTATGGTCCAATAAGCTGCTCAGGTTTGCAGGTGGCAGGTGTACATTCGGTGAGTTGGGATGGGTAGCTTGTCATAGACTGCTCTTTTACAGAAGCAGATGCTTTTGCGCCTCTAATGTTCTCTATAACTTCATACAAAAGTCTGCAATTAGTTTCGATATATTGCAATAGTCGAGGTCGGTCTTGTTATATCGCCAGCTGTGATATGCAACCGAGGCTTCCACAGCGAATTCCTGGAGTTTGATTCACTATAGAATCTTCGATGACTGGCTATAATATGGTGTATCGATTGACGCACACGACAGGTACTTCATATACATATACCGTTCAAGTGAGATAGAATCTGTATGTGCTGTTAATGTCTCGGAATTGCGCGATGACCTTTGATTTTACCTTTTCAATGTATCGGACACCAACCAACACTCCGTCGTCGTCCATGAAGTCGCTCTCGTTACCGAAGCCGATGTTGTCGGGATCCAAGCATGTCAGACACGTCTCGACAATAGCCGCATATTTCCTGCCCATGCACCGCGGCAATTCGTCGCGTGAAAGGCGGAGTAGAGCATTCGTAAAATCCAAATGATTTATTGGATGATCGTGCTGCTGTAACCCCAAGACCGGGGCTGGACTCACTTTTTCGGTCTCTTTGTCATATAATACGAAAGAGTCCCAGAGCCCAACCTCGAGAAGACATACGCCAAGGCTGTAGATATCATGCTGCATGATGTATTCGCTGTCCGGAGTGGGTCCTTGGCGCGATGGATGCCGATACATGTTTTTCTCCCAGTCATCGTCGCTTATTCGGTAGGTTCTCCCTTCCTCTTTGCGAAAGTTCTCGAAGCCTAACAAGTACACGGCTGGTGATGAAGATGTTTGCGTACCGACATAGGAAATCAAGGTCTCTGGACGAATGTTCTTGTGAACAAAGCCAAATGTGTGCACGTAGCTGATGGCCGTCGCCATCTGACGGGCAATGTCGAATTTGTCGGATAGAGCGACTCGACTGTTACCCGACAAGAGTAAATGTCTCAGACTCCTTGGATTTGAAAGATTATTAGGAGCACGAAACACCATGGTGAAAGACACACGCGGTTGTGCATCAGTCTCTGTAGACTCAAGCTGCTCGACAACCCCCTTGCATGAGAGAAGTCCAAACGTTCCAGGGTCATCATGCTGTAGCTTTCGGGCCAGATCGCGCATGTCCCGTTTGACCAGCTGACGATTTGCGATAGGTGGACATTCCATAGAAGCGAGTAGAAAGTTTTGAGGACCTTTACGTGTGCTGTTTCGTGTGGCTGCCTTTGCCTCGCAGAACAAAATGCGCTGCACAGTCATTTTCTCTAGTTCATGGGCAGGGAGAAAGATTCCCGGAACCTCAGTGCCATTATCGGTTCGGAGACACGCGCGAATAGTTTTGGTGGACGGGAAAAATGCAGCCGTAGTAGCATCACCGGCTTTGAGCACCTGATCGACCTGAGAGTTCGCTATTTTGAGAATGAGATACCAAGAGGGATCGGCAGTCCGCTGCCACAACTCCAACTCCTCGATGGCTTCGTCGATACTCTCTTTGAACACCGCGTACTTCCATCTCTTCGCTTTTACTTTTGAGCTGATATACCCTGCAGTAGACTCCTCGCCGTCATCATCCGGCAATTTGACAACTCGCTCAATTTTTGTCGTAACGATGCTCAGCTTGCTTTGCAACATTTCGACAATCTTCTCATTTAGCTGGCGATGATAGCCAGCCATCAGAGACGGAACACGTCGCATGAAGTCTAGCTGCAGCTCCGTCTTGAACCAGCCAGCCTCCAATCGCAAGATGCGCTCAGTAATCTCATTATCCGCCCCCTTAAAAGCGGCGCATAGTTTGATGAGCTTGCCTCCATACCTGAGTGACGAGTCACGGTCAGCGTATGCAGTTATCGAAGCCTCAAAGGAGAACCTCACTTGATACAGAGGTCCACTGCGCCGATAATAGCGAGCGGCAGTTCGGCTCCCGACATGTTGTCGTATAGTAAGCACGCAATTACAATGCTGCAGACACTGCTGGATGCTTGCCTCACAGCAAGACAGTATGTCGACCTCTTTGCAGTCGTGTAGAGACAGGCTTCTGTTGTTTCCTGCTATTCTTGGACACACGTTTTCTAGCATATTCTTCTGCCTATCTTCAAGGCTGTGAGGCGAGGCTATGAGGCGTCTCATGGCCCGAAGGGCCCACATTACCCCGCTGCTGCTGTAAGATCGCCATGATGGAAATCCATGTTGGGGGCTGAAGTCAGCCGCAGTGGGTGGTGCAAAGCCAGCGGCGCAGCCACATGGCCACAGGGCAGTGCTTGCATTATGCATCTGCAAAGAGTGAATTTTACAGATAGTGAGGTGAGCTCTTATTTGATTGAATTTGTGCACTTTGCGAACGTCAGCTCCGCCTGTCCTGGCTGTGGTCCTAGACTCGAGGTGTATATGTTTCAGCAGCCGGTTCAATGGCACTGAGGCTGCCGGAGCTGGTCCGGGACTCGCGCCTCGAAACTATCTTCAATGCCGACAGTACCGTCCACATCTATCACGACCGGCCAGGGCGCCGGGCTACACCTAGGCGAGAGGCCTGGAAGAAGAAGCACATCCTTGGGAGCGGCGGCAATGGCGTGGTCTGGCTTGAGGAACAGCTTATGGAAAATCTCGGCGAGGCTTCTTCTGCCGCGTACAGAGCCGTAAAGCAAATCACCTCGACCGAATCAAAGTCAATTTTAGACCTTTGCAAGTATGAATTAGAGGCGTTGGCCAAATTCTCGACCAGGAAATACGCTCGCTGTTTCGTCCGGTCATTCGGGTGGTATCAAGGCACCAACTCCCTGTCGATTACTATGGAATACTGCCCGAACGGTGATCTCCAGAATTACTTGACCAAACATTTCAGACTGCCAGAGTCTGACACCCAGGAGATCGTCTCACAGGTGGTGGAAGGGTTGTGCTTTATGCACGAGGAAGGATTCGCACATCGCGATCTCAAGCCAGGGGTATGCAAAACCTTAAGGCGACATGCAAGTCAGATGCAATATTAACCAAATGGTAGAACATCCTTATCAAGTCATTTCCACCAACAGATCACTGGTGGGTCAAAATATGCGACATGGGCCTGAGCAAGCGTATCGAAGGGGTGATTGGGAGCTCAACCACAGTCAAAGGAACTCCAGGGTTCCTCGCCCCTGAACTGCTTGGATTTGGCGACTCTGACCCAAAGAAGGCAGACCCATACGCGGTTGATATATGGTGCCTTGGTGAGATGACCTATCGAATGCTCTGTGGGAAGGGTACATTCGCGTCATACGGCCAAGTGCGGGAGTATCAACTTGCGACCAGGCCGTTTCCTGTGGAACAGCTGTACCAAATTGAAGCAAGTAAAGCTTCCATATCATTCACCACAAGCGCCATGAAAGCTGAGCCACGGTCGAGATTTGACGCACATCAGGCATTCAATCATGACTGGCTGAAGATGAAGTTTGATGAACCTCAACCGTCTGATCAGCGCACAACAAGGTACATCACCCATTTCATGTCAAGTCTCTTATGTGTAGCTAATTATTGAAAGACCTCCTGCGCCATTGCCTTCGTTCAATATTACCGACCAGCCTCGGTATCGCGACGAAGAACCATCAGGAAGCTGGAGCACTATCGCCGATCCTATGAACAGATCGACGATCCCTCTCCGACCGTATAGCGCGGAGCGTGCAGCTCAGGAATCTGAACGGCCATCTTATAACAAAGGTTATGCACCTCCAAGCCCACTCTCAAGAGAAGAACGTCTCGTTTATGAGCGGACACTCAAGCCATCGCCAACACCTGATTACCATCGGATCCCCACAGCACGTGCACGGAGCTCATCTGGAAGTAGCATGAACCAGAACGAAAGGCGGCATCACAGGCAGGACGAGCCAAGGAGGCGTAGTGGGACTTACGAGCCGAAGACGCCTAGTAGTGATTCAAACGGGATGCAGAAAGCTGCTACAGCGTCCATTATCGCGGGAGCAGCCGAAGCATTCCGGGTGCATAAAGAACCTGGGTCATCGTCCGGAGACAAGATGCGTCGCATCCTCGCTGCAGCGGCAGCTGCAGCGACCATTGATGCCGCGACCTCCCATGATGAGAATCGTCGCCGCAATCGTGATTACGATCATAGGCAAAATGGCGAAAGCGACAGGAGAAGCTCTGACCCCGCCACCGCTGTCATCGGAGGTCTAGCAACAAACCGCATGGCTACTGGGCCTGCAAGCAACGATGACGATAACCTTACAGAGGCAAGGAGAGGAACAGTGGAACCAATCACCTCGGCCGGAGTGCCGACGTCCCCAGCCATGGAAAAGCTCGATGCGGTAGAAAGCTATTGGAACACCACTTTGTTAAATCGATGCCTTGCGTTCTCAGCGTCACCTCCCAGGAACATGCGGGAGCGTCACAAGGAATATTTGAAGCTGAACGCGTGGGCGGATAACGAAATTTTCTTCAAGCTGGATGAAATTGTCTCTGAAGGTGACGAGATGGAAGCACAGGTTAGAGCGAAAAGGAAAGTGTTACTTGTCCAGGTGCAGTCCGTGCTCGCCAGTCTCAACTCGCTAGTAGACCCATACGAACAACAGGCTCAATTGCGGAACCATATCAATCGAAACGACCGTCTTTCCACAGACGGACCCCAAGAGCTCAGGATGCCTGATGCGTCTACACCATCTTCCAACCGGCCATACAGCGGACGCGATGTAAGGCCTGAGGAAGATAGCCGGCGTGACAAAGGATCCCGTCCACGACCACACAGAGAATACCCGTCATCGACCGAACCAGGATTTGATGAACAGGGAGATCCGCATGGCAGAACGTTCAAATTTTCGAAAAGTGGAGGTGAAGGCGAAGCTTTCAACTTCTCGAATCCAGATGATATTTTTGCCGAGTTCTTCAGATCAGGAGCAGCGGATTCTCCGATCCGAGATACATCTTCACAGTCTAAGCCCAAACCCCGTAGTGGGCGTGATGGAGGAGCTCGTTCACCAAGATCCGGCCAACTTCCCCCCTCCGCCAAGCCAGGATCTTCTAGGCAGCGAGATCCAAAACCTCATGAAGGGGGTTTCAAGTCCCAATATGCAGAAGACATATTTGCTAAGTTCATGAGGTCAGGGTCAGCGAACCCCATGAAAAAGCTCGCCAGGGGGCAATTTAAGGCCAGGGTTGGATCGAGACATTCGATCTGTTTAAGTTCATAACACCTTACCGGAAGAGATGATGAGTTTTCAGTAGCAGATAGCCATTTTCTGCATATACAAGGCAATCAGACTGCCTCGGTGGTGACGCCCAAGGCTGCTGTTCCATAGTCGAGCCCGTTGTCGAACTAAACACAGTGTTAATGCATAGAAAGAGACCTCAAATAAGGGTTGGGCCGTACACTTGTCTGATGTAGACCGCCATGATAACAGCAGCAGGTGCAGAGCCGAGCTTTTTAACTACCATCCTACACTCCTCATCATTATTATAACTACCCAAAACTGTGTCTTTTTAAGAGAATGATCTTTCTCGATTCGTAAAGATCTTCAAGTGCCGATGATACTACAGGTCAGTTTGGAAGATTTGATGTGGACTCTCATACATATAGACCACGTGCTTAATAAGCAAATATATCAAATGATTCTAAAGCTCCGTGACAGTATATCTCGCGCCCAACTCTCTCTTCGTATATCAAGTTAAGCTCGATTCTGTCAATTTGCTCTCCGCCAGGACCGTCCATAGCAAACTCCTGTGGTTTAGGTTTATTACACCAGGATGCACCTTTTACACATCTGTATCAAACCAGCGTGCAGTGCTCTTGTGGTATGTCCGGTCTACCAGAGAACAATAAACATGGATGAGATCTTACTAATATTCTTATAATGTATAATATTCACAGTTGCCACTGCAAGCTTTGGGGTGGTATTTCATAGCGATATGCCTCTGACCTGCCTCGATACATCTGAAGCCGGCTAATGGGATAGTACAGCGCTTGGCAAACTGCGTCCAATCGAGCCAGCTTTCAGCTCTTGGCATTGCCCACCACGTAGCTCAGCAGCTCAGCTTCTCGACCCCTAAGCCACAAGCTCAGGTGTATCACTGGGAAAAAAAGAGTAAGTCTGTACAGGTGATTCGTGCTGTAGGTGGTACGTTGACCTCCAGCTTAATTGAGACGCGCCACCCGTTTGACTTTTCACCAAGGCGTCGCCGCAAAATGTCAGCCGTACAGCCTCGCCCCGCATCACCCGGCGAGGATAATCCCATCGTGTGCCGCCTTACCGAAACGCTCTTCGAAGTGACGGTATCCAAGCAGAACCGTCTCAACTTTTTCTCTGACAGTGTTCAGCGCCTGAACCAAAATCGGGAGGAGGCGGAGGTCACACTGCGCAATCTGAAGACATGGTCGCCGGAACTGGCCGATTCCTTCAGAATCCGCGACCCCGATACGCTGATCAACAACCCCTTTCGCCTGATCTGCGAGAGCGATCTCGGACACGTGCCGTTCGACAGTGAAAATGTGTTTCGGCAGTTCATCGCCGTGAGCTACTGTTGGCGCCACGACGACAATGACTGGCCGGGGGACGGATCAGTGCCCTCCGCCCCATGGCCCTTTAGCCGGCCCTTCGTCGATGCCATTCTCTCCGAGCGTGGTGTACACGGCGGCGCGCCCGAGGGAGATGCCAATTTTCGCAGAGAAGGTATCTGGATAGATCAGATGTGCATCCGTCAAAGTGACGAGGTCGAGAAACAGCAGTCTATAGCCAGTGAGTGACTAATCGGGGCTAAGAACCCTATCTTTTTGTTTCTTGCGTCGCATTCCCCCTCCGTGTAACCTATATGCCTTGTCATCGTCATTGACGTAATGAATAGCCACTTCAAGCTGCCTTGGATACTTGCAACTGACTTACTCGGCGTATAGTGATGGACATAATCTACGACAGGTGTCGAAAGCTACTTATTCTTCTTGAAGACGTGACATTTACGCCGGAGGAGGTCAGGGTGCTTGAAAAGTACAACAATCCTTGGCCCAAGACAATAGATGAAGCTATTTGGAAACCGGAGAAGGCAGATGTCCCACATCTGGCTAGCCTATGTGCCAAGGTTGAGAATTCACGTTGGTGGTCCAGATCATGGTACGTTTCTACCGTCTGGCTCCACGGCTCATCCTTGTTGTGTGCTCTGTGCTCTCTGACACCTATGGTCCCGGAATTAGGTGCTGGCATGAAATCGAAGTCAACAAGCCCTGGAGCGACCTGCGGCACCAATACCATAACCATAACGCGACATTCGTTGTCAAATTGGCCTCCTCAGTTGGCAACGGTTCTGCCTACAAGCTGAGATACATGACGCTCCAGAATGCACGACACGCCAGCATGAGCTCCGCTAACTACATCCATGGACCTGACTTTCTTCGCAAGACAATCCGCTGGACAATTGGCGATAATAAGACATCGCCTTACCAGGACCCTCCACACAGGGGAGCCGGCACCGAGAGGTCATCGCTCCTGGCACGTTTCTTTGTTACATCGTATACCGATTGTAGTATTGCGTCCGACATTGTATCAATCTCGATCAATCTCTGCGGGTTAGCTCTCTACTTCGTTGGCCACTTTAGAAATCATGATCGGGTGTTCTTTGTCATGGCCACACTCGCCCTCGCATGCGGTGAAAAGAGACCCTTAACGTGGATGGACAACGACTATACCAACGACTATACTCTGCTCACTCTCGACGAGAGGGGAGGCCATGGAAACTCGTGGTTGTCGCGTCCGACTGGGGGGCTCGACACTGGTCTTCCAAAATTCACAGTCGGCGGTGTCCGAGGCTTGCATAGAGTATCGAGCCACCACATCGAGCTAGACCTGCTGTTTTTTGAGGCGCCTGTTGAGAAAATAACAGACGACCAAGTTAAGGCGACATATGAAATCTTCCCAGACAATCCAATAAAGTCGCGGAAGGTTGAATTTCAAAACCAGGGGTTCAATCCACACATGGACGACTCTGAAAAAGATGACAAGTTTTGCGATAGTTTCAGGAGGAAAGTCCTCGCCGGAGCCTGTAACATTGGCCTGGCAGGAATCCGTCGTTTTTGGGCTGTCCTGGAGCGCGAGGTTGTTGAACCTTCTTTCAATAACGCGCGCTTCGTGCCGTTTGCTGGAGACGACGCACTTCGTCCAGCAGCGAAGAAGATGGTCGACCGGCTATCAACTTCTGACACTTGCTCCATCCCTGCACTTCAGGATAGAAACAGCGATGAAGAGATCATGCTCTCTTTTCTGACCTTTCTCACTGACCCACGAGCCCTGTACATGATCACGCCATGCCCTGGGATAGTCCGCTGCAACGAAGGCGAAGGGGCTATTCTTGGCTATCCGGCATTGCGTTTCCTATCTGATTATCATGACCAAAGCGGATACCGACTTGCGATTCCGACGGATCTGGTGGACTCCCCATCCAACGTCCCCCGGGTCTGGATATTGCAGCCGCTTGAGGAAGGAGAAAAAGCGAAAAGACTTGATGCTCATGGTGACAATAATGGAGTTTCCAGTTGCAATGATATTGGTGTGAGCGACAGTACAGGTGCTCGATGGAGGCTCGTTGGAAAGTGCCTACTGTTAGGCGAACCAAGTCTCGTCCTTAGTGAGACGGATGGGAATATGAAAAGCCGCTTTTTGGCGCTCCGAAAGCGGCAATGGGTCCAGGGATAAGAAGACTTACTATGCGGCTGCGTGGCTGAAGCATACTTCAACAGGTGATCTACTTACTGGCCATATTTTAATGGAGACCTCAGTCCAGAGATGAAACACGTGCTACATCCGTGCCGAAATGCCCATATCATCGGGCTTACACGATGGGAATGTTCTCCGTATACCAGTCCCTAGCACAAGGCACAATGCGTAAGTCTCCACAAGACAAAATAGAGAATGATTTCCCGCTTTAGTGCCAGGAAATGGTTAGGCAACTACTAGTGCAGCATAGGTTATAAGCTATTATATTCTTGGCTTATGATAATCTTGAGAAATTAGACATCCATGGTGTCGTGAATTTGGAAATGAGATCTATAGCGACGTATAAAATCAGTTCATTATGATGTCCCATCATTCAGCTTCGTTGTGAACCACGCCACCAAATGGTTCACCGTAGGGTGGTTCCATGTCAATGTCGGCGGCACCTTAACTTTCATCACACTCTGCAGTTTTTGCCTCAGAGCTACTGTCATCACACTATCGACACCAAGATCTGATACCGGCATGCGTAGGTCGATATCCTCGATATCAGTGATCATGAGCACAGAAGCAATACACTCGCGGATCCTGGTTGTCAACCACTGCTGTAGCTCCTGGGGCGAGTCGGGCCTGGCGTCCTTCGAAACGCCACCCGTGCCCTCCTCTGCAGAACCGCCGTTGGCAGCACCAATGATTCCAGACCGGGGCTTTCGCACCACTACATCTTCAAGCAGCGATACTGGAACAGGCTCGTCTTCCTCAATTGTGCGGCAGCGCGTGACAACGGCGCTGTCAACGTCATACTGGCTCAAGTGTTTCCAGGCGCGGAATGCTTCCTCGCCTGAGATGTCCGTGATGCCCTTACTTTGCAGCTCAAGGGTTAGGAACTCAGATGTGCCCATACCCGAGCCCCGCCAAGCTGTCCATTGGAATGCGACAGTATTGTCTCCCTGCGCACGTCGGTACGTTGCGAGTGCATCCAGGAAAGCATTTCCAGACCCGTAGGAAGCTTGTCCAGCCGTACCAACAAGTTGCCCAATGCTGGAGTATAGAACGAAGAAATCCAGAGTGCCGGGTGGGAACGCATCATGCAATGTGAGTGCGCCCTTGACTTTCGGAGCCAAGACTCGTTCAAATAAATCGCGTGTTGTCTCTAGGACCAGGCTATCCTCTAGGACTCCAGCTGCATGTACCACACCAAGAACCTGGGGCAAGCTAAGGGTTTCGAGGATCGTTTGTAGCTTCTCTGAAGCACCCTGAGCAGCAATATCTAATGCAACGGGGTAGATGGAAGCCCCTGCTTTCTCGAAGTCTTGGACTCGCTGGATAATTGCTGCTAGCTTGTCGTCAGCCGCAGCCAGCTCCTGCCACTTTCGGCGAGGGGGCAATCCTTGACGAGACAGCAGTACGATGCGTCGAGCTCCATTCTCGATCAAAAAGTTGCAAGTCTGCAGTCCCAGAGCTCCAAGGCCACCAGTAATGATATAAGTTCCTTCAGGCTTAGGGAGCAGCGACATTGATGACTCTGGTTCGTGGCGTTGGCCTCTCAACAAGGGTCTCATGATGGCGCGTCTGGGCATACCATCAATGAAGCGCAGGACATCTTGATCTCGCACATACTTCAGGGCTATCATTGGCAAAGTATCCCTTGAGTCATTATCAATGAGGCCACCCCATAGGTCTGGGTGTTCCGATGCGATGATTCGTGCAAGTCCGTACAACGCGCCATGCGCCAAGGCTGTCGGGGTCTTACCAGCAAACACAGAGTCTGTAATGACGAATAGTCTGCAGGTGTCGATGCACTTTTCAGCGATGAACTTGACAATGCTAGTCGTCTCCCAGATGAAGTCCATGGACTTGCCACTCACGTCATCTACAGACCCAACCGTTGCGGGAATGTAGATGACTGCACTATCCTTTTGGGTCAAAGCAGCGACGACGTCAGGATTGTCCAGATCCTTTGCGCTGAGACACGAGAAGACCTTGTCTGCTCCTAGCTGCAACTTCTCGACGTACTGCTTCGCAACAACCTGGTCGGTTGATACAACAGCGACCTGAACGAGTGGGTGTGGCTTCTCAGAAAACTTGGGTGGGATCCAATCCATCCGATGTACCAGGCTGTCAACACTACCACTGGCGCCGACCGCGTCCTCAACACCAGAGAATCTCATGGAAGTGAACTTGGCCAATAACAAGCCTTGGTCACTTAGAACGCTGACGTGAGAGGCAGGGCTTTGCGCGTCAGTGCCTTCTTCAATGAGAAGGTAGCAAATCTTGGGCAGAGGTTCTGATGAGTAAAGGCTCACACGATCGATCTGTGAGACGATCCGAAGCTTGGGTTCACTGAAAAATATTGATGATCCAACCGATGTCGCCGCATCAAGCATCGGTGCCCATGACATTGGATCCCAGCTCAGCTCCTGGGCTTCAGGATCCATGTCAACCATAGCGATCATTTCTTTCGTGTTTCCATAGTGTTCTGTGACTTGCCATGGGAACGCGATACCCTCTACACCGATCTTGGTGAGATAGTCCACAGCGAAACTGTTGGGCAGACGGGTTCCGATGCGCTTTTTGATAGCCTCAACATCGAAAGTCTGAGGTACGCTGGAAGCCGCGTCAAGCTTGCCCCATTGGCATGAGCTGTGTGCAACCCAGTACTTTTCGCCATCTTCTGATTCCGTGATTGTGCTAGAGGCGACTTTTATTTGTTGGCCCTCAACAATAATCTGCACGTTGCGAGTTTCATCACTGACTGAATTTTGGTCAATCCCCTGATTCAAGTTACAAGAGTGCAAAGAAAGTAGACTTACTAGAGACTGGAACATTGAGCTTAATTTCCGAAAGGGCTGTGGCCCCAGTCGCATTGCGGAAAGTATTGATATATACCGCCGCGGGGATGATCTCTGTGCCATCCAGCGGGTGGGTTCCCGGGAAAGGCTTGACCTTGTCGTCAAGCTTTGTTTCGTACACTACGATATCTGTCCCGGCAACGGTAGTGCGCTGGCCGAGTAGAGTGTGCTTCTCAACATCGTGGGTAGTGCTCTGGTTGAGTGGGCCAGTCTCAACTTGTTTCCAGTATGGTTTGTGGACCCAAGGGGTTCCCGGTATCGTCTGACACCACTGGCCTTCCTCGCCGAGTTGTGCTGCGAAGTTGACGTCCACGCCACTCACATAAAGTTGTGCGACAGTGTTCCAGACACAGCTAAGAGGTGAGGTATCTCTCTTCATTGTTGATGCAGTGATGAAATCATCCTCGTCCAGGTTGCCTGAAAGCAGGGTCTCATTGATGGAATGAAGTACAATTGGATGTGAAGAAACTTCAACAAATACTCGGTATCCATCAGCCGCCGCCGCATTTACGGTCGATTTCAACAGTACGGGGCTGATCATGTTGTTAACCCAATATTCTGTGTCTCGTAGAGCTGGTGTTCGAGGGTCGCTCTTCGACGTCGAGTACACTGGTATCTTGGAGTTCTTTGGCTGCAATTCAGCCAATGCTTTCTTGAGGGGCGCAGCAAGCTGTTCAAGGATAGGGCTGTGGAAGGCAATGTCCGTCTTGACTCGGAACGTTTTGACGCCCCGGCTTTTTTGTGTCTCTACATATTGCTGCACAGCTGCCTCTTCGCCGCTAATGACGCAGGTCGAGGGGGAAGAGTCGATTGCCGCAGACAGATTGGGGTTATTCCCAAGTTCGGCTGTAACCTCGTCGTAGGGCCGGTTCACGAGTGCCATACCTCCGATAGTTGAAGCACGGATGCTTCCGTACAATTTCGCCCGACGAATGACGATCAATGCGCCTTCTTCTGGAGTGAGGCAACCGCCAACGACGGAGGCGGCAATCTCACCTACAGAGTGGCCGATGACTGCTTGAGGTTCTAGCCCCTTCGATCTCAGCACTTGGCTCAGACCGATTTGCATTGCATAGGTCAAAGATTGAACGCGCTCGGATGATTCGAAGTCGCCACTTTCAAGAGCACCAATAAGTGAAAAGCCAGCTTCTTTCACGTATACTGGATCAAGTGCATTGATGGCTCTTCGGAAGTGGGCCTCATGTAGCAACTCTTTGCCCATATCGGTCCATTGAGCGCCATGACCAGAGAAGACCCAAACGGCATGTCTAGCAAGGCCATTGCCGGTCTGGAGTACCCTCCCGCGAGGGCTGTTGTCGCAGCTTTCCTCAGAACCCGCGGCAAACTTCTTGAGTTCATCGATGGCCGCTTCGTGACTACCAATAGCAAATGCAACACGGTAGTCATGGTGAGCGCGACGTAGTGCTAGAGTGCGGGCGACAGCTGCCAAATCCGTTCCTTTGCCTTCAGGGGTACTGAGCCACTCGGAAAGATTCAGAGCCTGCGCAGCTAGCCTTTTCTCCTGCTGCGCCGAGATGGTGAGGATTACAGGCTTTGGTTCCGTTTGTTGCAGCTGCTCTGTGTTTTTGACGGTGCTATCAACGAACTCTTCGATAACAGCATGCGAGACTGTTCCACCATATCCATATGAGCAGATGGCAGCTCTTCTTGGCCCCTTCTCACTAGCCCAGTCCATGACTTCAGGAGAAACGTGGAGCCCTGAGTTCTTCCAGTCGACGCGTGAATTCAACTTGGTCAAGAAAGCCTGTGGTGGTATCTTGCCCTTCTTCATGGCCATTATCGCCTTGACCACGCCAATAGCGCCAGCGGCAGCTTCTAGGTGACCCACGTTGGGCTTTATGGAACCAACCTTGACGGGCTCATCACGTGGTCTTCCTGACCCAGATCCGTATACTGCAGCAATGGCGGAGATCTCCGTAGGATCTCCTAGGGGAGTAGAAGTCGCGTGGGCCTCAACATAGCCCACGGTCCGCGGGTCGATGCCAGCTCTTGCGAGCGCTTGGCGCGCGACAAGCTCCTGCGCCTTTGCATTTGGTGCCATGATGCCATTTGTTTTTCCGTCTTGGGCAACGGCAGTTCCCTTGCAAACGGCAAGAATGTTGTCCCCGTCGGCAACGGCAGCCGAAAGACGCTTCAGGATGACAACGGCACCACCTTCACCTCGAGCATAGCCGTTTGCTGCATCGTCGAATGAACGGCAGATGCCGTCTGGGCTGAGAGCTCCGGCCTTGCCCAGCATGCACGTCAGACCTGGGGCCACTAAAACGTGAACGCCGCCAACAATGGCGAGCTCAGACTCGCCGTTCAAGATGGCTTGGCGACCCAGGTGAATAGCCACTAATGACGAAGCACACGCAGCATCGACTGCCGTGCTAGGGCCCATCAGATCCAGGTGATAGGAGATACGGTTTGGCACACCATGAAACGCAGTACCAATGCCCATCCAAGCCTCGATGTTGGGGATGTCTTCGATTAGCAGACGTGAGTAGTCGTCTGTGTCGATACCCATAAATACTGCTGTGTCGGATCCGCTGAGGGCTTTGGGATCAACTCCGGCATTCTCCAGAGCCTCCCAGCTGAGTTCCAGCCCCAGACGCTGGTGAGGATCCATTTGCTCTGCCTCCTTGGGGGAGATACCAAAGAATGAGGCATCGAAGTTCTCGAGATCTTCGATGAAATAACCTCTGTCAATAGCTTTCTCTAGCTCCCGAGCATTGCGGGCATCACGGCGCACTATATCATTCAGTTAGTCCTCGACATTCTTCAGCAGGGGCATCCATCGAAAGGCTTTCTGTGGCCTTCAGCCTGAGTAGTGACTTACACCATGGCTCCCACCTCCAGCGTGGGACCTCACCCGAGGCATTTTTCTTGTCCATAAGGAATTCCCATAGTTTCTCGGGTGTGTTATTGCCTCCAGCCGCACGGCAGGACATGCCGATAATGGCTACATCGTCTCGATTTAACGAGCCTACTCCTTCAATGTGATTAGGTGACAGTGGCTCGGTCACCTCAGATGCGGAGTCGAGCCTCTCACTCGAGTTGCTCGACGTGACACTCTCAGGAGTCCACATATTGGGATAGTCTGCGCTTGGTGGGAGAGGAGACTGAGCTGAGCAACGAAGGGAGATCAGGGCACCAGAATTCAGAAACTGGTTCGTTTATGTGGTCAGCAGGTATGTCTGCAGCCGATAGCCTCGTAGTTCCTCTATAGTGTTAGTTTGGTAAGCGAGCTAGGTTCACATGCATACTTCCTCCGCTTATCTAGGCTAGGGGCCTCAAGCCTTATGGGTCCTTGTTCTTTCTTATACAACGATCTACACTGTTTCCCCTCATCTGACACTGGGGAGATAGTAAGTACAGCCGATAAAAAGCTAGATATTTTTATCAATTAAAACTGGGTTGAGATTAAGAGGGCTTGTCCTGAGGTAGAGACGGTGTTTACTATAACACAATCGTTACATCCTTGAGCCCCCCGGTTTCTGCGGGATTTACGGAGCTCTTCCACGAAGCTGGCCATTCCGCAATAGGCCTTGACTATGAGGAACGATACCCGTATGGTCATTTATCAATGGGCCTATGCCTTTACTGTATCGTCTGCCCGTCTTAGGAGCAGGGTTCAACAATATTTCCCCCTTATCAGGGGCATGATCTGACACTTGTTCAAGCGACCTCTCCCGCTCAAGTGGATACCTCTCGTCTTGACTCGGGGGAACATACTAGTGCGAGTACGTAATTGGGCCATGGTGAAGATTGAATTTGCACTACGTACAACACGGGCTGCTGTTTCGCGGCCCGAACCGGTAGCCCGGGCGTTGCCAACGGATGACTGTGCGTAATTTGGATGGAATTTCGGCATTCCGTTCTATCTGAGCGTCTTCCAGTGTACTGTACAAACCTAAAACCAAGAAGAAAACAATCTTGACTACGGTTTCAATTATTTAAGATTTGCTGCTGCAGAATTATCCTGCAACCACGGGCATAACGCTTATTGAGGCGGGCAACGCCGCGGGCAACGCCACACATTCGGATGTTCTGGTTTGCTCCACGGCTCTCACTGCATATTCCTCTTGCCTGAGATATGATATTCGAGAGTCAGGAGCCACCCGGAGTTATCGAGCCCCTTGCATCAGCCAATTATTGCAAGGTTCTGGTATGGGGTGTCTCTGTTTCCCTTGCGTGAGTCCGTCCGAAACCAGGGTCCTGTCCACCCCTGTCCTGCTGCGAGGACGAGAACGCCCCACAGCCAGTTGCCAAGGCTCACGTCGCGTGGCGGCATGTGCACCATGCGACGACAACGCAAGGAGTGCTTGGATGCAGACAATACCGACGAGACAGGCTTGTGATGTTCTATTCCGACTTCATCAACAGCCAGTATCGGACCGACAATGTCGCACGTTTTTCGTTCTCCAACAGACCCGTTTGTTAAATAGGATACTTCTTATGGATCAAATAGGGACGTCGACAGGGGACGCAGAACCCGCACCCGAGCTAGGAGCGTCACCTTTGTACGATTGGTATATTAGTTTCTGGGCTCAGCCGAGGCTTTCGTCTGTACAGAAAGTTTCAACCCGGGCCCCACGAAGGTGCCGCTTGGCAACCGGATGCAAAAGAACAAATAAGTTGCGGTGAGGCATTATGCTTCCGTCCAAGGATAAATCTTTCGATGAAATGTCGCCATGCATGTGGATTCCCACAACCACGTTGCTCCTGCTGGCTGCTGCTGCTGCTGCTGCATGCGCGGCCGCGAATCAGGGATTGGTCAAGATTTGTCATGAACTCGTGGGTGCCAGGGGGCTCACCAGCCCAGCCCTTCACGTTGGGTCTTGGGGCGAGCTGCGATACGGTACGCAGTGCGGAAACCCTCGAGGCGCCTCGGTGGAGACTTGGGAGGGGCGGTTCACTTCTGGGCCCCTTCACATTTTCGCGAATGCCCCGGCAATGTTTTGTGGCAGTCTGGCAGTAAACGGCGTTGCATGGCGGTCCACGTATTCGCAGAGGGGAAGATCACGTCAATGAGCGTCGGCGTCAAACGTACGGTAGAATGGTGCCCGCTGACAAAACATCAGGAGATAGATGGAAATCCCATGATAATGGAATTCAAGGGCCAATGGCATCCGCAGATTCACTCGCTATCTGCATTCCAACAACTTCGTCATGCACTTTCCACCACCTCTTCCGTGATTGTGACAGAAACTTGCGCATTAACCGATAGATCCCGGAACTCGCTCCACGACGTCTTGTCGGCCGAGTTCACCCAGCCGACCTCGACTTCGCCGCAGCACACCACAAATATCTTGGGCTTCCCATTGCTGTCCATGATTTCCACCGCCGTCGGGCTTACGAGGTTCTCCATGACGATGGCCAGCTCCGACTTCCCACTCTCTGGGTCGATATCTAGTTTCCACAGCCAACCATCTACATAGCTTGCCGTATATGCTTCCTTCATATCTGGGGTAACGGCCAATCCATCGCAATGGGGTATCTCATCCGAGATAAGCTGGATCGGCCCGGTCATCTCGATGTCGCTATCTGAAATCTTGACAGGGAACCGATACAGAGTGCCGGTTCCATTATTCGTGAACCATACATATCCATCGGTCAGTCGTAATCGGTTGATCCCATAAGGCCCTTCCGTCGCAGGATTCAGCGCGTCGTCGTCCACTAGCACCGATGTTTTGCCAGTTGACAGGTCAAACCGCTGGATAGTCCCTCGAAATGAGTCGGCGATCAATAACAGGCGCTCGGAAACTGGAATCACTCCGATCGCCGCTCCAGCATCCAGCTCGGCTATCATCTCAACCTTAATGTCCTGGCCGTCCTTCAGCGTTACGTGCCACATGACGTGATCTGTTATATAGACGGTGGCCAGATCCAGCATGGCGGTTATCACGACGTACTCGTCGGGCTTGCCCTTTATCGGGCACAGATTGACTGCCGCCGTCGCATCTTCGAATGTGTACACTAGTTGCGGCTCGGCATCCGGGTCCTCGGCGTCCAATGTGTACAGCTCCGGCTGGTCCAGCCGCGTCATGAGGAGCTGGCCATTTGGCCGCTGAGCGAAACCCTCAAACCAGGCATCCGAGGGGAGCTGGGTGAGCAGGGCCACGTCTCCTACCATGGTTAACTCCTCCAATTACGGGTGCCGAATGGTAGTGATGTTGCGCCGCCGTCGGATGTCTGCTACTGCTATGCGGTTCCGTGCGTCGTACTCGGGGGAAATCAGGCCGGATGGCGTATAGGGAGATGGGCGGTGAGAGGATCTGGCTCGCTCAAGAGGATCTCGTCATGAGGATTCGTGGGATATAAAATGTAGGATGCATGCCCGGCTTGACATACAGATCTCCGTACGACGCCCTGTGTGCTTCACATATGCTAAAGGGTACCGGGGAGCAGCGTGCCATCGAGGCGGACCAAGGTCAGGACCGGCAGTATTGCGGGAGAGCCGGGAGCGGGGCGGCTAACGCACAGGCTCGTCTCCCCGGACCTGGACAGCTTTGTACTTCTCGATGTCGCGTTACGAAACGAGGGCAGAGAGCACTTCAGCCGTGGTCGCTTCCACGCTGGTCGATCATTCCATCGCTACCGCACCTCCATGAATCAGTTGCCCATGTCCCTCTGTTGGGAGGTTCAAGGCACGTCGAAGCAAGGGCTACGTTATATGACGGGGTGCTGTAACGTGAGGAGCGATGCTACCGTGTGTAGGTAGGCATGTATCAGCGGCAGAGAGATATGAATAGGTAGGTACAGTATCAGGAAAATGATTCAAGCGTCCGCATCCCATCCCGGCGCCGGTCGATACAGACATGACACATGACCCCAGCACCGCCCACCCGGCCACAGCCCTGTCCGTCCAATCGCGGATGGCCCAGGGGTCTAGCGCCACGGCCGCCAACATGCCACCTCATTTTTCTTTACTAGGTATAATACGGGTATGTGCCAGGATGGGTGCAGCGGCCAGGACTTAGCTGGCGGCATAAGGGGGTCCCTTGGGGGTCAGGTCGGCCAGAAGCGCCCAATGGACAGGTCTCGAGATAACGAGCAAAAGCTGATCTACAGCACATGGCCCATTCTACCCACCGCACTATTGGGCATTTGCTATCATAATTGGCCGCCTAGGACAATTCCGAGCGTCTTCCACCTTGTAAGCGTTGCTCGTAATCCTAGTCTCCAAGGCTTAGTAATTTGCCGAACTTGACGTTCGGTATTATGTAAGAGAGGTATCGCTGCGCTGTCTGCTGTCTTGGCTGGCGATAATGCACGAACAGATGGCGGCGCGGCGCGCTCCTGGCCCCTGGCTCGACGGCCTAACTACTATTGTGCGAATTACATTACCGTACCGGGAGAAAGGTCATCTGGTGCCCCGCCCAAAAATCAAGCGGACCTACGGTATCTTTTCACATGTTTTGTGGCACCGTGGCTCGCCGTTCGGGGTCCGCTCCGACCTGCAGTCCTTCTGCACCAATGCACAGCCAACCAGCGATGACGTCCGCCTTCAAGTCAGGCCACTTCCAGACTCTGGACTTCTCGACGGCCGGCCAAGTCGTGGTGGACGACGCGCTGTACGGCAGGCACACCATCACGGAGCCCGTCCTCGTCGAGCTGCTCAGCTCCCAGCCGGTGGCGCGCCTCGCCGGCGTCAACCAGCATGGCATCTCCGGCCTCCTCGGCATCACGCCCAAGGTGACGCGGTGCGAGCACTCGGTCGGCGCCTTCCTCCTCGTGCGCCACGTCGGTGCGGGCTTGGATGAGCAGGTCGCCGGCCTCCTGCACGACATCAGCCACACCACGATGAGCCATGTCATCGATTTCGCGCTGTCGGAGCCAGGCGAGGGCAGCTTTCACGAAGTCCACAAGATGCGCTACGTGCTGACGACAGGGATCCCGGACATCCTCCGAAAGCACGGTTTTGAGGACCTCAAACCCCTGGATGAGGAGCTGTACCCGCTCGTGGAACAGCCCGCTCCGCGACTTTGCGCCGATCGGCTTGATTATGGGTTGCGCGATGCCGTCGGCTTCGGACAATTGACTCTGGAGAATGCTCAGCGTGTTATAGCTTCACTGAAAGCGCTCCCAAGCCCAACCTCCCCTTCACGCTTACTAGTCCTACGAGACCCAGAGGCCGCCTTGCTAATAGCGAGGGCATACATGGCTTGCGATCGAGAGGTCTGGGGCAACCCGGCCCACGGGGACCTGTATATCCGAACAGCTGGCCTCATGAGAAAGTTGATTCGGGGTGGGAGTGTGAAAGAAGAGGAGCTCTGGAAGCTATCTGACGACGAATTCTGGGCGAGGATGAGGCAAGCTGCGGATCGCGAAGGTCAGGAGGCTATGGACAAGCTCGAGGCCGAGGGCCTACCAGACGAGAAGGGCTTGCCACTGCCTCGCAAGGCCAAGGTGCGGACTTTGGATCCGGACATCTGCACCGCACCATCGGTATCAGCCACGCCCTTGTCAACTCTTCTTCCCGAGTATGCTGCCGAGAAACAGGAGTATATTCGGGTCAGGGAAGCTCTCTATGCTTCTTGACCAACTATTACTTAGAGAAGATGCAGACCACGTTGCGAAACGTATAGATCTGAAGAGCTACTACATAGAATTATCCCAACCAGACCAGGTGATTATCTCTTGGTTCCTCCCGGGACCGAGACGATTTACACGTCATTGTAGCCAATCAAAGAGGACTCTTGTCTGGTAGAGCTAAACCAAGCCCACGCAGCACTTGGCCAGTAGCCTGTAAATAGAGCATAGTGAAAGCCATAGTTTGACTCCTCAAACATGGTTGGATCGGCTGCCCGTGCCTTAGCAACACTGTCTGGCGTTGCCTGGGCTAGCAAGTGGTCTCTCTGATCTGGCATCAACGCCCTATCTTTTGATTAATACCAGTTCAATGTTGTGGTCTCTCTGTTGGGAGATGCTTACAGAGCGTTTCCAAAAATGCCGTGGCATAGACTTGGTTCCTTCCTCAGTACTCCTTCTTTCCATACCAACTCACTGCCGAGATTGATTGCTCTGTCTATCTTGTCCTGTAAGCCTGGAAAATGGGGGCGCAGCGACCTCAGACTCAATACAAATCCTGGAGCGCCGTGGCAGAACTGGACGTATGGTTTATGATGAGGCTTAGGCTCGGGTATGACAGCCCAGTTGCCGTCGCTCGTCTGCAGGTCCAGCAGCTGCTCCAGCTTCTTCTCCAGGCGAGGCGCCACGCTGGGCGATGTAAGCACAAGCTCCGTGACAATACCAATGTCGCCGTGTGCCGCACCAAGCCATTGATGATTGTTACACTCCCAGTCAGGTCCGTTGGCGATGACTGCCTCCATTATTAGGCTTGTTGGTTCCTCGAGCGCCTTCGCACTTGCGGGCACCCAATGCCTGACGACCCGGATGAGGTACAAGGCACCAGCCATGCCCCAGAGCCATTCATCTTCATGCTTGCGGCTCGGAATCACAGACACACTCTGGACAAACTCGTCCACAACCTGCATGTCCTTCGTCACAGCGGCGCGGACAGCTTGGTAGCTTATCAGCTGCGCAGAAATGCCACACCTTTGGCTCGCTTGCTGGATGGTGGCTTCCGTGCGTCCATCGGCCGTCGAGTATGCCTCTGCCCAATGTAATGCAGACTTGGAGGCGATTTCTAGGCGAGGGTACGCTACTGAGACGCAAAGAAATAAGTAGGCAATGCCCGTTGGTCCGTTCCAAAACCCTTTGAGCTCTATATCGTAGCTCTCCCGGGGAGGATAGCCAGTCACGATGTTTTCTAGGGCTTCCGTCAAAAGTGCTTCCTTGTTTGGAACTCGCTGTGACGGAGAAATCTTATTCGGTACATATAGCTGTTCAGACATGGTGTTGTTTTCCAGGCCTACGAGGCGCTCTATTGTTGTTGTGCAAGTCTAGGCTGACAAACATGATTGCTGTGGTGGGCAATTGAGAATCTCGGAATCTGACAGTGCGGGGTATGCTCGATCAACTAGGTACGAACCATAATCAGCACTATCTCAGCACTGGTGGGAGCCTAACATGTGTGCGCGTAGTCTATAGAGTTGCAATTATCAGCAATAAGGAGCCGCTATATATATATACAAGGTCCCAACACTATGCAATGATACGCTGAAACCGAACCAGCTCTGTGGCATTTCCGTTGGCAAGGTACTTGACGGTCCAGTTCCATAGGTCTTCCTGCTTGCCTTCATCGTAGCTATCCTTACTTGATTTGATCTCCTTTTCGCCCTCGAAATATCTTCCACTGACACCACTGACATCTGCGCCAACGGCAAGCCTTGCCAGTCGTCTGCCTGAATCTTTCGCAAGATGGACATTTGGCGTTGAGAGGAGAAATCTCAGGAGCGGAATCGCTCTCACGGCCAAATTGTTGAAAATCCATAGGAGGAACTTTGGGTGTTCACGCCCAAGCATGGTTCCCGGCACCAAACCGGGATCGAATGCGTTTACGGTCAGGCTCTTCTGCGGCACAATCTCCTGCAAATGCCGGTGCAGGGCATACGCCCAGAGGACATTCGCAAGCTTGCTGCTGGAGTAACGCTGTAGGCCTGAGTTCCCAGCCGTTGCAGCCGATGGGCGTGCAAGCTCCTCAGCTGAGGTATACACAGCATCGGGCAGGCCCGACTTCTGCGCAGGGTCATGTGTGCCGCTGGAGGTGACCACGACGCGCCCTTGGTCGGCCAGTTGCGGCGCCAGCAGATGGAATAGCAAAGCATGGCCTACATGGTTTATTGCGAAAGTGGCCTCGAGGCCTTCGTCGGTCTTCTTGAGTTCGTTGGGGAACTGAAGACCAGCGTTGAGGACGAGTGCTTGGATCGGCGGGTTGCCGCCAGATGCCCAATCCTTGGCGTATTGTCGTACGTCATTCGAATTTGACAGGTCAAGGCGTTTGTAAACAGTGTTGCTCTGGCCCAAGGTTCTGTTGATCGTGGTCGCGGCGTCTTCTTTGTCAGAGCGACTTGAAATGATTACAAGATAGTCCGGATGAGCTCGGGCAATAGTCAATGCGGCCTGATAACCAATGCCCGTCGTTCCACCAGTGACTATCACAGATCGTGAGAAGTGCATGGCTCTGAGGGTGAAGGGTTCGATAGGCTGAAGTGGAAGTTTGAGCAGTGTGGCCAAAATTTGTTTATATAATGGTTTGAGTGAGAGAAGAGGTCTTGTAGATACAGGTAGGGTTCCTCTGTGATGAATTATGTCTTGCTTTAGATATCGGTAATGTCGACTGTATATATATACTAACAGAAACCTATATACTACTTGTGTGTTGAAGTGGATCTGTCATGAAGCCTCTCTTGGCATTAGGAACAAAAGACCGGACTTATCGGGCTTGCTGGGGGAACGGGACCGCGGCCGGCGTGGGCGCGACCCGGGCTCGGTCAGCGCTATGGCCGGGTCCGCCAGCTTATTCATTGAGAATTCCCACGTCAAAGAGGTGGCCATAGGTTTCAGCGCAAAAAGCCGATAATGTGGAAGGTTAGTGACCCCCTTCAAGTGGCTTTGAGCGGAGTTGAGATAGCCCGACTATGTGGTTCGAAGCTTGATAAGGCTTAGCGCACCCGAGTCGAGCTTATTTGGAGGATCGGCGCTAAAGGCTGACGGGCGCCGCGGACGCGGTAGCGGATTGATTTCATCCCGCCGGCGGGAAAATTCCCAACATATGTATAGCACTACAGCCTATCGGCCAAAAGGCACGTGTACGTCTGTCATGGAAGTATTGCAAGGCCATAAGTATAAGTCTAGTTCACAATGACGCACTAAGCAGCTAAGTCGATCTACACGGCGTTAAGCGCCTTCAAAGCGTTTTCAACAGCCTCGTCAACTGTTTTTGGTGGCTGTCCCAGCTTCTCGTTCATGATCTTTCCCTCCTTTTCCAAGTGACCATCGAACCGGCCAGTGACGAAGCCTGTCTCGATAAGAGCGAATGTCGCGAGTCCATCTCCCGCCCTAACGGCCTCTTTCTTTTCTTGAATCAGGGCGTGGCTGTCGACGGTCTCAGTCGCATACTTCGCTCCCTGTATTCTTTCAATGGTGCTCAAAAGTTGCTTCTGTGAGATTGCGAAGTCGCTGAGGAAAACATTCGTGTTCTTGGTGAGTCCCGGTGTCTTCAGAGCCTGGACGACACCTGCTGCTGTGTTTTCTTCCGTGGTACACGAAAATAGCCCCTGTCCATCGTCCCAGAAGACGAACTTTTTATCGGACACATGCATGCCTAAGAAATTGTTGATCATGCTCCATTTGATCCACATTCCGCATGAAATGCTCATCCACTCAATTGCCTCTTCTGAGACCTTCAAGCGAAGGTATTCTTGGACCTTGTCCTTGTCGCGGAAAACCGCATTGACAGCCTGCGCGTCGGATCGCAGGTTGTTCAACCCGTATTCGCTGGGGACATACCGCTTCACCCCTGCAGCAATCGCTGCATCGATCATGCGAAACTGGTCCGCGACTGACATCGATGTCATGCAATTGAGTATCACATCTTGTTCCTGAAAGGTAGATATGAGCGCCTCTGTTGGATACCCATCGTCGATTTTGATACTCTTCAAGGCTGGAGACAACTTTGACTGAGACGAAGCGCGTTGGAGAATCGTGACTTCGAAAACTGACTCTTTCAGCAGAGCTTCAAGAATAACACTGCCAATAGCGCCAGTTGCTCCGATTAGAACAACGTTTTTGAAGACCGCCATATCAGCAGCGAAGCGTTGAGAGTGCTTGTTTGTATTAGATGGTCAAATGATGATTGTCCAAAACTTTTGTTCTCATGAAAGCCTGGAGTCTGGTGTCATTAAATACTGTCAGGCATATGACAGGAATTGTGTGGTGGCGCTATTCAATCGCGCCTACGGACCCATTACTCGGCTACATTTCAGTAAAAGCTCAGCGATACCAATGTCAAAGGCCGGATTCATCGGCCATAGGCATGCATGCTTTGATACATATCGGCGTTTGCCAAGAGAAACGTTGGTGTAATACAGCATTCAAAGACTGTTGCTAAAGCGTAGTATGTCAGCACAGCAAACACCGAGACAGCACGGCCGGTGTGTTGCATCGACGTTGGTAGACTCCGTTTTTCGATTAGTGAACCGAAGGTGGTAGTCCTCGGTAAGGCATGCATGTCCCCACTTTATCATGACCGATACCTTTACTTGACCAGAGAGTATCTATCTTCATCCTCGAGGACGGCGAGCGACCCTTTCGATTAGCTAGAGTAACTATCCCTATTTCCATATAGATGGTAGCAGGTTGTTGACATACACTTCTCTACAGTGCTCAAATCTCCATTATGGAGTACTTAGTTCGTGGATCCGGTATACGTTGGTGAGGCATAGGCGCCAGGATATATAACAATCTTGATTTGGGCGCTTTTGAGAACTACTTACCGTCCTGTTCTTAACTCGCTTTCTCACCGATTTTCCCAAGCTGATTCCTCGCCTGTAAGGCCGTGGACCGTTGTTCGACTGTGCAGAAATCATGTTGCGTGAATAGCAATGCCAAAAACATTTTCTCCACCGAGCCACGTTGAGTCATTACTTAAGTTCAATGTGAACGAAGAACAGAAAATCGATGTCAGCAGAACTTTATACTATACTGTAGATATATTTATTGGAATTCCGCAGCAATGCTGTCACGGGAACGAAGCTGGTGTCTTTGACTTCCTCGGCAGGCTATCTCGAGGAACCATTTTTCTTCCAACGCATCTCCCTGGATGCCACACAGCGAAGAGAAGGACGGTAAGTGCAACTGGAGCGAACTCAAGACACGCAAACAGTATCTCGCTCGAATATAGAGATCCACCAAGTCCTTCGGCTGTCTCTGCAAGGCGGAAACATGTACGCAGGTACACTAAGACTGTTGCTGCCAGCAGGACCGAGTAGAAGCACATGAAGCCTGCCTTGGCGATGGCTCGGTGTCCACGAAGGAGGAATGTGATGGTCAATATGAGGAAGATACCCAACGAGAAGACTTGATATGCCAGGCCGCCCAGCAAGATGTTATTCGCTGTGGTCGGATCTTCGCGTTTGGACTGCTTCACGCCAATGAGGGCAGCGCCGGTGATCTGCAGGATCGTGGAGATGACGTCGGAAACGACGAAAAACCATATTATGGCCTTTGGTGAGAGGAAGGCGTACCGGCGTCCCGACTCGACTCTGGCAATAACCGCGGACAATATTGTGTAGACACCTGCGGCAAGAAATACTGGTGCCGTGACGATGAAGAAATACTGAATGATGAAGTAGATCAAGTTGTACGGATCCTTCTTTGCCGAGAGCGAACGCGCAATGTAACCGATGACTTCGAATAGCAAACCCACGGGGAAAGTGATAAAGTACCAGCTGCGGTGGCGTATCGCTTGGCTAAGGTGGACGACGAGGAAGAGAGCGAACCAGGCGGCAGCGAAGATTGCAAGCGAAAATGCTGGTGTGTAGCCGTATATGATGACGTAGGTATCCCATCTACCGCCGGGATTGGGGAAGCTGGGATCAATATAACCCGAAGAAGTGGCACCTGTATGTTAAGTCAGAATAGTTCACGCCAATCTTGTCCACGAGCAACATACGCGTCTGAATGCCCATTTTGCTCCTATGAGTCCAACTATCAAGATAGAGATCAAGTGGACCCAAGCAAACAGGGCGACGAAATCAATGGTGACTTCCAGTAAACGGTCTGTGCTGCTTCCCTTGGGCAACTATTGGGTTTCCGCCGGTTCTTTATACTGAAACACAGTCACCGCCTCTCACGCAACTCAACAGGGTAAACAGATCGCAACAAGCGTGGGAAATATGCAGCCTTTGTATCCTGGTCAAGGTGTTAGCACTCAAGTCCACGCGGTAGCCCAACCAAGCCAAGCAGAATAGGCCATTGCTAGTATCAAATGACATCAGTATGCTCCACTCTCTACTTGAGCTGTGATTTTGCGGTAATCTTTTGGGGCTCGGTTATACTATGATTATTGATGGGATTGGCGGGTTGTCTAACAGTGCATTGTGAAGCCGCAAAAATTAGGTGTTCAGACTACGCTTGTACGGTACGGTTGAGATTCGAGGACAAACGACAGCCCTGTTGGTGGGTCGTCGGACATCGGGCATCGGGACGCCAAGAAGTGCGAGGTGGTCCAGCCGAGATTGTTGTCCCATTCCAAACATATTTGTCTCCCAAGAATAAGATCGTGGTTAAATCATTGCATGTTCAAGATCGGACAAGAGATTGGCACAAAGATCAAGACTACGAAGGCAGCCATGCGGAAGGTGCTGCATGGAAAGAATTGCTTCCTCAAGCGGGCCTAGCGACTTAACCAGACAACACCGCTGATTGGCCAATTTGGAATTTATTAATACATTGGCTGACGATCGCCTCAAACAGTATCTCTCATTTTGCGGGATTCCACTTTTCAGCTTACAACAGCGGGACAAGCGATTGCTCAAGCGCAACAGCGCCGGCACCAACAGCAACAACCGTCCAAAGCCATTTGTTCCTCACTTCTTTGACGCTCGGCCAGAAGCTGTTCTTGGTCTGCTTGTACTCTTGCAGCTCCTGGAACTTCTGTGGGTTTTCTTTGGCGTAGCGTACCTCTTGAGAGGCCTCGTTTTCCTTGTCGCCACCAACGGCTCGGAGGAAGACATAGTTTATCACAGGACCCAGCGCGGCAAGCGGATGCAACAGTCCAGCCCCGGAGGCAAGAACAGAGAAAGCAAAGTGACACAATGCGTCGCCGAGGTAACTGTCCACTGGTTAGCAAGAAATAAAGGGTACACCAAGTCGTTGCTGCTTACTTGGGGTGGCGAACGATGCTCCAAACACCCTCTCGGTTGAGAGTAGCATTGCCAGTCTTCCGAGTATGAGACTCCAGCTGCGAGTCCGCAAGAACTTCAGTCGCGAAACCAGCCGCGAATAAAAAAATTCCCAGCCCGTGGGAGATCGCCGAAGGACCAATTGACAAGGACGACTCAGCACTCGAGACGGGAGCACGGAAAGGCAGGACAAAAGGCAGTGTAATCAATGTCTGTGCAACAGCCTCGGGTAGGTATAACGTGAAAGGCGCCTTGTTCCAAAAGCCCGGGTCCTGTTTCTTTGCAGCCATGTATCGTGCATCATCTTGACCACGTCTCACGCTACGAGACACTATGCGGTAGAAGAGACGCAATCCCCAGGCGCTGACGCCTGTGAGAAGGAGTTTTTGGTCGTAAGTGAGATCAGCCCAAGCGGCCGAGACTGACAGTCCACCGTAGACGACAGGAACTCCGATGGCACTCCACCAAGCATTGACAACTTGACCGCTAGGCCAGAGGTAGTCTTTTGCTTCCGCCCTATCGGTATAACGACCAATGCCGTAGGCGATAGCACCAAGTCCAGCATGCAATCCAAAAGACGGCAAGACGGCGTGTTGAAGAAGGCCCAGAGTTGTCGTTCCGAGATACCGCTCATTGCCAATGTTAAAGTGCGATCCATAGCGGTCCTGCTCAGCACCAGAGGTCCGGGGTAGTCGGTCGCGTATCTGCTCGGCAGAGGGAGCCTTATTTCCGCCGAACCAACCACCGTACCTGTCCTGCTCAGCACCGGACCCTTCGGGCAAATGCTTCTGGACGTCAGCTCGTGAAGGAAGTTTGTCGCGGCCAAAGTGGCTGCCATAACGATCTTGTTCAGCGCCGGAAGTCTTTGGGAGGCGTCTTTGAACCTCATCGAGTTTGTCTCCACCAAAATGGCTGCTATATCGATCTTGCTCAGCACCCGACACGTGAGGAATATGCCTCTTGAAGGCATCCTTGGCCTGGTCAGCCTGGCCGCTTCCAAACCATCCGCCATATCGATCTTGCTCGGCCCCAGATGTTTTGGGTAAGTGATCATTCACAACATCCTTCAACTGATCTGCTTGGCCTTTTCCAAACCAATTTCCATATCTGTCTTGCTCGGCTCCGGAAGCCTTAGGTAGATGCTGTCGCGCGGCGTCCGCAGCTTGGTCCGCCTTGTCGCCACTGAACCATCCACCAAATCGGTCCTGTTCGGCCCCGGATGTCTTGGGTAAGTGCTGCTGTGCGGCGTCCTTGACTTGGTCGGCTTTGTTGCCGCCGAACCAGCCGCCAAAGCGGTCTTGTTCAGCTCCTGAACCTGTCATCGGGTACAGGCTTCGCAATCAATGGCTAATACCGATTGAGCTCACACACAGGAGATGAGAGTGGTGGCGAGGAAGGTATCGAGTGAGTGATTGGTTACACTGCGGAGCTTGAGGGAGCTTGGGTATTTTGTAATTGAATGCCCTCCCCTGCAGGCCAAAGTAATAATGACGTAAAGTGGTGACATGACGTAGTCGGTCTCAGAACCACATGCGGCTACAAACTCAGAAATCTACAATTTTGGGCTGTCGCGAATTACCATAAATGTGTCAGTTCAGTCGTGTAATGTAATGGCAGTTCATAAGGCTGCTACCATAGCATAACCATTGTGTGACCTGGGGCTGCAAGGATATCTAGGTATGTATGTACTTCGTACCCACCTGTCAACTACTAGGTAGGGTAGGTTAGCGAAACAACAATTGGCCAACTCGTCCATATGCGGTTTCCCATTTTTTGGATGCATTCAGATGAGCGGTAAGGTTCGCCGCATTCTACCAGACGTTTTCCTAACACCTGTTGGGCCCACATGCGCATTCGACCTCGCCCTCCCATCGTCATTTGCATCCTCCATGACCTTCACGCAAATTTAAGTACATAAAGACTATACCTAGGTGCCAGTATGGATGGGCTAGCCATTCGTCCTTACTCCACGCTAGTCTGTGGTAGCAATCCGGCAAGCGATTAATCACATGTGCTTATGGCTTTTGTAGTATGAGCGTGTATCCTAACTGATTGAGAAGTAAGTCAAGCTAAGCAATGGGAGCCATGGATTTACTAGGCCTCAAAGTCGATGGTCTGCGGTGATGCAATGCTGACTGTAAGAGGATGGAGGCACAGGCATGGAAGCTGCAAGAGCAAAGTCGCACACACAGTGCACAGCAATGATCTGATCGGGCCAACACAATAACATCAATGCGACAGCACAGGAGGGCGAGCACCCGGGGAGGACGGTGTGCATCTGGAAATGCAAGGTGTATTGCAAGGTGTATCAGCCTGTCGCTTGAATCTACGATGCATCTAGACAATCCTTCGTGTTGGGCAAGGCTGTTACAATGCGCTAATCAGGACTCGACACAGAAGCGCTTCACGAAACCAGTCCACATCGCTAAGCGATGCATCCCGAAAGCCTGATTGGCCCTGCAATGGTATGTTGCTAAAAAGGAGAGAGGAGAGTGGGGACCCAAGCACCGTGGCCGTACTGTCGGGACCTGCCGCGGCCAGTGGAAGGATCGTGGCGCTTATCTCTGCGTTTTGTTTGGCGAACTTGAAGCGCCTGAACGGCCATATGCAGGCTATAGAGAAACCTTCGACCCCTGCAGATCAGTTACAAAATCCTGCTGTGCCACATGCCTGTTGGTGTGGTGAATGGAGAGTATGAAGTAAGATATGTATCTAGTCCGGTAATTCGCACAGCTTCTATTGTTGGGGCTCTTTGAACCTAGAATCATCCACCCTTTCCTAACAAGCCTTGGCTATGACCTGACTCTGGGCTTGTTAAAGAGACATCTCCTCGGTCACTCCCTCCAAACAAGGCGCCAAAGGCTTGTTGTATATATACACTCTGTTCGTTCCTGGAATTTGGTCGTCCGGGAGGCTAGACCTTCAATTGAGCATCATCATGCCGCCACTACTGTCCAACCGGCCCAATTCCCTGGCGGAGGCCCAAGAGATAGTTGCAAGAATATCCGATGATCATGGATATATCAGCGAGGATATTCTCAGCTCTATGACAGCGGTTCAGAGGAGGGCAGTTGTCGGGGCTATGCTAAAAAAGGATGGCATGATCGGCTCATCGGTGATTACGTGGGTGCCCCCTCCCAGTCAACAGCACAAGAGACCTAGAGCCCCATTAACTTTCCTGGTAGCCTCGCGAAAAATCTATACAGTAGCAGTGCACGTTTCGTTTTCGAATTATTACAGAATGCGGACGACAATGACTACACAAGAGCGAAGTCCAGCGGCATTGAGCCTTACGTATCCTTTGAGATCGTCTCGGACAAGATTGTCATGGAATGTAATGAAGATGGCTTCACCAAAGAGAATCTTATCGCTATATGCGATGTTGGCAAAAGCTCAAAAAGTGGTGCTCAGGGGTACATTGGCGAGAAAGGTATTGGGTTTAAGTCTGTTTTCATGGCTGCCTATAAAGTCCACATCCAGTCAGGAACTTTTTCATTCTCATTTACCCACCGCCATGGAGACTCTGGCATGGGTATGATATCCCCAGTATGGGAACATCCCGACGCACAATTATCTCGAAACATTACCAGAGTCACACTGCATCTTCACGATTCGGGATCAGCATCCGATATGGACGGTCGGCTCGAGCAGATAGTGCAACAATTTCGCGAGATTCAAGGCACGCATCTCTTGTTTCTCAGGAAGATCCGACGCATACATATCAAATTTTCAATTGGAGATAAAGGCGAACAGAGCAAAACCACCTTCGAAGCAGCAAACTCTCAACTTGGTGGCCGTGTTACTTTACACAAGGTTGTGAATGGTAACCTGTTGGAAAAGGCTCAATATCACGTTACGAGACACACAGCTCAGGGACTTCCAAAAAGCGAGAACAGAAATACCATGGGGTCCGAACACACTGCTTCAGCGTTGTATACTGCCGAAGTAATTCTCGCTTTCCCCCTGAACAATGAATCGCCGCCTGCGCCCTTCATCAAAACCCAGCAGATATACGCGTTTCTTCCGATCAGAGATATGGGCTTCAAGGTATGTTGATTTTGTATTCTTCATGATATCCGTGCTTGGCGTACTGACTTATTCAAGTTCCTCATCCATACCGATTTCGTTACACAAGCAACCCGCCAGGATATTGTGACGACATCGCCAAGAAACAAGGCCCTTGTTCCTCATATTGCTACCGCCTTTTCCAAAGCTATGGAGCAACTTTGCCAGGATGAGGCCCTCCAGTTTCAATGGATGAAATATCTGCCTCAGGAGGACGACTATCCCTGGGATGAATACTGGAAAGAGCTCATTGCTAGTATGAAGAAAAGTATTGCTTCAGTAAACTTGATGTACCCGAGAAATGGGGGTTCCTTGAAGACTACAGCTCAAGTTAGGTACCTCACGGACTTCGGGCGGGATGAAAACGGCGCCCCGTTGTTCGCCGACATTGCCCCCGAAATCTATCTTTCTGAAAAGTATACGTGTAATCCCTTGATATATTTACGACACTGGGGCCTTAAGGTCCCATATATGCAGGAATTTCTCGATCGCGTCGAAGCAGACCTTTCTCAAAAGACGTCACGACTCAAGTCGCCCCTATCGTCGCAAAGATGGCACTCCAATGCTGCAAAATTGATAAGCTACCCTTTCGAAAGGGAGTGGACTTCAGAAATCACAAAAGTGCGTCTATTAAAGGTGATACCCTTGGAAGATGGGAGATGGATCTCGTCTCGCCCTAGCAGCCGCCCTATTGTTTTCCCCAGAGCCAATGGTGTTCGTATTCCACGAGATCTGGAACTAAACATCATTGCTGAGGCGGCCATTGAAAACGTTGAACGAGTGAAGCTTTTTGAGCAGCTTGACGCGCAGACGCTTAAAACAAGTAGGGTACGGGAAATGATTCTTAGCAAATATCCAAGCGTCTTCAATAAGGAACGCGCTTTTGGATCAACAGGGAAGGTGGATGAGATTTCTCGGTCACATCTTACATTCCTATACCAAACCCACGACTCAAGCCACCGAGACGAGTATCGCTGGATCCGAGTCTTGACAGAAACGCAACAACTACTTTCACCACAGTCTCAAGATGTCTATCTGTCGAGCAATCATAAATATGGTGTGAAGCATCTTTTGGAAGATATACCCAAGTTTCCCGTGGCCTTTCTATCGTCGGTTTACCTGGACAAGCCTCCAGAATGTTTAGATGGGAAAACGCCCAAAATAGCGTGGAAACACTGGCTCGAATCATCTCTTGGGCTTCAAAGTCGGCCCAAGTTGATAGCCAATGGTGCCTTCACGGACTTCTTTCGGCATTTGGTAAATCACAGAAGTTGCGACCTCGTGGGTATATTGCAGCATTACTGGTCAGACATCAGTGAAACGGTACAAGGAAGTCAGAAAATCAGGGATGAGATTGCCGACATCGTAATTGAGTCTGGTGATCGAAGCCTTTCCCTGAAGCACTGGTTTCTCCCCACGAAAGAATTGGAAACTCGAGCTTCGGAGTACTTGGAGGGGAAATGCAACGCCAGGTTCCCTTTCTTAGACTTGAGTAGCACCATGGAACCCACCGACCTATCCAAATGGGGCTTCCTCCATGATGCCTTTGGTGTTGGCATGCACGAAAACACGAAGTTCTACATAACGCTCCTGGAGATCATACGCGACCAACACCGCAGCCCCAACGTGGAGATATCTATAAAAGTATATTCTCTTTATGAGAGAATTCTTTTGAAGACGAGGGAGTCATCCGATGCAGAGACCCGTCGACGAAATCAGGAAGAAATTCGGTGAGTTAGAGAGTCCTGCTTGGTTGAACTACTCTGACATCGCTTAGAATAGGTTTCGAGGATCGTGATCAGGTATTATTGCTACCCGGTCGAGACTCCTGTCAATGGTGTTGGGCATATCCTATTAAATGTAGATGGGATGCGCCTTCTACAATGACATCGTGCTATCCGGTGAAATACCGGTTTGACCATACTCTCAAGAGTAACGAGATTGGTGGAAGGCTGTTGGAGCAATTCCTCCGCGACATCTTGTCAATCAAGGACTGTACATGGCAAGATTTGGTTCGTGAGCTCGTCATTCTGAGCTCAAAAAACAGTGCTGAAGCTCCGACGGAGATCTACACGCACCTGTCGAAGTTAGCTCCAAAGCTATCAGTGACGGAGCGGGAGCGATTAATGTAAGCTTGAACTCGACATCTTGACACTCCGATTCGAGTGACTGACAGGTTTTAGGAATAACTTCAAGGAAAAGTCTTTAATTTTTGCCTCAAAATCTTGGCACACCACGGACGACTGTCTTTGGTCGACTGCCACGAACATAGATGGGAAAACTTCACTGAACGAAAATTATCCTGACCTAGAAAAGTTCTTCACAAGCGTCCTTGGAGTCAAAACCTTAACGGCACAAATGGTGTACGAGAAGCTGATACTTATGGGGGAGTCTGGTGGTTCGTCAATTGGACATGTCAAAGATACCTGGAAGATCTTCAATTCGCTCCTATCGCAAACTGGGAACAAGCCAGACCCCACCCCTATACTAGAAGCTCGCTTGTTTCCCGTTGAACACCCCGATGGACAGGTGGATCTTTGCACAGTATCTACCCCGTTTGCTCTCAAAGATCAGAAAATATTCGTCCGATACTTCTCAGGAAAAGCCAACTTTCTCAATTTCGACTTTGAGGAAACGCTCGAGCTTCAGGAAACCTTTGAATGGGCTGGGCTTAATGTCCGCTCCTTGAAAATAAGCGTCAATGAGGTTTCAAGAATGATGACTGCCTCTCAGCTTCCTATCTCCTCCTCGGATCGTGATTTGGCACCAAAGGCCCACGGTTTGTGTCGGTAAGGTCTCAGACTCAGCCAACCTCCTCCTGAATACAGACTAATACTTTGTGCGGATAGCATCGCAAGACATTGCAAAAGCCCCAGGGCAAAATCGGAACCAGAAGCACTGTATGCGTTGCTTCAGAAAGCACAAGTCTGGGAGACCGATTGCATTTCATCTCGACTCCAGCTTCAGCAGGGAGATCGGTTAATCGAGGTAGAAAGCCAACGAAGCGACCTCCATGTCGCGGAAGAAGAAGATTCGATTCAGGTGTATGTCCCGCGCGATAGCGGGCTTCAGCAAAAATGCTATGTCCAAAATCTCCCAAAGCTTCTCCACAAGTGGATGATGAGCGAGCAGTACTCAAACGTGCCTACACGAGATAGTGAGAGATGCATCAACTTACTCAAAAGCATCCTCACCCTTCCTCATGGGTTAATTGGTGAGACGTTGGACGAGGAGGGTGTCACGGAGCTCAGTTTCCTGGACGAATACCAATCTGCATCTGAAGGCGATGCACAAATCGACAGGGCTACTGTGCCTCGCACCCCTGGTCGCCAGACGGGATCCCGAGCTTCAGATCACGGGGGACGGGTACCTGCTCTACATGGTGATGCGGATGCATCCCTATTTGATTCGGAAGGTGAGACATATGTTGAGGAAGTGGAAACGCCAGCTACGTCCTTGTTCCCCACGCCAAGCTCAGGGATTTGGAGGGCTCGCGACTCAGTCAGTCCCGTTCGAATGCCACGACAACACTCATCAAACGATACGTCGTCATACTTCATCTCACGAAGGAACCTTGCTTCGAGCGCCCTCGATACATTCTCCGTAGGAGCCGACTACGTCACGTTGCTTTCCAAAGTTATTCACATAGCGCGAGGATCTTCGCTCCCCCGCAAGGACAGTTTTGACATCACGCGTCTTCGCCGGGCGATATCCGACCTTGACACCCCAGACGAGGCACCTGTGGGAACCAGTTTCTACGCCAGCAGTCCGTTAGAAAGGGACAGGATGGTCGGTGCTGCCGGCGAGCTATATGTGGGTCCCTTGATTCTAACACTCTAGTCAAGCTCGTTGCTAAGTCAATAACACAGGTTTTCGAGCTCCTTAGTCGGATGAATCCCAGACTCCCCAGATTCTCGAGAGATAATTGGCAAAGCACGATCCGAAAGTATGTAGGCAAGCACCCGGAATACGCCGATATGAACCCTTGGAACGGCCGCGAAACAGCCGACATTGTATACAAAGACGCGTCGGGCGTCCTGACTAGCACTCTCATCGATCATGGCTATCTCGATGAGGATAGATGGGCAGAGCGGCGGCCGGAATATCTCATCGAAGTGAAGACCACAACAGGACCCTGTGAGACGCCATTTTTCATGAGCAAGGGCCAGTACAAAAGGGTACGAAACTAAATCCCCAACTTATTACGTCTTGTACTAATGCACGCGCGTAGATGCGAGAAAAGTCGACGTTGACTTTGCCTGAGGCATCCGCCGACATCTATGTAGTATTCAGAGTATCGAAGCTTGCCCAGGAATCGATGGACGTGGCAATCTATGTAGACCCCGAGTACATGAGGCAGAACCAGAGCCTAGTATTCACGCCCGAGACTTACTCCGTCACCCCCGGATCGGGCTTGGGATTTGTGGGTACAACCGGTTTGAGTGATAACGGCATCTAGGAGCTGCCCGGAGCCGCGTAGTGGTACTAGTGTGTATTCAGTCTTTAAATTTATGAACATGACACTTCGGGGGCACAGTATAGGAAAAAAAAAACCGGAATCAGTCAGATTATTCAAATGGATTTCATCAGCTTTTACCATTTATTCCAACGTAAGAGGGTACTGTTCTGTGAAATGTCGTATCGTTGCGTTTTTTCTTGAGTATACCAAGGCTGCCAAATTCTAAAAATCAACCTCAATCAAAGGACACTGCGTGAAAGTCAAATTACGTGGCTGACGATGCACCACCACGTCGCACAAGACATTAAGATCTGGCCCAAGGTGAAGATAGATCGCTCGGATCGGGCCCGGGTGTGGTTTTCTAAACCCAGGTTCCTGGCCAATGGACCGAAGAAACTGATATTCATAATGGTTCGTGTGATTGAACGTGGTGCCATCCTCCAAGATCGGGAATTCAAGCCGCAAGTGCGAAATTTCGCTACAAATCTGAAAACTCAGCTGCCACAGAATTCCTTCTCGGTTGTTGAAATGGTGTGGGTAGACGTTTGAGCCCTCCAATGGATAGGGATGTTGCCAACGGCCTGGGAACAGGGCCGATTTTTGCAGTAGATCGTCCATGCCAAAGAATGCAATGCGCAGTATTGCATTCTGATCATAGTATTCGCACCGGAAAACCCACGTTTTGTTCTTCGGGAACTTGATATCTTGGTTCTTAGTCGTAATATTACTGGTAGAATTACCCGGGGGCGGTGGTTCATTGCGCTTAAATAGGTCAGCCCAGCTGCCCTCACCAGAGGGGGCGGAGCGGGTGGAAAAGGCGGCTGGTAGAATCCGAGAGATGCTGTGCCCGACGCCGAAAACGACTAACGGTATCGCCAGGCTGCTATCACGAGTTAGATGCTTGGCGAACTCGTCCGCAAAACACACCGCCACTAATTGGGAGAGGCGACAGATGTATGCAAGCCGCATAATTGTTCGGTATGATGGTAGTGAGGGTCTTCGAAAGCAATAATGAGTTGGTGAGATTTGAGTTGGTGAGCAGTAACCCTTACGGCGCTTTTATACCTGTTATCTTTGGTTTAAACAGCAATGTAACATGAGGTCGTCAATCCGACTGACGATGAGGATTCCTGACAACAGATGTGTCCAGAGCAGTCCTGGTCGACTCAAGGCTACATGCCACAGTCAGGAGAATTAAATCTAGTTAATTATCTGGAAATATGGCGAGTTTTCATGAGAGTACTATCATGCAAGTCTAACAACATCAATCCTGTAAGGGATTAATGAGCGATTACAGGTCTTGGACGAGATTGATAACATCTATTCCTGTGCTCTATAAGTGCTTAAGCCGTCAACAACAAAATCACTGCGGATCATGTCATGTTATGACGTGGGGTACCGAGATTGATTTCATTTGTCCCTGATATGGTATGTCAAAATGATGAGGTCTTATAGAGTTGAACATGGCATGGCATAGTACTCCGTAGACGCGCACTTGGTGGAATGGAATAGCATGGCTACCCACTTACCAACTTGATCGCTCCTGCGCTGAATTAGGCATTTATACTAAGTCGTGATGATTCACTTTTGAAATGATCATCTCACAGGCCTTGGGATTCCAACGACGCCAAAATATGGCACCAACTCATTCAAGTTTCTCCCCAGGCACTACCCGATCTGGCAACCCGAGAACCGGCGGACTAGTGTAGCGGGGCGGAATGTTCCGGCCGGGCGGCCGATAAACGTGGAGACCCGGACCTCGGAACCGCCACTCTGATCTATTCACTTCTCCCTCGACCTCTTTTGCGACGAAGGCTCTCCTCCCCACGATCACTCTCCACAACACGGAACCAGCGAGCTTGGCTACCAGTCGAAAGCCTACTCAGCCAGCCAGATTCGACGTTTACCCATCCAATTCAAACACCCGCCGTCCAAGAGCAGTTCCCTGCCGACTGACCGCGAAAATGTCCACACGCCTGCCCTCGCTGGCCCGCCATCTGGCCCAGCGCACGACAAGCCTCCGCGCAACATCTCACCCGACCATGGCTCTCCCGCTCCAGCGGGCCGCCTACTCCTCCTCCTCCTCGCCGAGCGACAACCCCTTCGCCTCGTACCCGGCGCCGCCGCGCCTGCCGGCCGCGGAGCAGGCCGAGTTCGAGCGGCTGCAGCGCAGCGCCAACACGCAGGAGCCGCTGGACCCGGTGGCGGCGGAGGCCGCGACGGCGTCCCAGGCTGCCAGCAGCAGCAGCCAGATCAACCCGGATCCCCAGGGCGTGCAGTCTCCGGTGGCGGCCGAGGCGCTGACGAACCGCGCGACGCTGGGCGAGACCAGCAACCTGCCGCTGCGGCGGGGCGCGCCGCCCGAGTTCGAGGGCGACGTCAACCCCAAGACGGGCGAGGTCGGCGGGCCCAAGAACGAGCCGCTGCGCTGGGGCCACGCGGGCGACTGGAGCTACAACGGGCGGGTGACGGACTTTTGACTGAGCAGCTGGAGTCACGGGGATTTGGTGGGTGGAAGTTTGCTGTGAGTTTGAGCAGACAGAGAGAGAGAGAGTGTGTGTGTGTGAAAGAGAGGGTGAGAGAGCGACTTAGGAAGGGGGAAGCTTCGCTTTTGGATGTAATATATATGCTGTACACTATTTTCTTACTGCAAGGCCCCTAAGCCCGCCTGGGGGCCAGAGGCAATAATAATACCCAAAATCTACGAAACCCCGTGGATACGTCTCTCTACGGTTCACAGAAGCGTATCTAGCCAACGGGCATGGACGATGGACTTTGGATGTGGCCTCAAAGTGCAGCTGGACATTGTCCATGGAGAGACGTACGCCCCGGGACAGTTATAGTCCAGGTTTCCACTCAACGAAAATCATACCCATGATAGTAACGTGTATTATACCTCAAAATCGGGGTTACCTCATCAAATATACACAGACAAAGCTAGAGAACACGCCAAAAATTACCTCTCATGGCACATTGTACTAGAATGGAAAATTCCTGTCGAGTTACCACACTGGGACAAATGTCTGACCGCTGACTAGGGCCATGGATTCATCTTTACTAAGCTCGAAAAGAGTGTAATGCAATACATAAACTCACTCACCTGCTTGCGCTGGGAAGACTGTCCTCAGGCATATCTGTGTAGCAACATATTGCCAGTAGTTCAGAGGCCAGCACATCCAGAGGCAGCCGGGAAGCTATGATAGAATTGTTGGCAGCAAGTTCCAACACGTTTCGGGTCTGGTGCTTTATCGAAAAGAAAACATCCTGCGTCAAGTAAGCACCAGTATTCAGAACAGAATGATGGTCGTGCTCATATGCATTGTTGCGAGAAAGCAGGGCGATAAATTGGCTGCAGGGAGGCGAGGTCGACGTATTTGCCCGACATGGCAAAAGAGCCCTTCTCGAAAGGCGGTCAGGGCAAACTCGGCATCGGCAAGCAGCGTCATGCGGCATACCAGTCCTGCCAGTCATGCAAACACTTTATCGGGGCGAGAGTATGCGACACGAATTGACGGCGACAGCCAATCGCATGGCCCAGGTCGACATGGGGGTTCCGTGATAGAGAGCTGGAATCTGCATGGCTGATGCTGCAAAGCAATGTGTTGGCCTGCATTGGCATGTAAGCACATAGGAACTTGGGGCAACAAGACTCCAGCATTCTGGTCGTGGCAGATCCGCGCGCGAGCGTGCGTCGCATTAATAATGACGGACGCGAAGTGGACATGGCGAAAGTGCTGGATGGCGCGCGCTGCCCTACGGTTCCAGGACGGGCAGATGGACAGGGATAGGCCCATGTCGGTGCGACCCGCTTGAGGAACGACCCCTGCCGGATCCCGTCAGTTGGTGCGGATGTTCAATTTGTGGAAGACGCGTGCATAGCTTCAAGACACGACCTAGGCCTTGCTAGAAGGTAGCGGGTAGCTAGCTGATCAAACACCACCGCCAGGACTCGGCGGGTTAGCAGCAGCAAGTCGCAGCGTTGGTCCGCTCAGATCGATCGTGGATGTGCTTCAGCGATGGAAGTAGATACGTTGCGGTTCCCCGTGGGCGGCACTGTCAACAATGTTGAACCTAGCAGGGGAAGTTTCATCTGATTCCTGAGATACCGACGACCTTCGAGACGGAGTGAATCCATGAAAATCAGGGGACTCGGCAGACAGTGGGGCCCAGGCGCTGGCGTCGGGTTTTGCTTTCTTTGGCGCAGACCACCAGTTCTTTGGGGAGGTGGCTGCTCTCGCGCGAGAAATACTACCGGTATGTACATGATAACGTCAGAGCCTCGGGATGGGATCGCGCCCATTGGCCGCTGGTTCCTGGCAGGTCGAGACTTGCAGCTCGCCGCATGAATCGGGCATGGAGATGTGGCTTTCTGATGAAGCTGATTCCCCTACCCTGTGCCTGGCCTGGCTCCTTCACCGGGGACCTTGTGGGAATGCTGCTGCGAGCCGCAAACCTTGGGGAGGGTGATTTACCCGTGGATGATCTACTTGTACAACTCACCAACCAACCCAGCGAGCATCGAACCCGCGTTCCAGGCGCTTGTTTGTGCAGTGACTTGCATGCCGGGGCGGGGGGCCCTCTGGCTGGGGTGCGAGTGCGCTGTCATGCACGTTTCAACATGACAAACGACTGGGACGGTGTGATGATTCGTAGCTCGTGTCGAACCGGCAAAGCGTGCCGTTACAGAGCAGCTGAAAGGAAGGTATGAATGTGACGGGAGACGTGCCTCATGGGAAGTGGCGAAAGCGCTCCCCCTGAGGAAGCGAGCGACAGCTTGTTTTGAAGCGGCGTAAGATCCTACCGAGAGCTGCTTGTGCAACCACATTTGTCTTCTGCGTGGGCGCTGGTAGGCAAAGAGCATTCCCATCCTCTGATGGTGGTGATGCGTGACCAGAAACATGGGAAAGGGACAAATAGCTGGGGTCGCTTGTGCAAGGGGGGCGGATGGGCGGATGGGCGGATTTGGCAGACACTGGATTCGGGGGGTGGTGGCAGCAAGGGGGCGGCGGCCGCGGCGGCAGGGCCCAGGGGATGGGCCTGGCAACTGCCCGGGGCCTGTCGCCAGCGCGGGAAATGCTCGAGAGGCGGGCTGGCGCGGAGCAGCCAAAATAGAAATCGGATTGGACGAATTGGTGTTGGTGGGTGGCCCCCGATGACAGCTACGACTCGAGCTCGAGCGACACTGGACCTTCGTGCCTGGTGCTGCCTGGTCGGTGCTGTGCACAGACAGCAGCAGAAGAAAGCTTGGGCGCGCGACCAACTCCCGGGGTCAGAGGTGTGAGGTTTTGTGATGTGATTGATCTGCTTCCATGTCTCTGAGGTTGCCGCCGCCGGGACGAGTCGCAAACTATATGACTACAGAGGTGGGCATCTCTCACCGGTGGTTGCTATGGACCCAGTTGGAAAGAGGAGGGGAAAAAAAGAAAAAGAAATAAACAAGTCAGAGACACCGAGACGGAGAATGGCATCTCGGTCGCGCATCACCATCAGCCAGATGACATTTTCGTTTTCGTCAAGGGACCGGACGGCATAACTAGGGTGGTGTCAAGGTGTCACAGGCCTGACAAGCATCCATGGATCATTGACGCACTTTTTTTTTTCTTTGGGTGATCCGCAGCCCACCCGGAGCAGGGATCAGCAGCAGGGAAAACAGGGGTGGAGGCCCCCCGTCCTGGCCGTACTATGGTAGAGCTCCAAAGGCGGTCGCATCCCTGCGCATGCTTGACAGAGTTTCCCCCTTCAGTGGGCCCGCTAGCGGCTGGCTAGCGCTGGGGTGGGAGGGAGACTCGGGGGCCGGGCCAAGCTGGTTCCTGTCGGTCTGCATGCCCCATGCAAGCTGGTCAAGCTGGGCAAGCTGGCAGGGCAGTGGGCAGTAGTCAGGCAGGGTACCTGGGTACGTTGGAAAGGTTTCTGTCTGGCGTCAGTGGGTTTTCCCTGGTGTGCCGCTAGCCCCAGGCCGAACCTGGCGCGGGCTCGCTGGAGAGTTTCGGTTCAGATGGGCTTTCCTTGGGGCAGGGTTCCATGGAAGGTCGTGTTGGTCCTGCTCCAGCACAGCAGCCCCCCGTGCCCCCGGCCCCCCCCCCCCCCCAGTACGGTACAGTAGGTACCCTTGGGCCTTTAGCGGGTACACCCAGCCAACCTTAGCTGCTGCTGCTGCTGGACTTGGTGCTAGGGACCGCCTGCGCTGCCGCCAACCCAACCTTGCCCCGGATTTCCAGAAACTCTTGCCTGCCTGCATCTTTTTCTCTGCTCTCTGCTCTCTGCTCTGCCTGAGACAGACCAGACGGCCAGCCCTTTTCCCGGCTCTCACCTTTCTGAAGTTTCTGCGGATCGCATCACACATGACAACAGGAAATCCATGAGCCACCCGCCCAGCCCCGAGACGTTGCCGGCGACGAGTTCGAGTTCGAGTTCCCCCCGTCGTCACCGTCGCTAGCTCGCCCAGAGCAGCACCCGCCGCCCCGGGCAGCAAAAACGACGACGAGGTGCGAGGTTAATCCGAGCTAGGACCAGACCCAACGACCGCCGACCGCCAGCCGCCTTTTCGCATTGGGCTCTCCCTCTCTCCTCCTCGCCCGTCATGGACCCGAGGCCACCACCACCACACCAACCGCCGCCGCCGCCGTCGTCACAGCACCAGCACGGTGTGCCCTTTGCGCGAAACCCATCGTCGCCCCCCTACGGTCGCTCTCCCTTTCCGCCCGCCGCCGCCGCCAACAACAACAACAACAGCAGCTATCCTCCTGCCTCGCACCCGCCCTCGCATCCTACCTCGGCCAGTCCCGCCGCCTATGGACCAGACCACCAGCGACGGCCCTCCGCAGACGCCCCGACCTACTTCCCGCACCACCACCAGCCTCAGCAGTCCCGAATGCCGTTCGGCCCCGGCCCCGGCTCCGACCCAGCCTCCCATCCGGGTCCCTCCCACTCGCGCCATCAGAGCTCCTCCTCCATCGGCGCCGGGCCCCTGGGTCGCAAGATGGGCCCCCCCTCGCCGCCTCCACAACAGCAGATGGGCCACTACGGCATGCCGCCTGCCCCGAGGGCCCCTCCGCCCAGCATCGGGCCACCGGCCGCATTCCCCTCGGCACGCGAGCTGCCAGCCCTGAATTCCATACCGAGGACCGGCAGCACTGGTGGCAGCATGTCTATCGCTGGCATGCTTGGAGCAGGCTTGGGCGCTGCGCCCAGGGAGCCCACGCCCGGCAGCCACCCGTCCGCGCATGCAGCTCCGTATCCACCGCCCAGCACGACTCCTGGGTCGGCGGGGCCCGGCCCGGCGTATGCGGGCTCCATTCACGCCTCGCCGAGGATGCAGCACGCTGCCGCCGACTTTGGCCCCTACTCGAGACGGCCACAGACCCCCACCGACCACGCCCGCCCGTACGATGCCCGCGATCAGAGAGGGAGCGCCGCAGGTTCTCCCCCGCAAGCCGTGTACGGCACCCCAGAGGTCTTGAGATATGGCACGCCCCAGGCACATCCTGGCAGAGGGCCGCCGCTGGGCCCGGCCGACGATAGAAGAGATCAGTCGGGTCGCATGTCGGCCGGAAGCCTGCCTCCCAGGCCGAGCAGCCAGCCGCGAGCCTACCACGGCCCTGGCAGATCGCTAGACATGGGACGGGGCCCTCCCCCGGGGGAGCCCTTCTATGGGCCCCGCCGAGAGGAACTGCGGCCCGGACAGGCAGAGTACAACCCAGAGGGCCCGCCCCGGGGTATTCCGTACGACGAACAACGCCGCCTCATGGATCGTGATCGCGAGTACCGGGAACGCATCGAGAGGGACGCCGAGCTTCGTGAAAGAGACCGCATCAGCAGGGCCCGTTTTGAGGAGGAGCAGCATCGTCTCCACCACCAGAGGCCGCCCTTTATGTCAGAGCGCGAGAGGATGGAGCAGATGGAGCGTGAGCGTATGGAGAGGGACCGCGAGTTCGAGATGCGCGAGAGAGAGAGGAGAGAGAGGACCTCCTCGGATCCGAGTCGGCACGGCGGGCGTCCTGGCGACTTTGGGCCTCAAGGGGGTCCTGGCTCGCAGGGTCCTCCGCCCTACGGCCGCGACCCCCGAGATGCCGCCCCCGGGTGGCAGCTACGTCCAGGGTTCGAGCAACCGCCGCCGAGGCCGTACGACCAGATATACGGGCCACGTCCGGGGCCGAACGAGCATCCTGCATCGGCCGCCCCACAATATGGGGGATATCCTGCTCATTCACAGCCGCCCCCCGACCGGTATCCTCCCGGTGGGCCTCCACCTCCACACGCCGTGCCCGTGTCCCAGCCAGGCCCAGGGGCGCCTCAGCCGTACGAGTCTCCCGATCGACATCGGTTTGCGCACCTACCCCCGCACCATCACCAGCAGCACCAGCCACCTCATCGAGGCCGCCCAGGCGACGAGGGGCCACCTCCTCCGTCCGTGGCGTACAACGGCGGATCTGCCGCCCACCTGGCCGAATCCTCGCGCCCGGCTCGTCCCAACGACGATGGCGGACCAACCCCCCCACTGGCTCGCCAGCAAAGTGGAGGCTTCCTGGCCATCGGGGAGATCAACCGCAAGGGACGTGTTTCTCCGCTCCCCCAGGCCGTCCAGGGAGCGCAGCCGCAGTCTGTCACCCCCGCGGCCGAGCCGGGCATCAAGAGCGAATTCGGCCGCATGTTTTCCGGCATAGGAAGCGGTGCGAGCGCGTTCGGTGTCTCGAGTCCAGCGCCCTCGCATCTCCCCTTTACGAACGCTGGTCTGGCTCGTCGCGATGATGCCGAGGCTCCCTCCGAGCCCGCTGCCCCCGAACCACCTGCCAAACCTGCCCGCAAGCGGAACAGGAAGACCAAGGATGAAGACAGCAAGGGCGACGATGACAGTTCAGGCAGGCTTACCCCCGTAGGACGCACAAAGCGCGCAAGAACTAACCACGCCCACCATCACCACCATCAGTATGTGACCACGGACTACTCTATCCGCCAGTCTCAGTATACTAACATGGCTACCTCCAGTCATCACCACCATCACCACCATGTCCCGGAGAGAACAGCTTCTCCGCTGCACCCCAACAACACTCCACTCAAGAACATGAAATCTAGCACACCGGGTCACTCCCCTACAGGCCTGCCGCTGACTCACAACCATCAAATCCCAAGGTCCACCAACAACACAGCTGGTGCAGCAGCGGCCAGGCAGCGAGTGCAAAGTCCAACCATCGTCCCTAAGCCCAAGAGGACCATCAGCTCCCAGCGGGTCCTTGACAGTTGTGCCCACAAACCTCGCAAACATCTCGGGGATGTGGTTTACTCTGTCTCGCTGTCCAAGGAGAAGTTCACCACGCACTCCAAGGATGGCTACAGATCCAACCCGAAACCCTTACCCATGGATCTGATCAAGGACAACGAGAACTCCACTCTCACTGTCAAGGTGCCGAGAGCAAACTTGGACCCGACAGCTCGCGAAGAGATCACAAAGCGTTGTGCCGTTTGGGGAACGGATGTCTACACGGACGACAGTGATGTGATTGCTGCATGTATTCACTCCGGGTGGTTCCGCGGCGAGTGGGGCAGTGATGTTGATGTCGCTCTATTGGAACTGGACAAGCCAACACCGAAATCCAAGCGTGGAGGTGCCACGGCCATTGAGAAGAAACCACAGGACGTCTTGCAGGCACCTCCGACCACTGGTCCGATGCACGTACCTCCGAACCGCGACCTGCACGTCACGATTCTGATTCTCCCCTCCCTTGACATCTACCGCGGTACAACGATGCATGGGCTGCGAAGCCGGGACTGGGGCGGCTCTTCTCACGGGCGAAGGATCACTCATGATGGCTTGAGCTTTAAGATCATGGAGGTTCGCTGGGTGGACGGCGCAGCCCCACAAAGTCGCCTGCGCGGCAAAGCCCGCCGGGAGCGCATCAGGAAGGCCATGAGCGAGGTCCACAGATCTCAGGTTATCGATCTGAGCGGGCCCAAGAAAACGGAACCTCAGGTGTCACAGACGACACCAGCCGTCAATGGCGATGGCGATAAGGAGAACCGCCCCGCCACGAAGGGAACACCGGCAGTAGATTCTGGAAAGAAGGACGGTGCCTGGGCCTTTGTCCAGAAGAATGGCCCGGTGGAGATCACCACCCCCACGCAGGCCACGCAGGCAGTGCGGGAGCCCAGTGAGAACGACGCGCAGCCTATGGATACAGATGACGTCGCACGTGTCGAGGCAAAGACCGCCACAGTTGCCTAAGCCAGGGCCATGCAAGTCTGCCTGGCTTCTAATCTACCCAGTGCCAAGTGACGGATCTCAAACAGAGTAATCACGGAATTCAAAGGCGGTCCCTAGCCTGTCGGAGGGGGTTTCGCATGGCGAATGTCTGGATGTATAGAAGGAGAGAGCGGGTGGAATTTTTTAGGCTTTGCTTTCCTGTTCTGCTTATTCTCTCGAGATACCTTGGGCGGGACGGGAACGGTAGCATAGCGTGGCGTTTGATGCGTTTCGCTTCTTAATGTTTGAGACTCTTTCTACTCCCGTACGCCCGTCGTTGCTCTATCTTCGACTGCATACATCATGTGACCATGCGCTCAGTTATTCGTAGCTGACCCAGACAGAGTCTCATCAAGTAGTGTGGAGTAACCTCGTGCATGGTTGGCTCACCTTTTTGAGTCTGAAGGAGCAACATTGCCTTGCTGAGTATCGCGGTGTGGCATCTCTGTTTCACTATGACTGATGGATCATCTCGGATAGCCAACATGGGGAAAAGTGGAACTCGATATAGAATGGTCCCTGTTTCGTTCAGTTCACGGGGGGCTTGCGTATTGCCGCATGTCTGCAATATCCGGACGAGCCTATGATGGTACACACTTAATACAAACATGTATTCCAACCCAAGAAATGGAATTGAAGGGTATTTATTAGTTCCGCTGGCGAACTAAGTAGTCCAGCTTCCATATTTTCAGAGTGTAAATCACGAGCCCAGCCAGCCCACAGGTTGCCGGACGTGTGAAGATGTCATAAGGCCCTCCCGCAATACGCATCAACCTTTCCCACCCTTACCGCCAGCTAGTGCTTTACACCCTTTTCCTCCTCAACCTCAGCGACCAGACCCGGGGCGACGCCCTCCTGTGCAAGCCCCTTGAGATCCTCCTCGCCCATCTCACCCACCCAACCATTTGCAATGAGGTAGGCCCTGAACTTCTCGTCTTCCATCTTCAGGTCCTCACCCTTGAGATCCCGGACGAACAGCCGGGTAACCAGGACACCCGTGATGCCGCAGATGGCGGCGATGATGAAGGTCCAGCGCTTGCCCAGGTTGTTCTGGATCGGCGTGAAGGCCTCGGTGCCCACGGCCGCGCCGACCTTGCCGATCGCGGCCGAGAAGCCGTAGCAGGTTCCCCGGACCGCCGTGGCGTAGGACTCGCTGCTGATGAGGCCGAGCATGTCGCCGGGCCCCAGGTTGCCCGAGGACTGCATCAGGCCGTAGAAGACCACGAACAGCGGGATGATCTTGGTGATCTGGTCGTACGCGCAGCCGATGATCAGGCCAAAGACGAGGTAGCCGCTGAACCCGAGCATCATGGTGTTCCGCCGACCAATCTTGTTGCAGAGGTAGGCGCCAATGAATACGCCGGGCAGGCTGATGGCGCCTAGGAGGAGCTGATACTCGGCCGTCTTGACAATGTCGGAGCCCTGCACAACACTGGAGATGATGGTCCCCGAGAAAACGCCGTTCGGGAACGTGATAAAGTCGTATAAGAACCAGGCTCCACAAGTACCGATGAGATCCTTCCAGTAGTACTTGAGGACGAGCAGGTAGGGGACCCTCTTCTTGATGGCGCCGCGGCGGTACAGCTTCGAGTTCAGCATCTTCATGCGGAAATAGAAGATGACGATGGGGATGACGCAGCCGATGCCAAAGCACACGCGCCACACGGTGGAAAGCCGCGTCACCCCGGCGGCGGATATGACGATGAGGAAGACGATGACGGCCAGCGGGCCGCCAAACGAGAGCGGCAGGTTGGTGACGAGGACGAAAATGGGCCCGCGGTTCCGGAGCGCCGTCTCGTTCGCCGACTCGCTCGCCGAGGTCGACGCCGCGGGATACTCGCCGCCGGCGCCGAAGCCCACGACGCCGCGCGCCACCGTCAGCATCCAGAACATGCCCAGGGTGGTGGCGCCGTGCGAGGCCGTGGCGAGGATGCCGCCGACGATGACCAGCAGCGTGGTGAGCACGATGGCGAACTTGCGGCCCAGGTAGTCGCACGTCAGCCCGATGGTCACCTGGCCCAGCACCTCGCCGACCAGCAGGGCGTTGGACACCTGCGTCTTGACGGCCGACGTGTAGACGTCCGGGTACTCCTGGGTGAAGAGGACGTTCAGCATGGTCCTATCCCCTTTGGTCAGTACTCTGGCATCGATGACTTGCACGTTGTTAATGAGACACCAACATCAGGTTGTTCTGATAGCTGCTCCGTAAGACATTCGTTAGCAAAGACTATACCAATGTGTCTCATTCTCGCTTCTACGCACCCGTCCGAGGCTAGGCCTGCTCCTGCGGCAATGATGGTGAACAAGTCGGACAGCCTCTGGCGCCTGCTCGAGACCTGCGCCGAGGGCGCTGCGGGGTCTTGGGAGGCGACGGCCGCAAGAGCGTCCGGGGACAAAGCACCCTTCTCCCCGGTGTGCGAAGAGGCAGAGGCCTGCTCAACGTCGCCGATTGGGACGGCACTCGACATGGCGGCAATGCGGGTGGGCCGAGAGCGAGGGCGTTGGGCGCTATAGGAGCCTATTTTGCCTACACCAGACCAGCTGCCGTCCAGTATAAATGGACTGTATCAAACGTTCCACTCGGGGCTGCTCGCCGTGAGAAGCGCAGTATAGTCTAGAATTCAATCCAAACCTACGGCCACGGAGATAGTGCGGTTTGAGGGAGAGGCCGAATTCTTAGGAAACGGGTGGCTGCGGTTCGTCCGCTATTTAGCTGGAGATCTGCGGGCGCGGGCACGCACATACATGGGCGGGCACGTGGTGGCCATTAGCAGCGGCACCAAGGTCGGCGAGACCTACCTCCGAAGATCTCACCCTCCGATGGGAGACGTGCGATCGCGGCTAGCCGTTTAGATGCCGTGCGTATAACGGCCATTTCTCAGTCGGAGAAGTTGGAATCGTACGATCCTCCAGCGCGCCGGCGATGGATTCAAGTCCGGTGCGCTGCGGTCTACGCCAAGGAGAGATGAATCCTGTGCTTCGAGTTCTGGCGCAGCACATTCCAGGTCCATTGAGTCGGCGCACGTGCGTACGTTTTACTGCCGATAGATCCAGGACACTATCCAATTGCCTACCAATTCGGGAATATGACCACGACCAGGGAGATGTCTCGGATCCTTCAACGTCGTCTATAAGTCCCGGTGGGTCGCGCGCTGCCGCTCCACCTTGGCGACTATTACAAGCTTTGTGGCTCCCGCCTTGGCCGCTGCTTGGCATCTCGCCCAACCAGCGTGCCCACGTGCCTACTGGTCTACTGCGCCGCGTTCCAGGCAGGAAATCAACATATATCCGACCACGCGGCCACCCTCCCCGGTCGGTCTTAAGATGGGATTTTCATCATTCGCACCATGGCCCGACATGTCGGTTAAGCGGCCAGGTGGATCATGCAAAGGAAAGCGTAGCGTACCCGGCCAGAGTCCACGTTTGAGTGACTGAGCCATCGAATGAATGCCACGTACCGCTGACCTGGGACGGGACCCTGCATGTGAGAAATTATCATTTCATGTTTCTTTTAAATATGCTTGGCAGTTCACTTTGATTGTTTCTTCCCCCGGAGGATCATGGTCATGCCCCTCAGTGAGATCCGGATTGTTTTAACAGCGAAACCACTGGCCGAGGTCTAGCTAATCTAATGCCACTGTAGATGGGGCATGTAGCACAGCAGAACGTCTCAATACATACCTATCACGCACGGCGCAATCAACTCATCAGTAACGACATCTTGCCCAGGACATTCAAGTGAGTATACATGTGAGTATAATCTCGGACAAGCCCCACATGTACAATCCCAAAGATCACAATCTCACTAAAGTCACTCAAGGTGCGAGGTTATTACTTCGTGAATTACTATGCGGTCTTAGCTAAGTACCTCCTGCCTGTCCATAGGGTGTTTCTCATTGTGGTATGCGTCGAATATATATAGAGGGTATTGATTTATGCAAATGAATGACAGTTGCACACCCCAAGAGCGATAAAACATCCAAACTAGGATCCAAGCGAGGAGCCGCAGGCGGCCTTGTCAACTTGCCTGCCCGCAAGTTTAATGCCAGGTGGCGGGTCCAAGGAACGAGCCATCATCAGGCAGAACCTTGGTGACGGCAGCACCGTCGTTGTCGAGGTTCATCTGCCAGACCGTGTTGCCCCACCAGTCGGGGAACTCAGAACCGCTAAGACCCAAAGCCAGAGCAGCGATGACGACGCAGAGAGCGGTACCGATATCGAGAGCACCAGACATGACGTAGTTGTAGCGAGCTGTGGGTATCCGTTAGTCAATGACTTCCTCCTTATAAGATAGAAAAGGCAGGGAATTGGGAACTTACTCCACCAGCCGAAGAACTTCTTCTTGATAAACCAGTTAAAGGTGAGACCGACGATCACGTATTGACCGAGGTACCACGTCGTTGCTGGGGGAATCATACCAGCAGCTCCGAAGATGGCAGGGAAGAAGACGTATCGGAGGAAGCTGCGGGGGAAGCGCATGGCGAGGAAGTACTGCGCGATCGGGAGAGCGGCACCGATGAGCCAGAACCAGTTGATCCAAGAGAACAGCTGTCCAGCACCGAACATCTTGGCAGGTCCCAGGAGACCCCAGATGACACTGGCGTTGTAGAATGTTCTGGCGTGGGGGCAGGTCAGACCGTTGACTTGCGTCGGGGTGCAGATACCCTCAATGTTGCCTCGCAGGAAGTTGTAAGCAGCAATCTGGACGATCGAAAGCCAGACGACGGCAAACAGTTGTGCGGCGAACCTGATAAATACTGTTAGAAACCCCTTTCGAAATGCTCTTCAAGGGACCAATGCTTTGCTACTCACATGGTTCTCGGGGGGATCTTCATGTAGTGACCGATCTTCATATCGGCGACATACTGGAGTCCGTTATACGCCAACATGTAGCCCCAGCTCTTGAACAACATCATGGCAACAGGGCGTCCTGGAGTCATGTACCCGACAATCATCTCGGTAATAACGTTGAGACCGGTCTGTTGGTTGGTGATGGCCTGGATGATACCGACGGGCAAGATGAAGACAGCGCCAATAATGACACAGAGGAGGTATGCCCACCACTCCAGGTGGGTGTTCCAGAGCCGCGAGGCAATCATTCCAAAGGCGAAGTTGACGAGGAAGACTGCCAGGAACCACCACTCGGGTGCCTCACGGTACTTGCGCATGAGCTTCAAGTGGACATCGGCCTCCTCAAAGCGGGCATTGCGTGCGCGCGAGACGATATCCTTACCGTAGAACAAGGCGACGTGGACGACGGTAGAGATCAGAGTGGCGAAGGACATGCCGTAGGACAGAGAGAAAGCAGGGCCCAGGATCAGGGGAGAGTACTCTTCGTAGGCGGCCTGGTCGAAGGTGTAGTCCTTGGTCAGGATTCTCGAGGTGTTGTACGCGGCGCCAAAGTGGTCGAAGTTTTGGTTGGCTGAGATGGGGAGGTACTGCATGAAGTCCGGACCAGCCCACGCAAGACCGATACAACCCAGCATCATGATTACGACACCGGCAGCGACGTTGAGCAAGGCAAAGGCAGGGGTCTGCAGAGGGCTGCCCAAGAAACCGGTCACGATACTCCAGTCGAACGAGAGGGGGATCAAACCCAAACCAGTCTGGCCACCGAAGATCTGGTTGACAACCACGTTCTCAGGGGCGATCCAGCACACAAAGGTGAAGACCTGTAGGAAGGTGGCCATGACCTGGGGGATCCATTCGTAGCAAAAGCAGCCAAGCGCCACGAGCAAGAAGAACTTATAACGGCCGATTCTCCAGCCATTGGTCAAGGACGGGTCTGAGGGGGAGTGGTCATGCAGCGAGTACATGACGGTGGTATAGATCAGAGTCGCGGGCCACACCATGGCAGCGGGCCAGACCAAGAAACGGCGTAGCAAGCCGGCCATACCGAAGCCCATGGCCTGGGTGGAGATGATGAGGAGAACCTGGAAGCCCCAACCAAAGAACTGCTTGTAGAAAACCTCCTGGGCCAGAAGGATATCGATGGCGTAACTCGCAGACGCACCGGCAGCCGTCATGACAGTGATGATGGTGTGCTCCTTCACGTTGAACGGGCCAGGGTTCAATTCCAGCACATGTCCAAACAGCTTGAACGACTTGTTAGGCATAACCGCGTGCCATCCCTTGCCAATGCTGCACTGGCCGTCAGTAATCGACTCAACAAGTGCGTGGCGAAGCTGGACATGGGGACAACTCACGGGTAAGCGATCAGCTGCACGACAGTGGCAGTAATGTAGGTTGGCGATCGACGCAGACCGAGCAAGATGTTGCAGGCGGCCACAACCGTGCACAGCAGGAAACCAATACTCCAGGCACGGATAGTGTTGACGGGCATCTCGGGGTCATCACCCGGGCGGACCTGTCGCGGGCGTTAGAACCTGCATGATTGGGCAGAGGAAGGCCGGTCTACTCACAGCACTGCGAACTTCGGGGTACGGGCTGTCTTCCACCAGAAGGGAGCCCTCGAGGGCAGCCTCCTTCTCGACATCACCAGAGGCCAAGGCATTGTCGACGTTGTCGAGCTTCTCGGTGTCCAGGAAGGGGTCCCACTTGTGAAGGCGCTTGAACTTCTTCAAGTCGGCCTCCGGGTGGACCGTCTCGCCGCCGACCTCGTAGGTGGCACCGGACGTGTAGGCTTCATCGCCCTCGACCGGTGCCGCATTGGTCTTCCCACGCCATGAGAAGCCCATCTTCGCCTTGTTCCTTTGCTAAGGGCTCGGGGCAAGATTGTGTTGACTTGTTGGAGCAGCTGCACGCCGAGAGTCCAGCAAGGTCGGAGCGTGATCTCTCAGGCAGAGTTCATAGGGGAGGGGTCCTAGGGGGTATTATTTATGTGCTGCATGAGCAGGTATATGGCTGGGGTGGCAAGGCCGAGACGTCTTAACCCGTCTACTATCAGCCCGGCGACAGCGCTGCACGCTGGGGTTCAGGCCGGATGGCAGGTAGGTGGCCGGATGCAGTCTTGGCGGGATGGAAAGAGTGTCCCAATATGTCGGAACACCTTGAAACTTTCTCAACACCTTCCCTATCCAGCAAGATGAGAAGGCTAGTGAGCCGCAGCCATCTCCGCAGGCCCCCGAATCCATGGGCGAAGGACGAGAACGCAGGTGGACCCAAAGAGTGGAAATCTTGGCAAACACTGTGGGCACGGAGCGACGATGCTTGATCCCCCCTCCAGGATAGAGCACCCTTGATAAGACCCTGCCCTGCCTGCCAACTGCGCTGCGTTCTCCAAGCATTAACTTAGGGGTGGTAATTGGCGCGGGCCAAGCGAAGATCAACTGCTTGTCTAGATCAGCCGAAGATCGTCGGAATCGCTCGCTCGCTGTGTCTCTAAAAAGAGCCTTCAATCCGTGAGGTCTTGCGCCAAGTAGGGGTTGAGGGTCGTCGAGACCTGAGCGGGCACATATGGGTCTGCAAACCCCTTGCCACACGCGCATACACACAAAGAGGAGCCGAGATGCGATGTGATGCTGCCATGCCATCGGCATGGCTTTCCATGTCGTCCAGCTTTGCAGCCGTGTAACCGACCAGACCCAGGACGGGCGCTATCAAAACTCGCGGACGATACTGTACATTGGCCATGGCTGCTGCCCCGGACGGCATTGATTGGGCAGCAGGGGTCCGGGTTGCGCTCGTGCGCAACGGCGAATGAAGGCCCGTCATGGCATAGCACCGTTGGCAATAAATTGACGGCGTGCAGCGCCAACGAACCGCCAAGCTGGGCCAAGAAACCACTCTCAGATAGCAATCTATCAGCTGAGTCGGCATGTGGGAGATATGCTTCATGCTTCATGCTTCCTGCATTCTTGCTGCTGCTACCGTGTAACGCGCACAGGAAAGAGAGACACCCTGCTGCTCTACCGTGCATGTCGTCAGCAACCAATGCATGCGAGCAACTCGCCCGCCGGGCAAGCCGGCACTAGGCTAACTGCTGCGCAAGGTGTTCTCAGGTCTGACTGAGACTCATCACTGGGTGGACACAGAGAGAACCGCTGACTATACGCTGCTGACTGTGTTCAATGGTTGGCGCATTTGCCATTTCGGTTCACCATGTCAATTGGCCCTCGGCTGCGCCATGGCGTTGTCAGTCCGCCACGGGGCCGTGATTGGCGAACTTGGTTGATCTGCAGTATTTCAGGATGAAGGGGGCTGAACGGATTGAGACTAAGTTACGAGTTACACCCTGCCTGGGAGACTCGGCTAGAAAGCGAGCCGTGTTGTGGCACAGTTGCGAGCATCTTCCGGAAGTCTGGCGACGGCGTCGTTCAACGGTCGTTCCAAGGCGTCCATGTCGCCATGCGTTCGTCGACAGTCGTTGTTTGCTGCCCAGAACGCGGCTGAGGTCAAGCTTTTCTAGCTGTGAAGCCTCCCGCTCTTGGCCACAGAGAAGTTCTTGGCCACAGAGAAGCTCTCGCCAAGTTTGCAGATGGCGGCATCCCAAGACTTTGGCGGAGGATCCCCCAAGGCTTGAATCCGAATGTGTGTATAGCTAACTTATCGTCGACGCATTGATTTCTGCCGTGCAGCAACCCCCCCTTGCGTCCCGGCTGTCGTCAATTCACCGATGCCACACCAATCACCGACTGGTCGCGACCACGACCCCGGCCCTGCCCCTGGCCGTCGTCCTCAGATGCGCTCTCAGATAGTGCCTTTATGGCCACTTCTGGCTATTATCCACGCGCGAGAGCCGTTCGGGAAACACTGTGACCTCTCGTGTTCTGCGGTGGCAGGATGGTCAGGGATGGTGGATTTCGAACACCCAACATCCAATGATGGCTCCTCACGGCGACTTGGCATCCCATATCATTGCCTATCTGTGGCGACCTCTGGTAAAACCCCACACCTAATGTGCGGACCCAGTCCAGGGAGTCGAGGTGTCCATCAACTTTCTTCCTACGAAGGATATCGGGTCGGTATCCCGTGGGACCAAAAGGCTGGCTTTGCTGACACATTCGCACGACCCGGCCCTGAAGATGCAAGAGGTACCTTGCCTCACTCCCACAGCAGGCCCAATCGTCTCAACATACCTCTGTTTAGAGTTCTGTTAGAGTTCTGTGCCCCAAATGATCGCCAAGCACGACCCCTGTCACCACGCGGGGGTCTCAACCGGGGTCCGGCGGGCCAAGCCCTCATTTGTAGAAAGCGTCCTTGAATCCTGCTCCGTTGGGCCTAGCACCACGTTTAGATGCTGACAGCCATCACCCCACAACTCGGCCCATGCGTGACACTTGGTGCGAGCGTTGCACTGGACTTCCGCTTCAGGAAGCTGGTTGGCGGAGAAGCTTCTTCGCAGGCTTCGAGACATGTGCGCTTGCGCCTCAGAAGGTCACGATGGCGAGCGCGCCCTCGCCCGCGGCAGCATCGCATGGGTGGGAAGACCCTGAGTGAGGCCTCGGCCCCAGGGGGGCTATCCAGGTGGTCGGAATCGATGATCTCCAGTTCTTCAGCGGACCCACTCAATGCCAACATGGTAAAAACGGCCATCGGCCTCGTCTTTGTCTGAACATGGGACCTGAGGCGGCCCTCTGTAGCCGAAAGTCGCATGCATGTCCCAGCTCGCCTGTCTGCGGGAGAGGGAAGTGGCCAAAGATAAGGGGCATCAGGATGTACACAGACTATGCTGACAACCAACTGTGACCGCCAGCTCGTGGTGCTGGACGACTGGGTCAATGATCCTTCGCGTGCCCAAGACGCTGAGAACTCGTGCCTGCCCGTGTCTTCAATGCTTGACACCACTCAGACACTCGGTAACGACTAAGAGGCAGCCCGAGCTGTATATGGTGCCACTCTTCTAATCGCATACGGCTTTCTCACATAGTAGTTATTACTTGATCAGCATTCGCCTCTTTCTGAGAACCACTCGGTTGCTTCTACGTGAGGTTGGGGTTTCGGATATTCCACATTTAACCGCTAGCTAACAGTTCCTCCACGAACTCGACCCACCATTGGCTCATGGGTGCAGGTCGATACTGCATCAGACGATGCCCAGCAAGGCCAAGATATTAGTGCTGACTATGACAGTCCCGGAAACTGGGTGTGTATCTCCCAGATGGCGAGGGATCTCTTGGTTCGTATCGCCCATCTCTCCTCGTAGCTCGATACCTTGAGCGAGGATTTCGGATCTGATATCATGCCACGATCTTTCTAGTGATTCGTACGATATGATTGGCCAAAAGGTTGCTATCATATCAGGTTTCCATGATATGATGGTCAGGCTGATGTTCTTGACAATTATGGAGTTACCGCTAGATGGAAACGCCACTATCGAGCCGCCATCGAGAGTCAAAACCGTTCAAAGATTTTCCGTTGCCCAAGTCTCACGTGGTATGGCTTCCAGAACCAGTCTGTTGCCAGATCTTTCGAGCTTTTCTACAGTGTAAATACACTCCCCCAAAGTAGAGCTTCAGCTACACAATGGAATCAAAGGCGGATTTCATCACAGCTCACATGTCTAGATGTAACTGGAGACAAATTATTTAGTAATGAGATAGGTATACCAATCGTGAGATGAGTGTTGCTTGCTGTCCCAACAGCTCGGTTCGATGTTGGTGTTCAGTCGCATGTCGTCACTACTCGCCAGGCGTGTAACACCTTCCGGTTTGGGAGCATGGGCGTTTGCCCTCAAGGGTAAGGAGCAACTAAAGCTCGAGACCCAGCGCTTCTGTCATGCGTGGCGCTTTTTAGGCCCATGCAAAGGGATTATCAGACGTGAGCCTCTTCTAGCCGGGCCCAAAGGACGCAATCTACGAAGCAAGGCCGATCATGTCATGGAAACGGCACGAAAGCTCATCAAGTAATGAGAGCCGAAGTTTTCGAATCCTGTCTTGCGCGATTTATGTTGCAGGTGTAGAAGTCCACTGTGTCTAGAATAGTATTAGCATTCAATGTTGGCGGGGACCAAATCAACTATTGTGGCAGTTCCAGGGTCAAAACCAACAATACCGCCTTCGAGTACGAATATCTAAACTCCAGGGAGAAACAGCAGAAAATCAGGACAAAATCCTATCTACGAAGGGCTAATACTGGTACAATATGATGACGCTTTGCATACTATCCGTATGCGTGATATCAAGTCGGTCAGCAATTGGCCGTTGTGAGATGTTAGACACTGGCATACATCTAACTTCGTACATGACAGAGTTTCCGAAAGTGGACCAGTTCGTCGCTTTTCTGGCCTGGAATGGACAATGGAAATTTTGGCCTAAAATGAAGAGCGGATGTGTTCACATGTTGGCTCGTCGACCATTGAAACCTCCGGTCGTATCACCGTGTTTTGTTTTTGAGATAAACTACAACCATTAAGCCGGTAGGTTCAACCCCAAACAATTTGATTGTCTCAGAAAAGGTTTTCGGACTATAGAGTTATGTCAACCAAATCAACAAGCATTTAGCGTCGAGATCATCTGAACTAACTTATTAACGCGCATCGCACGCCGAAGGATGCGGACTTCTCCAATCGACTTTCTTCAACTGAAAACAAGAAAAAGAAGAGAACTTGGCGAGCTGAAGAGTTTTGGCCCTTTCTTCCCAATGACGGCCGAGCGCATCTTCAACTATGGGATCCATCACGCGTCCTCACTACTCAGACTTGTGTGACTGCCATGAGTGCACTACGAAACTCATCACCACACTCATAACCAAAGACCATGACTGGATGCGCCAGCATCGCAGTCCAAAGCAGCTACCATATGACTTCAGGCTTTGGAGTGCCAAGTCTGCCATGCTCAACGGCGGCATCTTCCTACCTACAGTATTCAACCCGGACCTGTTCAGTGAGCCGGGCATGTATAGACGCACCACTCCCCAGGCCTTGTTTCCAGAGCAATCCTGGACTTTCCACAGCTTTCCTGGATTCCGCCCTTACCGCTACACCTTGAGCATGCCGCGAGCTGTGGGGCCTCGACAAGCCATCAAGATCCCACTGATATACACAGATGGCGCCTGCTCAATCGACGACAAATCGACTGTCAAGGCGGGTATCGGGTTCTCCGTTTGCCAGCCGGGACGCAGCCTCAAGGGCTGTGTGCGGCATTCCCTCGAGCGTGAAGGCCCCTATGGGCAGGTTTTCCCGCACACGAGCGAGCGAGCAGAGCTTCGCGCTGTGATAGCTGCCCTGGAGTGGCGGTACTGGTACAGAGAAGGCTGGGAGGCCATCGTCGTCGCGACAAACTCCACCTACGTGGTGGACGGGGCGACCAACTGCGTCAAGGGTTGGCTTGACAACGATTGGTGGACGGCGGATGGATTCAAGGTGGAAAACCGCGACCTCTGGAAGTACCTTCTCCAGCTTCTCCGTCTTTACGGCATGCATGGCTGTGAAGTCATGCTGTGGCGCATTGAGAGCATGTACAATGGACGGGCTGATCAACTTGCGAAGACTGCAATTGCTGACGGGCTTGTTCAGGAGAAGTGGAAAACATTTAAAGACCCGCAACTGAAGGATAGCTGGTTTGATATCTAGTTGGGGGAGTTTAAGTGTGGATGACTACTAGTATTAAATATCATCCTGCCTTCGAGGTAATATCAATAATCATAATTTACCTTCAATTATGCGATTATAGCTCTATCGTTTTTCCCATTTTGGCACGTCGCACTTGGATTCTGTCTGTTATAAGTTGAGAGTTTCCGGTTGCTTCTCAAAGAACGCTGCATTATTCCAAGTGCTCGAACCTTGCGACCTCATCAAGCAGGTGCCTGCTTCTAGGTATTGTTCAAAGCCTCACCAGGAGAGGAACTCCAGGGACTAGGCTCAAGAAAATGAGCCACAGGAAGCCAACCAGGTAATGCGATATAGTGTCGATGAACCACCAAAGCCCACCACCACAGTCAGAATGGCCACACATAAGACTTTCGGATGACGCCTAGAACGTAGTCGAAGCCAACATGATCCCGTGAGATGATAGAGAATCATAGCTGCTGACTGATGTACGGCGCATGTGGGTACCTACTGCCTTGTGTTTTAGGTTTCAAGTTCCTGTGGGCAGATTGCCCATTGTTGTTATTCGAAAAGTTAGAAGTCATTCCCGAATACCCAGGCCATTTGAAAGCCGTGCCCACAAACTGCAAACTTTCTTTTCATTGAGCGGTTTGCCTCAATTTTGAGGTGCAATATTACACCTGTCTTGCCTTTCTTCTTCTCACGAACCTACCATGTTATCTATCCACATGACCCTTCCTCGCCCTCCGGCAAAGCATTGCTCTCAATTTCAAGCCGCCATACCCTGGTCTAGTTCATTACTCCCATTCACGAAGTTCTGCATCGCAGTTTGGAGTATCTTACTGCTAGACTTTCAAGATAGCGCAGACCCAGCAGCGCTGTCCTCTACACAGCATTACACCATGTGTCGAAGGAGGTATATTGTCTGCGACCAAATGCTGGTTCAACGTCCTACCGACCCTCTACAACCGTGTGGAAACTACACCAGAGATCTAGAACAACCATACGAGTCCTGTGGCGACGTTATGCAAGGCAGAAAAATGCCTCCAACGAGCATCGACGCTTTGCGCCGATGCCACTTGACCGGCTACTCCAATTGTCTGGGCTGCTGCTCCGAGTGTAAACTCAAGCGGGGGCTAAGATGGGAATCGCTATTGGCACGGCTGCCGAAGTTTGATGATACGGCGGTCGAGGAGACTAAATTGACCTTGAGTGCGTGGCTTGAAACCACCGAGATATTTCTCGGACAAGTCAGCCACAGCGATATCACGGATGCTGCTGGAACTCCATGTAATCAACCAGCCAGGGGAGAAAGCCCTTCTTTTCGTCCACGTTCATCTACGGCATCTTCACAAGGATCCTACCAACATCAAATGTCATCGCCAATGCCAACTGGCCAAGCAACAGCTCAATTAAGAAAGAAATCATCACATGCATCTACACCTACGACTAGCGGACAACCTGAAGCTCAACCAGTCAATGCAGGTCAACTTGAAAACTCCTTTGCGGAAACTTACATCCGAGTGCCTCAGATAGGTGGCCAACCAGGTCACGACTTGGAAGACCTTGTATATTCACAAGATGGCGCCGTGCTTCCCAGAAACGGCGTATCGGGTGCTGATGCTTACCGTGATAGTTCACTTGAGCGCAGCAGGAATTCGAGAAGTCGTGGTTCAATCTTACCTGTCCAAAGCCTCTTCGAAATTCCTCAGGTGCTACAAACACCTTGCTTCTCTGTAGCACCACCGACAGATATGACAACTGTGGCTGAGCCCCAACCGACCTCTCTGATGCAAGCACAGCAATACCAGCCTGGAGCCCTTGCTTATCGAAAACAAAACAGCCCGCCTCCATTATTTCAGAACCAACAGATCATACCAACTCCTCAAATTCAAATGCAGATACAGATGCAGCAGTATGCTGGCCAAAACATAAGCTTGCAACAAAGAACAGCTTCCGCTTATCATCCAAATGGGATGTATGTTGACGGGGGACCTTCCCCATATACAAAACCCATGCAAACACTACAGAATAGATGGCCCCCTCAGATAATAGCTTCTGAGCAGTCTTTCCAGCAGTCACAGGTTATGCAATACAGTCCAGCACCGCATATGATGACAGGGTCGGCTACGCAACAGCATCCAACGGGAGTGGCGCAACAATTCCAAGAGCATTGCCAACCCAATAGACAGTAGCCATGCATATCGAGATGACGTGGAACGGATATGTCGACTTTACTTCATGCTCCTGGCGGTGCGCAGTATAGCAGGGCTGTTTGAGCATTTGAGGTTTCACGACGCTGAACCAAGGGTGGTAATTGTCTGTGATCATCAGCTCAATGGAAACATACGTAAAGATACCCGACTGGCGAGAAGGATTTCATACAGTGTTTTGCGCTAGTGCGTTTGACGCATTCATGGTTATCTAAGGGGGTTCTCTGGGGTAGTCATGCATTACGCGATACGCACAGGCTCTGATAGTCGTAAAGACGTATATTTATACAAGAGTTGTCTAGTAAGCATGTAGTCGCCCAAACCCGGAGGTTCTGGGAGCCAGAAATGGAGGCAAATACGCCATATGTAAGCTCTAAAAAAATGAAAGAAAGTCATGTTGCAGCGTATCATCAAGCTTTGAAAAATTAATCATTTACGTTTCTTTCGTTCTTAAAGTTTGCAAATTCCAGAGGATTATTCAAGGTACCTACCTACCTAGGTAGACTGTTGGCTATGGGGCCAGCTTGCAGCACCAGCGACGACTGTCAAGCCTAGCCTAGCTGAAGGTTACCACCCTACATAAATCCTTGCCACCTGGACAACAAGCAATTCCCCCATCTTTTTTTCTTCCGAAGACCAGCATTTCAAACCACAAATTCCGCATCCAGTGATCTATCTGAATGCTTCTTGGCCATACACCGGCAGCGAGGCTTGGCACTCAATGCTGCTTTGCTCAGCGCACACCATACCTACAAACAGCTGGCCTACGACATACTTAAGCTCCTAAAACCCAGCAATTGTCCAAGGCATTCGGCAGATTACTTCTCCCATCCTCGAAAATATTACCGTTGCACAGGTTACCATGGGTCTCTTTCAAACTGTTCTGTCAAACTGTTCTGTCGACCACCACCTTTCATCTAGACATGGTCGCCATTATATGTGCACATGTCGAAACACTCCTACTTTGGGTCTTTGGGCTCCCCAGCTCGATCACATTTCGCATGTTTGCCAGATTTCCAGAGAAAACGGCACTCGCAGGCCACCCATACTTTCTCCCTAAGCATGCACAACTTGCCAGGCTCGTGGCTCTAGGATGTCTGTTGATTACACCTTACTTGGTTAGCGTGGAATGCCGTATGAGCTCAGGTTTGAAGGGACCTATCGGGAGACTGGTTGATCCATTGACAAAAAGGAACAAACGGGCAGCTTATGCTTTTATGATGGTTCGACTTTGGTTGGTCATCGCCGCGTGGAATGCTATTATGATTCGTTTCCTTCGGACTGGGGACCTCCATTTCCTGATGGGCACAACGCCTTTCCTCACCATTCTACTTTAGCATAGGACCTGAGATGTGAACCAACTGAGGGGCATGTCTTTTAAGGGACTGTGACTGTTGGAGAGATCATGAGTGATTCGCAGTACCTGCATGGCAATCATCTGGACACAGAGGTACAACAGAACCGTGCGGTCTCCGGCACAGAGCTTGGGATTAGATGGCTTGACAATAGGTTCGAAATAGGCAATACGCAAGGGGCTACGCAAAGGAGAGAGTCCTTTTCTTAACCGCCAATCCCCCTGGTTTGATGCGAGACTAAAACATGCAGATACATGGCAAGTTGTGAATGGATTAATATCCAAGATGCTACGGAGAACACAAGCTGCCCAACATATTCCACACCAACCCAGTTCTGCGAAACGCCATGTCCGCATCGATTCCAATGACCACCTACTCACTTCGGTAGTAGTTTGGAGGCCAGTGAGTCTACCTAAATGCCATGGGAGTATTATCTTAGTCTGGTATGCCGTTGCGTTGCGACTGCTTCCTCAAAAGACTGCTGAAACTGAGCACCCGAATGACTCCTATGGCTGTGACCATCCCTTGGCAGCGGGTCAAAGCATAGCAACGAGATTCCCAGTTGAGTAATGATAGCCAAACGAGACAGATGCTGAGATGAGTGCTGAATTATCTTGAGGTTGTTGATACAAGGAATCTCCGTAGCTTGTTGGTGCTGAAGAGTTGGACGAGTTGCTGTTGAGTCGTGTCCTTGATTTGTGCTTGACGGTATTGGGATGCCTGTCGTTGTCGAAAGGTTCTGGTAGCCAGCGGTGTGCAATGCTGGCTTCCAGCATCACCAGTCGGTGCAAGAGCTGAGCGCAGTAAAGGGAGCGTGCTCTGAACAGTATCGCCACATCGCATCCTACTTGATCGATGCGATGCTCCACTGAGGTCACCACTCAGGTGTAATTTTTCAAAAGATTCGGGATGTAATGCCTCAGCCAGGTGACACTGAAGTGCTCCTTAACGGATGCCTGATGGCTACCGTCCCGGCTTCAGTGACATTCAAACCAGTGGCGTCAACCGCAAACACGAAGTTTTTGGGCGCATCGTCACCCGCCGTGATACCTTGATGACGATTGGTTCAAAAATAGTTTTCGCTCAGAGACCCGCCAGTCTGCCGGTAACAAGACCGGTCGACACCCACAACACGCCCAAGAGCCAGGTCGGGAGGATAGCCCAAACCAAGTCGAGGAACATTGCACGGCAGAAACACTTCAGCCGGGTGGCGGCCAGTCCGAAGACCGGCGCCGACCATAGAAAAAGGCTGGCGAGGAGGGACCGCATAACGCGAAGCCCAGCCACGAGGAGAGGAGGAGTGAGGAGGAGAGCGAGGAAGAAGTGCATAGCAATATTTGTTCTACGGATGTTACGTGGGCGGGTAAAGAGGAAGGAAGAGAAGACAGCAGATCAGCATCTCGCATCCTGTAATTTCAACCAGAGCGACATTTCATTCGAAGCAGGCACTCTCGAATGCCTTCCATGTAGTTTGACGGTGCCATGCAGTTAAGAGGAAGGAACGCTGGCCTATCGTCATCGATGCAAACACACGTTGCGATATCGACTGAGGAAGTAGAGGCCTAAGCCTGGTAGAGGGGAGCATCGTCGCTGCACAACTTTCGTGCCAAATTGATACCAAACTACGGATGGGATCTTTTACATGATGGAGTTGTGCTGTCAGCCTTGGAGCATATCCACAGAATGATGAGCGTTCCTTGCTGTCGCCGTATGCATCCGGATATAGGCTTCACTAGTCACAGGTCACTGAACGCTTCAACACCGTAGAATGAAGAAACGGCGCGCGGCACGGTGGAGCAGGTATGGAGGCAGCCAGGTTCGGCAGAAATCGTGAACGGCTTTGTGGCGCAAATGCGGCCAATATTGGAGACATTGCTCTGTTTCCAACCCTGACACTTTCGACGTTATGTATCACAGTGACCATTCCTCAGAGATTGATGAACCGTGGCGACTAATAGCCTTTTTATTTTATTTTTGTTCTCTTTTTTATTTACGTTACTGTTTTCAAGTGAATGTGCATCTGGTTGGCCATCATATGTACATTACGCTTATTTTGCTGCAGATGCTACGTTCCTAAACTGCTCACCGAGCGTCTATACCATCAAAACAACTGGTTTCGGCAAATCCGTGTCAAAACGCATGATTCTCTCAGTGCGCTGTTGTATTCATTGGGTTCTCAATGTCCACATCCGCCAATGCAGCTCGTCATATATTCCAATTCAGGAATTTACAAAACAAACATAGCGGCAGTAATGGCGAGGACGGCAGCGCTAATCATACTGCCAGCTGCCTCGATGCTACCAGCCGCAGAAGCAGTCTTGGAGTCAGTGGTGGCGGCACCGTTAGTGTTACCGTTGGTAGCAGCTACGCCTCGGTTAGCAATCTTCTTATATGTTTAAATTATTATGCAAGCTTACCTTGAGACAGGGACGAGCAAGTGCTCATGAGGGTGGAGTTGGCCATCAAGGCATCGAGCTTAGACTGTGCCTTCGCAGCCTTGGCGGTGAACTTGTCGATCTTGGTTTGGTTTCCTGGTGACAGTCAGTATGCGATTCACTCGATGTTCATTCAGCACATACCATCAAACTTAGCTTGCAGAGCAGTCGTGTTGCTAGCCATGGCAACAGCCTTCTGGAGCTGGGACATGGCTCTGCATTCTTGGACAGTCTGCTGTACGGAACAGAAGGTAGTCAAAGTGCTGTTGGACGTCATATCGGCCAGCTTGGTTGCGGCGGAACTAGCCTTGGCCTTGAAAGCATCGATCTTGGTCGTGTTGCCCTGCGATAAACTCATATTAGCCGGTGTGTGTCAGATTTCTGATCAGGATGTGATGTCTTACATCGAACTTGCTGGTCAGCTTGGTGTCGTTGGCAGCAAGAGCAATCTGCTGCTCCCAGTCCTGGATCTTGCTGCAGGCCTGCACGGACTGGGCGTGGGCGAAGACTACGGCGCAAGCCTCCGTCAGAGTGGTGTTTGAGCTGAGAGTGTTCAGCTTGGCCTGCTTGTCGGCAACCTTTGCCTTGAACGCATCAATTGCAGTCTGGTTGTTGTCAAACTTGTTGGCCAGCTTGGTCTCATTGGCGGCAAGGTCGACCTGCTGGGTAAGCTTGGCCATCTGAGCGCACTGGGCCTGGACACTATCGGTGCCATTCTTGTTGCCCTTTGCCGACACTGCCGAAGCGAAAAGGAACGAAACGAAAACGTTGGTCAGCTGCATGTTGACGGTAGTTTGGATGGGGTCTGACGGTCTAGTGGAGACGGAACGAGACAAGCAAGAAATAAACTGGGACAGAAAAAAGAGGTCGAACCGGCGACGAAGAATGAGAAGAACGGTGCGTATAGAGAATAGAATGAGCTCAACTCAAGATCTTGCCTGCTGATGGTGAGTCCAAGAAGATCGTACCACCATCGTCGGGAAGGGCAACTTTTATAGAAACCTTTCCTGTCCAGGACCGCGTCATCCGTTTGACAATGAAGCTTGTTGACGCCGTGCTAGAACCTCGATGGCTGGCTAGACGGGCAACAGCGCATCTGACGGGTTTCAGCAGGCATATCGACGAGAGTGTTTCGTCTGTTGTGCGCTTCTATTTTGGCCTCTGCTAACGGTGGTCTACTGATACTCCATACCATCTATGTCGTCCGTTTCCCGATGCCCAGCAGGGATAGATGAAGCGTACAACGATCCAAAGTCTTGGCGCGGCTCCAATCACTCATCCTGGCAGCGCCATCTTGCGACAAGACTTGACGACGTCCCCGGCCCTGACAGTGTGTCCTGGCCAATCATGTCCGTCATGGCCTGACGTTGTGGCGTTTCAGATCCCTGCGATGAACATCGTCGATCCTTGTCTCGGCATGCTGCGTGGGGTTCCAGCAAGCTATTAAAAGGCGGGACTCCACCCTCCTGGAACGGGCCACGACAGCCATTACCTGGCTCTGCTTCAAGATTCTCACAGGGTCTTAGAGCACATCGACTCAATCAGACACGATTGTCCTGTGAACGATCTACATAAAAGTGCATTTAGCCTGTAGGCCCCAAAACATGACTGGAAATGAATAGCGGGTCGGACGGATATGATGCATCCATTCTATACCATAGTGTATGATTCCCGCAGGGTTGACGAGTCTCGTCGCTTGGACCTGACGGCTCTTTCTGGGCGCCAAACAAGACGCTAAAACATACAAACTGTTCGGGGGCCATTGGAGTATTCGTCCCAGATGATCTCGAGCCCTGCCACCTTGGCCCATCTTCCCCCACTTTCCCAGACGGATGGCATCTACCACCACAACCCGAGGCCGGCCATGCAGCCGTGTTTGGTTGGATTTGTGTCATCCTAACACCAACAGTAATGGGGACGTAATCATGGCTTTTGACTGGGAAGAGAGTTGCAATGAGCGTTGGTTACATATGTCCAGTTAGTCGCAGTGGAGTAGTGTGGCAGAAGGACGGTAGACCTACTAGAAACCTGAAGGAGAAATTGAATTCGGACCCAGCTTTTTACTTCGATACTTGCACAACCCTGTCGGCATCAAGAGTTCAGTTAGATACCGGTCGAGCTCTTTCCACCTTTTCCCCGTGGAGAAATACATGGGCCCATGCCTCAAACCACTGTTCCATTGTTTGATTGTTGATGACAAACTTAGACATTTCCGTGTCTCTTGAGCATCCGCCAAGCTTCATGCCGACATACAACAGTACCCTATTCAATATTATGCTATTGAACTGCTGACTCTTGTTGAGTGACAAGAGGATTGCGCAGCAGTCTTATGATGATACAAGACCAGAATACCGAATCTACCAAGCTAAAGACAAAGCACCAGTCCTCTGAGAACCTTGAGCCGACGACGTTCGACCTAATATGAGCCATGGAAGCTGGTCTTGTGAGTCACGACTTGGCAGAAACCTCAATGCAAAGTATCCTGATCAAGTTCTCTACTCGTTCACCTACCTTACTGCCGTCCGTATTGACTGTTGCGTCTGTGAGAAATTCGAAACAGAGAAGCTGTACTGAAGGTCTTGACCTATAGGTTGGCGCTATGGTATTTTCAGAAATCTTTCTGACCCGAAGATCAGCTTGACTGGCGATAGATAGATTCCCGCAGTCCCCTGGACCGAAGCCAACACAAACCCGGAACGTTGTCCACTGCGCATTACGCACACAACAGCAACCCGCAGCTCTACCAGCCTATCGTGGATAAAATTTCAGTTTTCATTTACCTCAGGACCTTAGCCATATGATGCACACCATTCATCCTCCTGTATAGCGCTCGAAAGACGACGACCGCAAAGCAATAACGGTAGCTGCCGAACGAACACCTAAACCAGCCATGCGACGAAACAAGAATATCTTCGACTCTCTTCTCATTCGCTATTCATAGACGAAGTTCCCAACGCAGACGTGTGTCCTCTACCGTGGCTCAGAGAACGGGCTATCCATATATACCGATCAACAGAATAATTTTACTTTTGGTTGGTTGGTTG